GATAAACGTTTCTAAAAATAATATCCCGAGTTTTTTTGAATAACATAAAATGTATTATAAAAGAAAATAATTTAAATACAAAACATGAACAGCATTAACTGTTTCTATACTCTAAAACGCTTATTGATAAGTATTTTTTTATTATCTTAAATGTCCTAATCATTGATTTATTTAGAAAGATGATTTTTACGTAAAAGGCATTCATTTTAGAATCAGATGATTCCAACAATTAAATAGACTTTGACAAATTAGAGTTTAAATAGACTTAAAAATATGTTATATGAGAGATAAAAGAACGTAAACTTAGCTCTAAAATTCATATTGATAAGTTTGAGAAACTCTTTGATAAAATAAAAATTTTCATTATTTTTATTAATGAGATTTAATAGAATTCAAAAAAAAAATTTGATAAAATATATTTATGAAAAAAAGTTATCATATATTAATTAAAAAATTATCCCCAAAATAATTAAATTAAAATGAGTATTTCTAATAAAAGTATTTAAAAGAAATCAATAAGAGGCTCTTATAATAAAATAAGCTAAGAGTTAAAAGCTTAAATATTAATGGAATTAGATTTATATAATAATATTAATGAATTATCTAAGAAATACGGTATTGCTAGATAAACGATAACTTCATTCAAAAAAGCTAAAGAACACATATATGATTAATTCAAAAATGCAATAACACATCTTATTCATGAATTAATCAATATTCGTTTTCATAGCTATGAGAATTTATCAAAGCAGGCCGTATTAAAAGATATTAAATTTTTCATCAAAAATTAACAATATTTTGAATTTTCTGAAAAAAATCCGTTAAAAAAATTGATTCCAGAAACGAAGATATTCTCTTAGAAAAAGAGAATAATTTAATTTGTTCTTGATGATGCTTTTTCTTATTACGATAAGAAAATGTATTAAAAAAGTGCTGGTATTGTTGAATTAGAAATTACATAAGAAGCTTCTGAATAATCTTCAACTATTGATCAACCTAAGATATAGGAAGATATTTATATTGATGAATAATCTTCAAAACTCGAAAATTTATTGCCAACTTGGCTTTTAAATTATGATGATGATTCCTTCATTTTTCAGAGGAATGATACATTCTTAGATTCAAATTTTGTCTTGATGTGATTTATTTATATTTTATATTCCAGTGACTATTTATAAATTTTATTACTTTTTTTTTCTCACAATCGAAAAATATAAATATCAAAATTCTGATGTAGTTTTCAATAGATTGAAATCAAAAGCATCTATAAGTTTCCTTGGAAATAATCGCATGAAAATGTATTCAAAACGAGCATCATAAAACGCTATTCAAATTGTTAAATAATTTAATTCACAAAAAGCAATTTTGATAATTAGAAAAATTATTTTAATTTAAGAAATAAAAGATAATTTCGTGTGTAAATTCGTTCAGTTTAAGAAATAATGTATTAGAATATGTGGTAGAATAAAATATAAAACTATTTAATATTGTTTCTATTTAGAACAACCAAATATTATACTAAGTATAATATTCGGTGAAAACAACAGAGTCTGATTTTATTCTTTTGTTATAGCATATTATTATTTATAATAATAAGCTGGTAAATAAGAATAATAATCAAATAATTATTTAATTTATAATTTTGCTTCTTCTATTAAATAAATTTATGGGAACTATTCTAGTTTATTTAAAAAATATTATGTAATTAATTATAATATTAATGATTTCTAATTCGGACATTGAAACAACAAATAAGTTAATTCTTGAAGCTAGTGGAACTCTGGAATGTATATAGAAGGCATTTGTGAGAAAGTTTTGATAAGAATCGAGTCTTTCTTTATATTTTTTAAAATGGGCTTTGCGATAATGTATATATAAAATCAAGATTGAATAATTAGAAATTTACAAAAGGTTAAAGGCTCTTAAATTATTTACTTGCTATATAGTTCTGAATTGAGACAATTTTTAAGAGGTTAATCAAGTTATAGTTAAAATTAATTTGAAAAAAAAATTATCCAAGATCCCTAATTTGCAAAATATTTTTTTTGACTAATAAGATAGTATGCTTGCTATTCAATAAAGACCCTTTAATAAAAATTAGATAAATTTGTTATGAATGATAAAAAAATTTATAGAGAATAGGAGGCGCCTTAAAATTCTTAAGATAAATTGAATTGTTAAATATTAATTTAAGTGATTTTATTGAAAAGAATTAGATTTAGCCTTTTTTCTATTTTCTAAGAATTATCCAAATATAGAATTTTTAGAATGATAATATTATAATAAAATAGTTTAATAGTTGGGTTAGTTACAATTGATATAACACCAAATGCTTTAGAAATGAAATGTATGATAGTAGAATAATATCATTTGCCTTAGGAATACTAAAATTATTATGTGAATTACTGTTTATAATTTTGTTCAAACATTAAGGTAATTAAGGTATTTGTAAAATTTAAGAAATAGGAAAAAGGACAATAAGTAAAACTGATAAAAAATATTTGACAATATTTTTGAAGCATCTGATAAGAATAAAGATTCTAAAAAGATCAGAATTATAGACCGAAGTATGATGATATAATGATAAATTTAGTTACAAGCTTTTTCGATAGAATTTTCGAATATATCAGAAACATCTAGCCTATTCAAATTGATTAAAAATGACTAAAAATAATGATATGTATAATAAGATTGTATTGAATTTAAATGTTTAGATAATGTTTTTTGATAATACTTATTTTAAATTATTGAATTAATAATAAAAAATACTAAATTAATAATGGATCAACCAATCGTAAGTCCAAGAAATGTCACAGAAGGACATGACGTATCTAATTTGATTACTTTTCGATATTCAACAGATTAATATTGTACATCATTTATGATTAAAATGCAGTATTGCCAACATTAAGAAATGAGGGAATAAATATTATGAGATAAAAAATATAAGATTCTGATAGTAAAGCTATACTGGATGCTGGTTAAAATAACGAAGAAGAAGAACCATCAATAAGCTCATCAGAATCTGAGTAAAGTATCAGTAAGAAGGGATCTGAAACAATGAAATTAGGATCTTAAAGTAAAGTTGAACATGCTGAAAGATAGTATAAAACTGAAGAATTGTTACCTGTGGATGGAGGATGGACAAATATCATTTGGAAAAGGGGATCGTTAAGAATTATGACATATGTAGTCAGATTTGTGATATCTATTCTAATAAACTCAGAAAAATCTAAGTTCTCATTTATGAATCGTAAACAATTTAGTGCCATTAATGACATAACAAGCATTTATCAATTTTACGAAGAAAATAAACTTATAAGATAGAGGATTAAAAAGAAATTCAAAGTAAATTTATGACTTAAATTTATAGCAAATTCTTAAATAATACATTTAAAAAAATATGTGTTACAAAGTCTTAAGAAATGGATTCGAAACTCTAGTAAATAAATGTCTTTTTGTGATAGATCCATCAAGCACTGTTAAAATACTATGGGATTTTTTTATGTTATTTGTGCTATCATGGTAAATGGTCTTTGTTCCTTTGAAAATTTGTTTTTTTATTCAAATCCATGATCCAATTTTGAATTTCATTTTAAATTACTTACCTGTTTATGTATATCTCATGGAAATTGCTCTGACATTTCTCACAGGCTATTATGAACATGGAGTCTTGATTATGGATTAAAAATAGGTTGCAAAACACTATTTTTAAAAATCATTCCTTTATGATTTATTAAATTTATTGCCATTATTGGTAAGTGCATATTATGTTTAATCTAATTGGTTAGAATTTTCAGTTTTGATTAAAATTAAGACGTTAAAGTTTTTATCTGATTAAATGGAAGAAGTATTTGGATTGAGAACTAATTATTAAACTTTAATAGATGTTTTAAGATTGATGATTTAATTTATATTTTTATCTCATTTTTTTGGTTGTTTATGGCATTACTTAGGAATTCTCTAAGAAGATTATGGGTAAGATGTACTTAAGTAATTTTAGAATTAAGAATACATGGATAAATGCATAGGAATTGGGAGATGTGAGTTGGTAGATAAGATATATCAACTCTATTTATTGGAGTTCAATTACAACATTAACTATTGGATATGGGGATATTACTCCATAGAGTAGTGTAGAAAAGATATTTACAGTAGGAGTGGCTGTTTTTAGTAGTGTTGTATTTGCATACACAATTTCGAGCATTGGGTAAATATTCAGTCAATTAAATGAAAATAAAAAGAATCAGAGATATAAAATGAATTTAGTTTAATAGTTCATTGGTTAAAGAGGAGTAAACAAGTAATTACAAAATAAAGTCAAGAAATTCTTTGAGTATTTTATTCAGATCGATCATTCATAAGACAGTGAATGTGAATTATTATTGAATTCTTTAGAACCATCCCTAAAGAATGAATTGAAAATAGACATTTATAAAAAATACATATTGAAATCAAAACTCTTTAAGTCTACATTTTCGGCAGAGTATGTTATTAATTTTAAGATTAGTTTCTTAGATAGTCTTTGCTAATTAGTTTAAGAAAGATAATATACACCAGATGAACAGATTTGTGCAGCAGATTGTGAAGTTGAAGATTTGTGTTTTATTTTGAAGGGAGAAATCTCTTTGTAAATTTAATTGAATAATTGTAATTAAACAATAAAATTCATTATGTAGAATCTGGTAAAACACATTAAATAAGTCTCTTAAAAAAAAATCATATCTTAGGAGAAAGATTCTTTATAACTGGTGATAAATTGCCTTATGCAGGAAAAGCTATTTCAGCTGTACGGGTCGCCTTTATAACTAAAAACTAATTCTTAAACCTTTTGAAATAGTACCCGTAAGAATTAGAGAAATTCTTGGAAGCTAAAAATAAAGTTATTTTAAAAGAGAGAGTTAAAGTATAAGGTTGTGAGTTATGCTATTAAAATCACTAAGTGTTATAATGTCCATTTGTGTTTTATTATCCAAATGTTAGAGTAATTGTAAAAAGATAAGAAAATATAACATAGAATAGATAGTTTAAATAGAGATCTTTTATAAAAAGTCATGTAAATTAATAAATTATTTAGAAATCACTTCAAGATAGAGGAGGCATTTAATATTAATTAATATCTTATGCTTTAGATAAGAATTTATTGCATGAAGAATCACTTGATGAATCTCTAATAAAAAATATGGATTTATAGTTTATTGAACCAACAAAAAAATAATTAATTAAAATTCATACGGACAATTCTGCTGATTAATACTAATAAGATTAGCTTCATCTTTTATAAAATTAAACCCCAATGCTTCCTAGCTGTGAATAATTTAGTGAAGACAGTGAATTTGGAACAAGTAAAACAAACAAAACTTCAAGTAATGGATTATAAAAACTAATTACTGTAAGGTAAATCACATAAAATTAATAAAACTAATAAAATTAACCAAAAAAAATAGATAAACTTAAATAGATGAGTTTTAAAATAAAAAAAAATGAATTTAAACCGCCTGAAATTGTAGAATTACAAAAAATTGAAGAAATTTAATCTTTTGAATCACCTTAATGTTCTGCCCAAAAATAGAATCAACAACATAAGTTTTTTCATTTTAATGAAAATATTATAACAAGAGAATTAGAGATTAAGAGAATATTATGGGAAGAATATGTGTAATCATAAATAATTGAAGATAAAGAGAGATTCGATTAATAAAAAGATTATTAATTGTTTTATCCAAATTGTAATTTAGATAAAGTGTTAGATTTAATAAATATTAAAGTTAATTAAAGAAAAAAATAATAATAAAAATCGAGACTGACTACATTAGGTAAGAATCGTTTGGGTTAATTATAAAACATATCTGTAAGGCCTAGAAAAAGCATGATAACAATAGAATAAGTCTTTTCATAAGAAGAAGATAAATAGAAAAGCCTAAAACTATGATAATTAAAAATTGATGTAAAACTACCATCACAATCAAGTATCTAAATTGTCTGCATCATAATTGTAGGATCCAAATTATTAATTCCATTTCAAATAATCTTTTAAGTCGTTTTGATTAACTGTGGGTTTGACAATCTGAAGCGCTCTTTTAAAATCATCTATTGTTGTTGCTCTTATTTAATCCAATTTCAAATTTTTAATAGTATACATTTTAGCAGCATCTCTAATTGAATACATACAAGCCTAAAAAATGATATATAATTAGTTACTTCTCTACTTAGATTTCTGATATCAGCACCTGAATATCCTTTAGTTAATTCAACTAAAGTTTATAATTCAGAAGTATTCATTTGTATTTTTTTCCCTTCTTTTGCTTCTTTAATAATTAAATTCTCAAAATACGATAACCTTCCCTCTTTATTAGGTAAAGGAATATAAATCTTTTTTTAGAATCTCCTTTTAATGGCATCATCCAATTCTTAAGGTCTATTAGTAGCTCCTATAAAAACAATTCTTTCACATCCTCCTCTTGTTGCTCCTTCTAATTAAACCATAAATTCTGTTTTAATTTATCTACTAGTTTCATTATCTTTTTCAGATCTAGCACACAATAAAGAATCAATTTCATCAAAAAAGATTACACTAGGTTATCTTTAAGCAGCTAAAGCAAATAAAGCTCTAACTGTTTTTTCTCCTTCTCCAACATATTTAGATGTTAATGTAGATGCTTTTATAGAAAAGAAAGTTGCTTTTCCTTCACTTGCTATTGCTTTACCTATCATAGTCTTTCCTGTTCCTGGTGGTCCAAATAATAATAATCCACTTCCTGGAGCTATTATCCCTTCAAATAATTTTGGATTCTCTAAAGGCCATAATGCTATCTCTACTACTTAATCTCTTACATGATCTAAACCTACTATATCTGTCCATTATGTTGGCTTATCCATTATTTCTATTATGTCAGATTCTATTTTATTTATTATGTTATCTTCAAAATTTGTCTAATTTTATTATTTCTCATTTTTTAATTATATTTATTCCTATTTACTCTTATCACCTACTTTTGTTGGAGGCTGAAATCTTTTCTTTGGCATCAATTAATTAGCTTAAACAAAACCCAATTATTATTAATTTTATTATTGACCTTATTAAATTTAATTTTAAACTAGTTAAGTTTATTGAACTTATTGAAATTAATCCATTTTTATATCTTACTTTTTTATATTAGCTGGTATATTTAATTTTATATATTCAGCTCTATTTTATATGAATTATTTCATTTAAGCATAATTTATACACTTTAAATCTAAATGAACTTTCAAAAGTGATTGCTTATTTTTTTAATTTTTCAAAAATGCTTCAGTCTATTCTTAGATTATAGAAATTACTTTAGTTACTTAAATTTAGAAAATTTTTATTTTTTGCTTCCAAATTAGTAATCATTTCAAAAAAATAAATATTAATATATATTATCAATTAAATAATTACTATTACTAAGATGTGAATTAGTAAAATGAATTATTCTCTTGTTACTAAATATCGAATTTCCAATCATTGAGATTCAGCTTCTCCTATTTTCTTCTCTCCAAAATTATAATAGGAATTTAGCATATAACTGGAATAGCCAAAGAAGTTAGCAATCCATCCTTAATTATAAATATTTATTATTACAGCAAATGCCTCTACTTATAAGATGTAATGGTTATTAATAAACTGCATTTTGACAGTTGCTGCCAAATCTTCTGGAATAGTAATGGAACTTTTTAATATTTCACTTCTCTTTCCCGGAATAATTCCTGGTAAAACATTAGAATATAATATTTTATTTTCTATCAATCTCTCATTTTCATCATCATCAGTGAAACTTAAATAATGATTCAACTTCACTTCCACTTTTGTTATTGATCTTTAAGACCTAGTAGTATTTAAAATATATTCTAATTCCAAAATTTCTCCAGGCTTATATAAATTTTTTGCAGTTCTGATACTTAATTCAACCATACCCCTATGAATACAGAAAAACTAAACAATATTGCCTTCACTTTCTCTTTTTTACTCCATTAATTTAAATCTACTATTAATATACACTGGTATGCTTTTTTATATTATGACTTAATTTGATTATGAATCACTTATTTTTAAGTAGATTTTATATTATATTTTAGCCTATTATAATCCTAAATTTTATGAATAAAGTAATACCATCTTATTTTCTATAGAAAAAACTAGAATTCATCCCAAATTTAGTAGGTACCTAAAAAGGTAATTTATAATCTCCACTTTTAATCTTTCCTCTATAGAGATCTTAGATGTGAGTATAATCCTCATTTACACCATATTATCTAGTTATTTAGAACATAGTTCCATTATGTAATTCAAATTTTTTTTTGGGATTAATTTACATTTTAAAATTTCTTGGAGTATCTAAAGTAATTTAAACTTGTTTATTTTTTTCTAACAATTTTTCTGGAATCATTTGGGGATTATTTACATCATAAGGAATCAAATATTAAATTAATTATTACTTGTCTTTTATGTAAAATTTTGGAATACTCTATTGCAACAAATATTAATTAAACATGTGCTTGCTGAATGTCATCAATTAATCTCACATAACATATTCCATCAATATTTTCACCTGCACTTGACACTGGATTTTTAATCCAAAATAATATCTCATTAGAAATCATTTAATACTAAAAAAGTATTAATTGATATTATTTATATGAATTTAACTTAGAAATAATTCATTTTTAATTTTTTATATGCCATAATCAACTATTTTGAATTAATTAAATTAACAGTTAATTAAATGAGCTACTCATAAGAGTTCTCTCCTTTATCTATGAAAGAGGAGATATTTTTTAAAAATGAATCAGAATCTACATCATTAGAATAATAATTACAAATAGCAAATGAAAAAGTCATATAACTTATGCAATATTAATAATAATTAAGGTAATTTTATATCAATATCTGAGTGAAGAACTAGAGCATTTACATTATAAATATAGAGAGACATAATAAGAGAATGAAATACTTTCAAATTAATTACGTTAAAATCCAGATGAAGCTAAATTTCTTAATTGTGTTCTTGATATGGTTCGTGTTTGTCATCCTTAAGACAAACCAATCACATTAAAATATGCATGGAAATGGTTAAAATATGTTGTTGATGATTATATTGAATTAAGAAAAAGAAATAAAAATTCTAATACTTAAAGTGAAGTATTTAAAAATCCAAAAAAAAATTCAATTGTTGTTGGTGATTTATTAAGAAAGAATTGCCAAGTGGCAGAAAGCTAATATATAAAAAACTCTAAATGCCATAATTGATAGTTAATATATAATTTTTGTTGCTTATATAAATTAATCAAGCCTCATATATACTTTAAATAAATAAAAAAATTAAATATTTCTTAATGGGCAATTTATTTGGTAAAAGTGATAAACAGAAAAAACAAAAATAACAACAGCAATCTTCTTACCCAACAAAATCTTAATTTCCATCTCAAAAGAAGGAATTGAGTGAGGGTGAAAAAATGAGAATGAAATTGTAACATCATAGAGATGAATTGAGAAATAAAAGAAAACAGATTGATTTATAAATTGAAACCTATGAAAAAGAATTAAGAGTACAACCAAATTAATTATGATAGACATTAATCTAACAAAATAAAAGAGATTAGGCTAAGTTTGTATTATAGAGAAAATTATTGTATGACAAGTTTCTTGATAATATTATGGAGAAGGAATAAATTATAGAAAAATCTATTATTTCTGTAGATTAAATGCAATCTGTAATATTGATTTTAATTAATAGGATAAAGAAATGGCAGATGTTATTAATTAAACAAATGAAGTCATGAAAGATATCTAAGCTTCCATAGATTAAGATAAGTTAAGAGATGCTTTTGCAGATATGTAAGAATAGTAATAGAGAAACTAAGAAATGAATTAAATGTATCAACAATATAAAATTGGTGATGAAGATGAAATTAATGAATTATATGGAAAATATGAATAATAGATTTTTAATACTAAACCAATTTAACAAGTTCAATAAACTTAATTTGTACCATTGCAATAATAATAATAATAACAATAACAATAATAAAAATAATAACAATAATAATAAAATGAATATTCAGATAAATTGGCAATGTTAGAATGAAAATTATAAGATATATATAAAAAAGAATAAATTATTTAAATTTCTAAAACTTAAATACTATTAATTAAAAAAGAAATTATAAAATTAATTTCTTTTATGAAATTTAAAGTATAATGTATAGATAAAGAGTATACAGTCTAAATGTGTTCTAATTTCAGAGAATTTTTTGATGTATTCAGCTCTATTGAACCTTAATTCAATTTAGATTATTTTATATATGAAGATGAAGAAAAGGACATTATTACAATATCTAATGAAGAAGACTTTAGTTGTTTTTTAAATAGTTCTATTTAAAGTTTATAAGCATAAGGAAATTATAAAAGTTTAAAGTTACAATAAGAATCAGAAAGGAATTTGATTCTTATTCAAAACTTCAAAAATAAATCTTAAATATTTGCTAAAAGGTTGAGATAGAATCTATTAGATGTAATAATAAAGCATTATTTCATAGAAAAAAATGTATTATGAACATTATTTGTATATGATTAAGACTCTAAGAAAGTTACCAATAGAATAATAATAATTATATCAAGAAAAAAAGTTAATTTTGATAAAAATTGAGGATTAAAATAAAAGTGTAGAATAAAGTAAGTAACTTAAAATGAGAACAGATAAAGTTTGCGATTTTTTTATTTCGAATATATATTCAATTATAGATGAGGCTGATAAAAAAATAACTTATAATGAGTCATCTTAAGAAGAATTTAATAAAAATTTGGATTATATTTCTAATAACTTGGTTGAGTAGATTTCCTTAATATATTAAAATAGATATAATAAATTAATTGAAATTAGAGAAAGATAAATGAAAGAAATAAGAAAAATGATATAATTGAAAAAAGATTTGTATAAGTTGAAAATCAAATGAAAAGAAGAGAGAAGGAATTAATTTTAAAAGAAAAATATTTTATACAGGGTATAAATGCAATTAAAAATTTATAAAGAAAGCTTTGATTTTATTATTTTATTTAAATTATGAAAATAGAAGTTCATATAAAAGATAAATAATTTGCAATAAATTGTGGAGATGGATTACAGAAGGTGAAATGGTTAGGAGATGTAGCAATATTTAGACATAGTCATTTCTATTCATAAATAAACTCAACAACAAAAGGAATAAAATTAGAAAATGGAGAAATGGTTGATTTGAATGCTATAATAAGTAGTACTTTAGCAGAGAATACTCATGTTTGGGTTGTATTAAAAGGTATTATACAAAATTGAAATTTATAGAGGATTTAGAAGCTATGGGAATGGATGCTAAATAATAGCAACAATAACATAAGAGACCAATAACTGCTGTAAGTAGAAAAAAATGAAAAAATGTTTTACTAATAAATTTAATTTGCAAATATTATATGTACATTGTTTTTTTCTCTTTTGTCTATGTTGTGTATTCGATAACTTATGTAATCAACAAAGATGAGATTAAAGTAAATCAAAAATAAATGCTTAGATTTTGGAGAATTATGCAATTGGGATTGAAAAATATGATAAATTAAAAGAAAAACTATCTATTTATAATGTTGGTTAAATTGATAATGATGAACAGATTATTCAAATTATATCTATGTTTATGCCTTTTGATTCTTAATAAAGAGTAGATATCTTAACCAAAAAAATAGACAATAAATACAGAGTATATACTTTATATTATACTAAATAAGTAAATATCAAAAAATATATAACTAGTAAAGTTCAGAATATAATTTAAAAAAAGTGGAATTAGAAGAAGAAAATTGTACATCTATAACATATTATAATAACGAATTTGTGGTTGATTGTACTTTTTCATAAATTCTTTTTGTATTGTAGAATGGAAATAAAATCTAATATAACAACACTTAAAATCTTTAATTCACTAAAATTTTTGGGTTTTATAATGGATTATTAGGTTTATCTCCAGGATATTTAACGTTCTTTAATGAATCATTGTATATGGAAAGGTAGATTCAAATAAATTACATTTAAGTTTTAAAAGATGAAAAAAATGTTTATATATTAACTGAACTATAAGTTATCTAATATACATAAGATGGAGGTGTAATTTTATATGATCATTCATGTTAAAAAAAACCTGAATTTATGACAATATTAGGTGATATTTTTTACATTTAATGTGGTACTTTAAGAAAGATTCATAATAAAGAGATTGAAGTATTTTCATAAAAAGTAACTCAATTGTCTGCCACTAATCGATATCTTATTATAAATAATACTAGTATTTATAATAAAGACTTTGATTCCAATTTTTAAGTTTCTATTGGTTAAATCTATCCAACAAACTATGATGACGATATAATACAAATAGTAAATAATAAAATATAAATTGGTTCAATTTTTGGTTACTACTTAATATAATCAGATGAAATTTGTTAATTTAATTTATCTTTTAATTCTTTTTATGTTGTAGATTAAGGATTATAAACATTAAATTCTGGAGAATCCGAATTTTATGGTAATGAATATAAAATTCTAAATTATGTTTCTGGACCTTTTATATAAATTTAAGAATAAGGATTTCTTAATCAGCCTTATAAATTGAATATTGAAAAGGAGCTTACAAATAAACAATTGTTAACATTACTTAATTATTTGGATGAATCCATACTGTTAATATATTTATAAGATTCTCAATTATACTCATAAAAATGTTAAACTAATAAATTACACCTTCTATGTGAAATAGAAGTACTCTTAGCACAAAATATTCCATAAGACATTAGGAATGTTTAAGGAACTGTTGTTGGAAATCAAATAATTATTGCTTATTAATCATAAGATACACTATTTATTTATATTGATAACATCCTTTTATAGTCAATCAATAAAGTTACTACTTTTCTATTGTACTAAAATAATATAATAATTCTAAACCAATCTTAAGTAACTATAAATTATGTAATTGATAAATAATTGAAATAAGAAACCTAAATTAATATAACTTGTATAATGGTTTCAATGTTTTCAAATGATATTGCATTAGTTGATTAAAAAAATAATCTTGTAATAATAAGTAATTCTAATAATGGGTGGTATTAATCTTTTATAAAATCATTTCAAGATAAAATTTTTAATATTAATTATATTAATTCTTAATTAATTGTTCTAACAAATAAATAAGCATTTGTTTATGAGAATAGAATTTTAAGAGGAAAGTTACTTTTAGATGATCCTATTGAAAATCTCAATTATTAATCAACTTAAACTCATTTATATATTTATAATAGTACAAACATTCTTTAATTTCAAATTTATTCTGAACTTTCCTTATCAAGTTGGCCATAATAAATAATTTAATAAAAAATTGAATAAAGATTTCTAACATTAACATTTAGAGAGCATGAACTATTACTTTAAGATAATAATCTATACATATATAGTTCAATTTTAGAATTTACACCTAACAACATTGTAGAAAGAGATGTCTATTCTAGATTTATTTTTGTTGATGTAATTTTCAATAATTATAAAAATTAATCAATAACTGTAAAAGTCAAATTAATTGGTAATATTTTGAAATTGTAGCCATTATAATTTAATCAAACAGATTATAAAATAAATAATGGTTTATTATAAATTGATTAAAGTTTATTTTTTGATGGACCAATTTCAAGTATTATTAGCGATTCAAAAGATAATTTTTAAATCCTTGAAAGAGTTACTTAGTCTTAAAATTAACCAAGTTGGATAAAATATGGTTTTAATGATCTAATATATATTGGAAATGATTAAAGAATAGTTATATAAAATTCATCTTTATTTCTGTTTTCAGAGAGCAAGTCTTAATAAATTTTAAATGATATTAAAAATTGCTTTACCTTAGAATAAGATCAATTGTAATTTTATTTGGTTTGTTAAAACTTTATATATGCTGGTTTGAAATAAAACCCAGAATAAATAGACAAATTTGATTTTGACATATCTTTTAATTAATTAATAAGTATCAAATTTGATTAAGGTTAGAAAATAGGAATATTAAATCAATTAGATTAGGATACTCAGATTTCAATTTATGAAAACTATAAATTAAAAGAACAAAAAGTAATTGATGGACTAAAGGATTTTTAATTTAGTGATGATGCAAATTTAATATTATTAATATCAAATAAAGTGATAATTGTTGATAGCTAATTAAAAGAAATTAATTAATTTGATTTATTAGCTAATTTAATATAAACTGAATAAAACTCTGCATTATAATTCATAGAATTTTAATAAATTTGCTAATATAAAGAAAACTAATATATAGTTTCAAGTAAAGATGGTCCAATTTATTTAATATTTTTGAATAAACAATATTCTGAGTTAGTTTTGCAATTTACAAATATCTAAGGCACAACTGCAATAGAAACTTACTTATTAGAAAAATCAATATTAATATGTATATAGAAGAATGAAAATAATGACTATTTTGCTGCTTTTTATGATTTTGAGGATAAATCAAAATCTTCCCTAATAATTCCATATTTTAATGTTATAAAATTGGGATCACCTTTATCATTTTATCATTATACAAGACAATATAATAATAATTCAATAGTATTAAATGAAAGATCAGGTGCAATTTCAGTATTTTTAATTAATGATTATGTAAAATAATTTAAAATTTGCTTAGCTCCAGATAAAAAGTATTTCATAAAATAAGAAGTTAGAAGAATTAATAGCAAATGATTTGAATTTTTAGTAGACAAAAGTAAATTTAAAAATAGATTTGAGTGAATCAGAATAAAAGGAAAATCGGATCATAGTAATTTATATTTTATGTGGAGTTTTTGGAATTATATTTTTATTGATAGCGTTCAGGTATTTGAGAAGATGCTGTTTAGCAAGACACCTTAAATTAATCGAAGAAAAACCTTCATAATTTAAAAGTGAATATATATGAAATATTTAAATATTATAAAAATAGTACTTCAAGTAAATTTAAAGATTAATATAAATTTAATATCATGTGTATCAAGACTAGATTATTTCCAAAACTTTTAGGCTTCTAAGATTAATATCTCTGCAGCCTTTTCTATTTCTAAAGGATAGTATCTACCAATTAATTTACATATCTAATAATAGATAAATAGTATTATACATCATCTCCATTTAGATATTCAAATTATCCATCTTTTCCTAATAAGATAAAGTGATGATCTTATTTAGTTAATAATACTTCCTCTTTAACTGATACTGCAATTATTCCAGCTTTGATATTCATTTTAACTCCAAAAGATTTCTATACTTTCTAAATTAAATTTCTTGAATGAAGAAAATAAATGACTAAATCTTCCATGACCATCATAGATACCAAATAATTTATATTGTATAATTTATTATATTTTACTTGACTATTAATCTTTTAAAATTTAATAAGATCCAGTCCACTTAATTTTTTTGATTAATATGATAGATTTCTTATAAATTCTTTAGTTTTTTAGCTAATTAAGTATATATTTTATATGATCAATTTATTTACATAACTTTAGGAGTTATAAGTCTTATTAAAATTTATTTTAGAACTAATATTTGTTGAAATATTTAACTATTACAAATTTTAAGCTAGCTTTTTTTTTGGTCATTAAATCTTCGTTCTGAAGTCTGGTTAAATAAAAATAAATTTTTTAAATATAAAATGGTTTATTCCTGATTCTGATTAATTAGAATAGGAGTATAATTTCTTTTTCTTAAATAAATCATATGTTTATTTATATAATTATATTTTTTGATAAATCAAATATTCATAATGACAAATGATTAATTATTAATCATCTTATTCCTTAAATACCATAGTTAATTATCTTTAATAATTGTTAGTTCTCTATAGCAGCCAAAACTCTCTCTTTATCTTAGAATAACTTATTTAATTCTTATTCTTTAATATGTGTGTTCTCTTTTATTTAAACATAAATTTTATAATTTTAAGGCAAGCTTCTTACCAATTTAATTTTCAAAGTTAATCCTATTGTTTAAGCCATAGAACAATGAGGAATAGTAGGAGTAAAATACACAGTTATTCTATTTCCTTATATTTGGATATCATTGGGGTTAACTATATTCAATTATTCTAGAGTGAATGAATGTTCAGGATCCTTTATTGTTTTAATTAAGTCAAATATTTCATATTCATCTATAGGATCTTCAATATCTGGATCATATTCTTATTACTTTCTTTAAATATATTGTTAAGTGAATTCGAAATTACCTGTTTGAAAAATTTATGGTTTAGGATTTTCTAATTACATTTAATTTATAAATACTCCATTTATAGTGTGTAATTTTATTATTTTATGAACATTTCAGAAAATGATTTGCAATACTTAATATAGACAGTAAACAAAAGATCAATGTTTAAAACTCAATATGACATTGAGTTCATTCATTCTAAACTTAAAGATTTCAATTTCTTTAGAAATATGAATAGAGAAATTGGAGATTTGCGATATTATAAAATATTAAAAGAACTACAATATGAGTGTCCTAATCCTTATGAATCATTAGTGAATATAGGAGAGTAATGCTCTAAGTTTTACTTTATTCTTTCTGGAAGATTTCTAATTCTTACAAACAATTCAATTGCCAATATATAATTACCAACTGAAATGTAAGCTAAATGAATAAATTTAAGTTCAAAAAACTTAGATAAATTATTTCCTAATTTGATTCCATAAGGATATTTATAAACAGGTCAATATTTTGGAGAATAAGTTATGATGTTTGATTAATAGCATACTCAAACAATATTGCCTTTAGAAAAGTCTCACCTTCTGGTAATAAAAAGAGAAACATACAGAAGAATTATTGGTATAAAACATATTATATTTATCATACTTTTAGATTAAGAAATGAAAAAAAGAGAATAAGAAAGATTTTCTAATTTAAGTTCAATTCCACTATTTTAAAAATGGAGTGCTAAAACAATAAAAGTGTTATCATGTGAAATCTAAGAGTTAAACTTTATTCCTAATCAAATAATTTATTATTAAGGAGATCCAGTTGATTCAGTATATATTATTATTGATGGTTAAATTTAATTATTTAGAACAACTAATAAAAATTCAATACCATTTTCAATCTTAGGATGCAAAGAAAGTTTTGGAGATGATGAAATTCTTACTTAATTTAGAAGTCATTCTGCTAAAAGTCTTACTAGTGTTAAACTTTATAAAATTAAAAAAAAACAATTTTTGGATCTTATTCCATTTGATTATTCTAATAAAGATTTCCAAAAAAGCTAACATCTTTAATTTAATTTTAATCAAAATGAAGATTATACTAGAATTTATAGATCTGAATCATTAAAAGCTATCAGATCCCCAGCTAAATTATTATAAAGAATAATAAGAAGAAGCTAAGATAAGAATAAAACCTATTAATCAATATCATTTTAGCAAGTTCAAGATCCTATAAGAAAAAATATTCGTTATTCAAATACTCCTACTGTTCTACAAAAATCTAATAGTATTCATGAATAAATCAGAATACATGCAAATCCTAAATTCGATAAAACTATTTTTTTATTAAATCAAATCAAGTTAAGATCAACAAATATTTGGAAAAAAACTAAATGATTTATACTTATTTATTATTTTTATTTCCTTTTCATATTTTATTATTAACAAATACTTATTTATTCAAAAATATAAGTTTTTACATTAATCAATTCCATACTTCTTTCTTTGAAATGAATTTTCAAAAAGGCAAAATGCATAGTTTTATATTTCACAAATTAATTGATTATTTCATTAAAATTATAAAACAATCCTCAATCAATTATTTTGAACTTAGAGCCCTTATTCTGTATCTCCTTCAAGAAAAAACCATTACATCACAGACTCTATTAAAAATTTAAATACTAAATTTTTTCAATTTTCAAACCAAATTTATTTAGATTAGATAGTTTTCAATTGATCTACTTAAGAAGCAAATATTTCTTGAAAAAGAGAATCCATTATTTTAAAAAAGAAAAAAAAAAGTATTAAATATAAATTAAGTGGTTTTTTCCTTTTAATATTTATTAAATGAATTTCGATCCATTCAATCTATTTTTTGAGGAATTCAAATATAAATTAAAAAAACACAATATTTCATGTCCTCATCCTGATACTGAGTAACTGGCAAGAAAAGAGTGGGAATAATTAAACTAATAAGAAAAACATAGATTTTTATATATGGCTAACAGATAAGAAGAAGCATATTTAAATTTCCAAAATATAATTACAATAAATTAAGAAAACTCTAAAATAGCAAAAAAGTTAAGTAAGCAAGATTCAAAGTTTTAAAAATATCATTTCCAAATTAATTATTGCAAAACAAATGATTGTGAAAGCTTAGCAGATTTTATTGAAGAAGAACTTTATAATGTCAATAAAACTTTAAAAGTAGAACGTTATGCTTTAACAGGCAATTTTGGGGCAGTTAGTTTATTTGGAATTTAAGAAAAAAGATAATCTGTTTTGATTTGGCACACATTAATTAATGGTTCTTTACATTTGAAATCTTAAATTAAGCATTTGAGGGAAAAAATTTTGAAGTTTCTTACTCCTTGAAATGCAAGATTTGAATTACTTCTAAATATTATTATCCTATATTATAGCATTATTTTAATAAGTATTTATCTAAATTTATTCATACTATTGTATGCAAATTATAAATTTTTCTGATAATATATGATAAATTAAAAACATATTTTATTTTCTATAATCTAATTTAAAAGCTTTTTCAATTTAAATTAAGTTAAGATGAAGTACAATATTTTCCACCATCTATTATCCTCTTGTAATTTTTAAAATTGTTATTAACAATCTTTTTATAATTATGGTATTAATTTACCCATTTAGACTTTTTAGACAGCTACTCGTTAATCAGAAAGGAGAAAATCCTCTAATTTAATTATATTTATTTATTTTAATTTTGGTCTATTGATTTAAAATAAGATTTTTTTTAAAGTTCAATTAATATAAAAGGAATTAATAAATAAAATTATTACATTATTTAAAATAAACTAAAAGATTAATATGCTTAATAAAATTCATAATTCAATTTCAATTTTTAAATGACCTAAGTTTCTAGATTTAGCTTAAATTTTGATGATGAAAATCAATAAAAGCAAAAGGAGCATTGAAATCAAAGCATATGGCCAGCTTTACTTAGGGTAATCGAAATCAGGTAACAAAAATTCAAACTAATAATTTCCTGAACTAAAAAGATTACTACAAGTGATGTTTGCAATTAAAGATTTGTTTTTTTTTTTGAAATTACATGATAACTCCTAAGTAACTATCGGAAACAATTATAAACCTTTTTTGGTAAAGGCAATTAAGCTTCCATTTTAATTTTTTTAATCATAAATAGATGCATATAAAATATTGCTGGTAGAAAAAGAGCAAAACATTAAAATAGGTTGTGAAAAATTTTTTTATATAAAATTCGTAAAGTTATAAACTGCAAGTAGATATTAACTTCCGTTATAAAATTATTGTATTAAGATTTCATTATTAATAATGGAAGTTTGATTCAAACTATTATTGAGAAATGGGGGAATAGTTGTGAGAACTTACTGTAAAAAATATAAATTGTTAGCTAAATTAAAATAAAAAATGTTAATGATGCTTAAACCATTTGTATCAGTAAATAGTATTATTATTTAGTCTATCTTTACATCTAAAATTATAAAATTTGCCGATGTATTAATTCTTTGGAATTAATAATAATAATTTTATTCTATATCTGTCAATTTATCATACATTATTTCAATAAATATTCCTGTGTCATTTTGGATTAATTATAACATCATACCTACAAAAACTATAAATCGACTTTATTAATAACCTTGATCAATAACTATATCCACAAAAGTAACAGAAAAATCATCACATTAACCAATGTTCAATAAACTGTTATTTTTGTAATAAAATAAGAATAAATACTAACGTGAATAATTAGTTATTTAGCCCAAAATAAAATTTAAATCATAGAGACTAACAATTTTCTTTATTGATGAAAAATTCTGAGGAAGAGTAAAATTATTTATAAAATTTAGTTCTCCTGTTTTACTATTTAATTAAAAAATCAACCAGTATTAAGAGGCTTAATTTTAACAAATCGAGTACAAATAATTTTCAAAAGAAGTTGATTAGAAACACAAGGTTGAATTAAATTTAGAATAATCCATAATAAATAAATTATCATTTGTTTAGTTTAATATTTAAATTGAAGTAATATTTTGTAAAGCAAAATATTAATTATTTATAGATGTCATTATTGTACAATTATAGATGTTAGAATTAATTTTAATTCCAGAGTAATTAGTTAAAGTGCATTAAGAAATGGGCTAAGGTTCGACATTACAGTAATTGATTTATCTGTAGATAATATTGCTTAAAGGTACTTTGAAAGTTTTCTAATAGTAATTAACTTCTTCAAAATTAAGATTATATTATTATTTATTCATAGGTTAATAATAAGTATAATTAGTATAATATGTTATACTTTGATTAGGAGTTTATTAAAAGGCAGTTGAATTTAATAATGATGAAATAGTGTAATTATAAATTAGTTATGGGTATTAAGCACCATAATTAAGAGATTAATTTACTAAAATACTTACACGCAAAGTACTTTATAGAAATAAAAAACATCCTGAATTATATATTTGGGTTTAATAGGAATCAAATTAAGAAACAAAAGTGGAGGATTTTAATTAAATCCTATAAAACAAACAATTACTTTCAGGTAAATAAGGATTGTAAACATACAATGTATAATTAGGAAATAAAACATAAAATAATTAATTATCTGATTAAATTTAAATATTTCCATCATAATTGATGTTATAAAGAAACCTTAAAAATTATGGTTTTCTGATATTTTAAACATTATATACTTAAAAGCAATTGATATTAGAATGGCATTAATAAGAAATTATTAATAATTATTTAACAAGATTCAATTATTTTATTTAATAGGGAAAATCTTGAAAATAAATAGGTATAACATTATTCTATCTTAGAGTCAAAATAAAAAAGTTATTTTCATTATTAACATATAAATAAGAAGATTGTAATTTTACATTCAGTTCTATTTAAATAGGATGAAATCGTATGTTTTAAGTGCGATTGAAATAATGTTTCACCAAAGTTTCATCTAATTTTAATTTTTAAGTACCCCATAATAATTAAAATATTATTTCTTTTTTAAAGAAAAGGACAATTAGATAATTATAGGTTAGTAAAAATTATGAAAAAGGTTTACCAAAATGAAATGATGATTAAATTAGTTCTTCATTTATTAATTAAAAAATATATACTGAATCTAAATCACTAATTCCAACCATTATCATACCTGTTAAATTATAAGCTACTTGTAATTACTGAGCATTTATTTTAATTTCAGCTTTAGTTATTAATGTAAATTATAGTTAAGTATTATAATTAATGGCTGAATATTTATATTTATAAAAGAACAATGAGAAATTATCATATCCTATAAAATAATTACCTAATATTTGAAATAAGGAAAATTGTTCTGTTTAAAACTAACATGTCTCTGAAAGTGTTTCATCTTAAAAACTACCAAATTGATAATTGTTTTAATTAACTTAAAACTATAATAATTATCCTGAATAAGCCACAGTTATGCTTTCATTTTTAAATGGTTAAATAATCCCAGAATATTGTTGAAGATTCGTAGTGTACATCACATAAATATTGGTGTCATTTTATTACAACACTTACAGGGTTATAGCAATCTTACAAATTTTAATATTAGTTAAATTTTTTAATTATGCAGATAATTAAAAATTATAAGTCTATCCTGCTAAATTCTAATTTACAAGGTTAATTTCTAATGCAGGATTATTTAATTAATATACATGTATTTTATTTTCAAATATAAATAATTAGTTATTTAATGAATCAAAATGAACCAAAGCATAATCACATATTTATATAATGGCTAAAGAGAATGTATTATAATTTAACTAATATAGTTTTACATACTATTTTGCTAAAATAATCATAAAATTATTATTGAAAAAAACATTCAGAATATGAATATCAACTAAACCAACACCATTTGAATTATCATTTCTGATAAACTGGCCTTCACACCCAAAAATAAAAAAATAAAGATGACGTTCAATGTACATTATTTAATCACATTCTGAAAAATAATCAAAGTTTTAAAATACATAAAAAGTGCAAGCTTAAACTAAAATCTGAGTAGTAATTTCAAATTAATAAGTTTGATTAATTACAAGTTATAAGATAGAATTTCTGGTTAATACATATATACAAGATAATTATCCTAATAATGAGGAATCAAAGTCAATATAATCATTTTACCAAATAGATAAATTCTAAAATTGAGATGAAAATAAGGTAATTGTAGAATTAGATGAATATAATTAACCATAAACTATGTAATTTTTTTATGAAATAACAATCTCTCTAATTTTTGATGAATTAGGCTGTGTAGAAATTGCTTAATAAACAGTTATTAATTTACTATCTGTTAATTAAAAGAAATAAAAAGTATTATCTTTGTAACAATCAAGCAAAATTCCAGATTCTACTGAAATTAAAATATTTAGACATTTATATGCCTTACTAATTGGGATCTATTATCCATCTTATTAGAGAATTTAATTTTCATATTTATAAATAATTATATCGTTATGTGAGGTGATTGTAGCGAAGTGAGATATGTTACAAGAAATAGACAAATATTCTAAATTATAATATATTTTACTCTGTCCTGAAATTGAACTAATCTCTTCTACAGCATTGATAACGTTGACGAAGGGAAGTTAAGGTTGATACGAATATAAGATATTTGATCCAAAATAATATTCATTCATATAGATTAATAAACGTTCACCCTCTGTTGGATAAATACTGATTTGTTCAATATTTTCTGCTGCAAAATAATTTGTGTAGCATGCCTTAATTACTGCTCCCAACAAAAAATTGATTATCATTTATTATTAATTATAATCATTAATTTAAGTTTTTGGAGTGTTATAAAATAAAAATTAAGATTCTTTATTGTAGATTTAGTAGTTATAACATAGAATTACTTTTAAATGTGATTTATTAAGTATTGACAATTATTTTTTTTATCTTCTAATTGATTATCAATATCATCATTATATTCAAAGATTATTATATTTTTATATGGTTTATAAAGTTTCTTTCCATTTATTAAATATTCTCTACTTTAATTTAGATGTGAGAAAATAAAATATTTAGACAATAAATACAATGTTACAGAAGAATAATCAATTTCAAATTAGAACTTAATTTTTATACAAACTTTAGTAAATTAAATTTAAATTTTTAATAGCAGTATTTATTTTGTATAAGTTAGATGATTTATCTGAATTTTAAACCAATGTTTCATCTCTCAATTTTAATTTGAATTCAATTGATAATCAAAATCATTAGAATTTATTTATACTAATCTAATAATTATATTATTAAATTATATTAATATAATTTGTAATTTAAATAAATGGACAACGAAATAATGAATCAATTTGTAAAATCTCAATTGATTGATTTGTTTAATTCATAAACAAAATCTTAGATTTTCAAATCCTAAGATAGAGATGATACTTAAATTGATGATTTTGATTTCAATATCAATGAAGTTAGTGAATAATAATGTTACGACGCATTAATAGAAAAATCTTAATCAAAAATTGATGTTTAAAAAAATAAAGTATAAGATCTTAATCAAAAAAAAGAATAACTTAAAAAGTCTTTGATGGATTTATAAGATGAAGTATAAAGGCTTGAAGAAAAATTATAATAAGAGAAATTAAAAAGTAAGGACGCTAGAAAAACTATTAGTTTTAATTAAGAGGAAGAAAAACAAATTTAATTTAAACAAAAATAGTATGAATAATTGTTAAAAAAATATGAAGAATTTATAAAAAATGAAAGTAAAAGAGAAATGAATGAAATCTAATAGGAATATAATAATAAGTCAAATTAGGAAAGAATATAGTCTAATAAAAATATAAATAATAAAAAATTAGAAGAACGATTAATTTTAGAATTTAATTAAGTCAATTAAGAATTATATGAATATTAAAATATAATAAATCCTTAACTTTAAGGGAATTTGATTGAATTACAATAAATGATGATAGAAAATGATGAATTTAGTATTTAAAAGATGGAAGTATAAAAAAATTAAATGTTAGAGCATTTGAATACAATAGAATAAGATTAAAATAATTTATTATATTAAAAGTTAGATTAGGCAGAAGAGAGATTATTGAATATTTTTGAAATATATAATAAACAAAAAAAAGAAATAGAGGAACTAAAATAGAGAAAGAATTAATTATATAAAAATATAGTGATCGGAAAAATAAAAGTGGATTCTTAAAGATCATTGTATAAGAAAATAAAGAAAAATTAATCATTTAAATTGATTTGCTTAGGAATAATATTCATAATTGGAATGTAAGTAATATTCAGATTATTACAAGATAATTCTTAATAAAATTGGATATAAATAGATTAAAATTGATATAGTGTCATATTTTATACATATTTGTTAAATAATATATTAAGATTATATTTAAGATTAAAATAAATAAATTACATCATTATCTATGGATTAAGAATCAGAATAAATAGAGTAAGAAGTTTAGAAGGAAATAAAAGAAGAATAAATAAATGAATAAAAGAATTAATAAGTTATAGATTATCCAAAGACATAGATTGAGATAGCAATAACAGAAGTAATAGTAAAAGATGGTGGATTGGGATCAAAATTTACTTAATATATGATAAAAGGAACAGATAATTTAGGAAGTTTTTAAGTTTATAGAAGATATAATGATTTTTTTGATCTTAGAGCAAATTTAATAAAAAAATGGCCAGGTTGTTATATTCCTCCGATTCCTGAAAAATTGTTAGGTAGTGGAAATGATACTGAGACTGTTTAGATTAGAAAACGTTTAATGGAGATATTTTTAAATGTTTTAACAGAATTGCCATACATTTATTATTCTGAAGATATTTAATAAATATTCTTAAGATCATCTAATACAGAAATAAATAAAGTAACTATATATCTAAAGATTAGTTATTTTAATAAGAAAAATAAATTAAAACAGTTGATATTATAAACAGACTTTAAAGTGCATTTCCAAATCTAGATGCTCGAGATTCATAAAATAGTGAATATATGTTATAAATAAGCACATTTTAAGGATAATTAAAAAAATCATAGGCTTATTTAAAATAGTATATTGAAGCATCATAGGCTGTTGCTTAATCTAGAAAATAGATTTAAAGTGAAAAATGTAATTAAAAATAATAATAAAAAAAGTGAATTTATTTTTTAGATCAATACCATTATATGAGAAAGTAATTCTATCTGAATATGTATGTGGTAAAGAAGATTTATTAGTAATAAGTAATCCTTCAAATATTGAAACATTTATGAATTTATTGGATTAACTTGTATGATTAATGAAATATATATTAGAAAGAAACTTATAATAAGTTTAATAGCATTGATAATATTACAGATTTATTTAGATATGAATTAAAAGATGCTGAATCAATTTAATAGACATTGATTTATAGAGAGTAATTACTTATTTTAAGAGCAAATCAAGAATAAAAAATGAGAGAAGATTAAGCTGAATTGGCTAAAATAGCTGCAGGTAAATAAACTTTAACAACAATAACGAATTCAGTATTTAATAAAGCTAAAGATTAATCATAATTAAAAGTTGAATAAAAAATATCTGAAGTATTTAGATAATATTATATTTTTTTAGGGTTAATAAGAAATTGAAAGATTATAGTCATTATATAATATTATAACAGCAGTAATAGCTACAAAGGAAATAGATAAATATAAATAAACAAGAATCAATCATTATCATAAATTTTTAAAATAAGTTTAAATTTAAGAATAAAAGTTATATGAATGTGAAAATGAAATACTATAGAAAATAAAAAATGAATGTGAAAATTTAATGTAACTATAAAATATCTAATCATTATGAAACTATATTTATTTATTTATTTTATATCATTTTATCAGATTTTATTATAAATATGGAGATTCTAATTGAATATACAAAAATATAAAACTAATTTAGAAAATAATTAATATTAAGAATATAAAACTTTTCATTGATGAATATCCTAATTTAAGAGGAACTTGAAAATAGTTAATAGTTCAGTAGTTAATCAATAATAAAATCACACTCCTACGTATATAATTAAATGCTAAAAATAAATAATGGGTTGAAACCTTACCCTTTTTCTGCAATTTTACTAAACTAAAATAACGATCCAGAAAATTTAATGATATCAGAACTAACATTTCGATCACTCTCTAATGATGTTGACTCTAAATTAATTTAAGAGTTTTAAAGTAGAAGACATATTATAGAACCTCATTAAATATAAATTAAATAAGCATCTTCTTTTTAACTTAGTAAACAGATGTGCTAAATATGCTTAAATGAGCTTAATAATATTATAATAATAGAATAATGCAATCACTAATTTTGTTAGAAATGTATAACCTTATATTTATACAATAAAATAATATCTGGTGAAGTATAGAAGATAACATGTCCATAATTTGGTTGTTGTTCAGTTTTAAATGAACTTTTGATAAAATAAAACATAAATTAAGATGTTTACTAAAAATATTAGAGGTAAAATATAATTAAATATTAAAGGTTCTTATTAATAAAATAATATGAACATGTTATCAATGGAAAATGGTGTCCTAGAATAGATTGTTTTAATTTTGTTTTTCAATAAGGATAAGAAAAAGTTTTATAATGTGTATGTGGATAAGAATTTTGTTTTGATTGTGGTAATCCTACTCATCCAAATAAGACTTGTTAAGAAAGTGTTGATTAAGTATTTGCTTAAGCATTACAAGATTATAAAATATAAAAATGTCCTAATTGTAAAACTAACATACTTAAAAATGGAGGTTGTAATCATATGACATGTACAAAATGCCATTATGATTTTTGTTGGTTATGTGGATGTAAGTATTCATCAATACATTATGATTGGATGAATCCATTTAATTGTCCTGGAGAATAATATTAAGAAAGAGATCCATATTCATTTCCTAAAATTTTAATATGCATTAGGGCAATATTAAAATTAATTATTTATGTATTACTCTCACCAATCTTGGCTATAGCAGGAATAGGAATGCTTGCTTATGGACTTGGATACTTATTATCTAAAATTTGTCATCTCTGTAAATACCTTAAAAGATGTTGCTAAATTTTATGTAATTGATATTGACTTAATTATTAATAATTCTAACATAATTCAATATACTTGTTTTTCTCAATTCATAGAGCTAGAAGGATTCATTAAAATTTCTAAAGAATCTAAGCTTTATTTTAAATTATTTATAAACATTAATATTTTTCTTTTCAACATTACTACTTTTATTTTATCATATGTTTAAATTTTTGGTTAAATAATTAATCTTCTAATTAGAATTATAAAATAGAAAGAGAATTATAAAAAATAGATCGATTTATGAAATTAATTAAATGTAAAATTTTAATATTATTGAAAACATAATATTTTTTATGAATAAAACTAATAACAGTATAAAAGATTTACAACTTAGACTTCTAATATCTGAATCTGAAAAATAAGTTGCACTATAAAAATTAAATGACATCAAACGTAGTGAAAGAGCTAAACCAAGTTTATCTTTTTTTTCACAATCTAAAGATGAAACAAAAAGAAAAGACAAAGTGGGTAAATTGTTAATAGAATTAATGAATTTGATTGCTACTAATAATTCTTTATAGTGTATGTTAGAAATAAATTCTTTAGAGAATATGATGAAAATATTTGATTAAGGAAAATGTTACAAATTACTTAAGAAGATTATAAAGCCATTTACATTACTAATTACATATTTACTAAATACAAATATAACAGAATCTTTAAGTGTAAGAAGTGAAAATCAAACACTTCAAAATCTTGCTAATTATAATTCAGTTTAAGCTGGTATTCAGACACCAATGTCATAAGTAATAACAATCAATTCAAATAATATGCATAATCATAAAACTTCATTTCCAAGTTCTATAGCTTTTAAACCTCCAAGTGAAGCTACTACACCTGAAAAAAGTGTTAAATAGGCTCCAATTTCATAACCACAATAAAAATAAACAACAACGTAATAACCAAAAGGGATAGGAAAAAATTAAAAACCAATTTAAAGAAGAACAGCTACCAGTAAGTTAAATACATGTGGAGATTGAAAAACTAGAATGATGATTTCAATATAATTTATTTTCATTATCAACAATCTAATATTTTAACTGTCTATGTTATTTAGAAATAGTCAAAGTAGAAAGAGTATTGATTATTATGAATAACACTTAAAATAGAGTAAAGCTAAATAGAAATCATGTGGATCAATTAAATAAAGGCGTAGTATTTCAAAAGATTGTGAATGTTAAAATATTGATCATTTAACAAAGAATCAAACTTAAAAAGTGTCTGAATTATTAAAACTTAAAGACATACTAAAATACAAATAAAATAACTAGGTTGATAAAGAAAACAAACAATTTACTAAGAATTAATCCTCCACTATTAAAACTGAATGTTAAACAAATTATTCAGGCTTTACTAATTCCAATTGTAGAAATTAAATTGCTGACAATAATTTTACGTAAAATGATTCAAATATGAAGATTGTCATAGTAGATTTTAGGTCATTTAGATTAAATACATTAGATAGTTTAAAAAAATGAAAGGTTCCTAACTCATCGTTCGTAATAAGACATTAAAGATGATAGCTTTTTATTGTAAAAGACTAAATTTTTTAAAGAGCAGAATTAAATTTAACTGCAATAATAACCAAAGGTGTTACTAGATGATAGCAAAAACCACAATTATAATTATATTATTCAATAATAATAGATTTAAATATCAAATCTCAATTCTAAATTATTGAATAGAGAATAAAAATATATTCGAAAATAGTCAATGTATGAATAAGACATATAATAATTAAAAAATTAAATAATGCAATTATAGAATGGATTAGAATAAATGAAGGAATAGGTTTCAAATTAACAATATAAAACATAGTTCAATAATAAGAATAATAATAGTGATCAATCTAATAAATGATTATTTCTATGTTTATTACTTATATAATAAATCAAAATATAGATCTATTTTTATTAAAGTATATTAAAGAACTTTTGTACATATATAATTATATTAAGAGAATATAAAAATTATGTTAATAGATTAGATAAAAATATTCCTTATTAAATTGAGTAGAATATTGATAATTTAAATTTAATAATTTCTTTTAATGATGATTGTTATTTGTTTATTTATTTTATACAATAGATCAATATTTGTAATCGTCATGTTTGAATGGACCATTTTAACTAACACCAATGTATGATGCTTGGTCATTAGTCAAGATAGTTAGTTCTGCACCTAATTTTTTAAGATGAAGGACAGCAACTTTTTCATCAAGTTCTCTTGGTAATTTATAAACTAAAATATATTTATAAAAATTAACCTTAATTTCCATATTTTCCATTATCTTTGTTAATCCATAATTCAATTTAAGCCAAAGTTTAATTTGTAAAAGAATTAGACATAACAAATGATGGATGACCTGTGGCACAACCTAAATTGAGTAATCTACCTTCAGCTAACATAATAATTCCATGTCCATCAGGGAAAATCCATTAATCACATTATGGTTTTATTTAAATTCTTTTAATTCCTTCCCATTATTTCAATCCTTTAATATCAATTTCATTATCAAAGTGTCCAATATTACCAACGATAGCATTATGTTTCATTTAAGACATGTGTTAAGCTGTAATAATATCCTTATTTCCAGTAGCAGTGATGAAAATATCAATATCTTTTACAACTTTTTCAAGTCTTACAACTTCATATCCTTCCATGCATGCTTAAAGAGCACAAATTGGATCAACTTCAGTGATATAAACTCTGCAACCTTATCCTTTCAAAGCTTAAGCACATCCTTTTCCAACATCTCCATATCCACATACGATAGCTTTTTTTCCTGATAACATGACATCAGTAGCTCTGAATATACCATCAATAACTGAATGTCTGCATCCATAAATATTATCAAATTTAGATTTAGTAACAGAATCATTAACATTAATAGCTGGGAACAATAATTGTCCTTTAGCAGCAATTTATTTTAATCTATGAACTCCAGTAGTTGTTTCTTCTGAGACTCCTTTAACTTAAGCAACATAGTTTCTAAATTTGTTTGGTGTTTATTAGATTTCTCTTTTGAGAATAGTTAAGAATGCTTATTCATCTTCAGATTCAGCTCTTTCTGGTTCTGGTAATTCTCCATTAGCTTCATATTTCTTTTCCCATTTAACTCCTTCTAATAACATCATTGTCATATCACCACCATCATCAACAATTAAAGTTGGTCCTTAACCATTTCCCCAATCTAAAGCTCTTACTGTACATTCCCAGTATTCTAATAAGGTTTCACCTTTCCATGCAAATACAGCAGCAGACTTTGCTTAAGCAATAGCAGCAGCAGCATGATCTTATGTTGAGAAAATATTGCATGAACACCATCTTACTTATGCACCTAATGCTTAAAGTGTTTCAATTAAAACAGCTGTTTATATTGTCATATGTAATGATCCAGATATACGAGCACCTTTCAAAATTTATTATGGTCCATATTCTTCTCTTGCTGACATCAAACCTGGCATCTCTACTTCAGCTAAATTTATTTCTTTTCTTCCAAATTCTGCTTCTGTAATATCTTTTACCTTATAATCCTCTGCGTCCATTAAATTTTTTGATTTAAATAAAAAGATTTGAATTCATCTCACTTAAATTACATTAAATAATACCTATCATTATCATACGTATCATTAATTTATGATGTCATTTCTAAATCATTGTAAGTATCGTATTATCCCCTATTAATTAAAATATTCTCAATTCTTATTTCTTAAATTTATCTATTAATCTATATAACTCATTATTTATGTTTAGTATGTTATTAAATCAACATACTATTCAATAAAAAGAAGAAAGCCTTAAAACAATCACAAAATAAATTTATGTCATAAAATCACATCTAATCTCTATTGATCTCTCTCCATATTTTATCAACTATTTTCTTAACCCCTAGAATTCTATTATCAACATAATTCTTTAATTCCAATTATCGATACCACACATTCAACACTCTCATTCAATCATAATTCAATTCCTTAGATATATTATTCTTCATTCATTTTCCTTTGAAATATTTTATTTTCATACTTATAATAATCATTTCCTAATTATTTCATATTCTTTTTTATTAATCTCTTTTTTTCATCAACTTTTCATCAAGTTGTTAGATTATTATTATTTAATATTTTTTTTATTTAAATATTTCCAATACAAATATCGCATACTCAAAGTAATTCTAAAATTATAAACTACATTATTATAACAAAAAAACATTTAATAACTTATCTTACAATTATATATTGTATATATAATAGCTTTTTATATTTATATAAATTCTTTGTATTTCTTCCAAACTACTTTTAGTAATTTATTAATTCTTATCCCATACAATACTTAATTAATATTTCTAAGAGATTAAACACATTTTATATGATATTAAATAAGAATTAGATAGTATTAGCATTTAAATTAATATTATATTTATAAATATATATATATACATAAAGTTAGTCAGAAATTCTTCAGATTCTTCTGAAAAATTGATCTATTCTCGATTGGCTCCTTGATATTCTCTTCCTGATAGATTATTATTAGAGCATCCTATCATACATACTTTCATCTGCAAAATTCTTACAAGATTGGTTGCCAACATATTCAGCAAAGGTATACCAATCTCTATCCAATCTTATTTAGTTACCCTTACCATAACTAAATATTCTATAATTTTGGCAAATGATCATGTCATATATGCTATCTACAAAACTGTGAAGCAATCTGACACTCACTATTCGACCATTAATTTATCTATCTGTATGAACTTGAGAAAATGTTATTTCTTAATAATCATCTCCATATTCATCTTAATATACATCGCCTATCTTTGTGACGATTCCATAATAAGTTTGATTTAACATTATTACAAATTTGGAATAAATAATTAATCAATAATAATAATAAAAAAATATTAATTTTATCAACATTTCCCATACTTAATACGGATAAATACTGAGTATGCAAATTATTCTATACTTTATATTATTCTATATTTTATATAAAAAGTATTATTGTTTTTTTTTAATTAAACTACAATTTAAATATATAAATATATTTATAACAATTTCTTGATATTTCATAGAGATTAAAAAAATATATTATTGAATAACTATTAAAGAATATAAAATTTTATATCATTTAACAAATATAAGAATTCTTATCATGAAAATAGAATCAAATAATTGAGTTTTAGTCTTTTATAATAAGGTAATTAAATATATTATTAATTATTAATATGTAACCAGATTAGATTGAAGAGCAGAAGAAGAAAATACAAGAAAGTGAACATAATGCTAGGAAAAAGGAAATAGAATTTCAATTTAAAAATGTTTTTGATGAAGCTAAAAAAATATTGAAGAGAGAATATTATGAAAATGAAATGAGTGAGAAATTATAGAATTTATTGGATTGGATAGAAGTAAAAAAATGAATAAATGTTATTTAGAGTGATATTAATAAATTATCAGAAAAGAACGATAGAGACTTTGTTAAAAAATATAAATCATTTGTGGAAACTTATAGAAGTGGACTTGTTGAATTTAAAGAAATACTATTGAATTTAAAAAAGGTTTTATAATAAATTTACACATTAGATTGAAGAAAACCGGGAAGAAATAAAAAAAGTGAAAATTAATAGTTTTAAGTAAAATCCTTAATCTTTAAATACCGAAATTAAATTTTCAGAGAAAAGACTTTAAAGAATGAGAGCAGGAGTTAATTTAATTTAAGTGTTAGAAGAATCTTTAGCCAGAAAATATTAAGAAACTATGAAAAAGTCTCTTTAAGTATAGCCAATTTAATAGGAACCTTAAGAAAAATTAGATTTAAGTGAAACTGAAATATAAATATTTTAAGAATTAGAAAATGGATTCAAAAAAGAAAGAATATCTTAAAGTCATGATAATTAAGAGAAAGCTATCTAAAAATAAAAAGATATTTAAATCTTTGATTAAGTTGAAAAAGCACTAGAGGAATAAAAAGAAAAATATTAAATAATATTTAAGGAATTTGATAAAGGATTCTAAAAATAGAAGGTAAAATGTGAATCAATTGTAAAATCATCATATAAGCCTGTAAAAGGGGATTTAGATTTTACTCATAAATATTAAGAATCATATTTTAAGAATTATTTCAGAGAAAAATTCAAATTAGCAAACTATTTTCTTGGTGATTAATTAATTAAATTATTTTTACATGAAAATTAGAAATATGTCAATAAAGTATTGAATAAGAATTCTCATTCTTCTTAATAAAATTCTTTTAATGAAAAGAAAATTTATAACAAAGAATTAGATCCAAAAAATTTTATTTAATAAGAGGATTTAGAGAGTAATGGGAAAGCATTGTAAAAAATACTTAAAATAAATGAAGAAATATAAAAAGAGTTATTATAAGATGAACACTAAAGAAATATTGAGGAAATGACTAAAATTGAAATATAAAAAAAGTAAGAACATTGGGAAAAAGTTTTATAATAAGATGATCATAGAAAATCAACTCCAAATTTAATAAAAAAAGCATCATAAGTTTAATTAAAGAAATCATAGACAGTTGAAAAAAAAACTATCAATATAAAACCTGTTATTTCATCTTTAAAAAAAAGAACTATTTATTATTAAGCTCATCCTAATTTTCCATTAATAAGTGAAGTTTATAAATCTCATTAAAATGTTCCTGAAGAAAGACTAAAGAAAGCAGCTATAGGATATGATATTATTTAATAACCTTCAAGAACTTTGTTTACTCCTCCTACTAATGTTAATTCATAATTAGATAACAAAACTAAAGTTTTAAAATTGGAAGATGATATATATCCGCAATAACCAAATTTAAGAGTACCAAGAACAGCAATGTAAAATTTTAGAGGAACATTCTTTCCTAACTCTCACAACGGTTTATCTCGCTAAAATAATTAAGATTATAAATCACTTACAACATTGTGGGGAGAAAAATGGAACAATTATTGAACATTTCATTTCATATCTGTTATCATTATTTATTATATTTTTACTAAATATATTTAAATATTTAACTTAATAATAATAATAAAAATAAAAAACTATAAATTTATCATTATTATTTTTATACATAATTTTTCAACTTAATAATTTCTCTTTATAATTCTAATCTTTTCCAACTTATATTTCTTCCTTGTTCTTCTATTTAAGTAAATACTTCCAATACTTTTTCAGTTTTCAATCTTTTAACAAGTTCCCATTTTAATGTTTTTCTATTTTCATATATCATTTAAGCTTGTTTAATTAGAATATCTCCCCAGCATTCTTTAAATTTGTGATTTTTAATTAAGATTTCATATGGTAAATTACCTAATTGATTAGCTCTTTCTCTTATGGTTAAACCACTAATATCTATTGAATATTCTTCAAACATGAAATTTATAAAATGAGAATCTTATACAAATTATTCTATTGTTGTTATTCTAACATCTACTCTAACACAACTTTAACCACATTTAAGTATTTCAAAGAAATATGGATAAGGAACATTTTTATTAATTAAATATTCTCCAAAAAATCTAATGAAATGTGAAAATTTTTGTCTTTAATATTTCAATAGATCAGATAAACAATTATAACTTTCTGCAGGTTATGCAACTTTATTAGGAGCTTCTAAAATTTTTCTTGCATATTTAGGCATTTTTGGTCTTTATAATCCTTCTTAATTACATATTTCTTGAAATTAAATCAGTTTTTAACCAATCTTTGATAATTTTTCTAATAATTAATTTGAAAATTAAGTAAAATTAGTTTCTTCTTTTAAGATATTTTCAATTTATGTTATTTATGCTTTAGCTGATGGTTTTTTAATGTGTTTTCTAATTTACCTTTCATATTTACTAAAATTTTAATCCAATATTTCCAATTAAGCAATAATAATATCTTCTTCAGTCAATGATTCATAATTCTAAAAATTAGGTAATATAGTATTATAGTAAAGAGATTTCAATTCTAACCAATTTAAATTTTCATCCATTTATCTTATACAATATTAAATTCTTGAATCCTTAATTTCATCTTATTTAGACAATTATTTAATAAAAAAAAGCGGATATCTTAATTCAACTCCTCCTTTTTAACCAAAAAAGTTTATTGAATCTGGATTTGATAATATTATTTTTTTTACAATATCTGGTAAACCAACTTTCTATTCACTAATCTATGTTATTGAAATGATAATTAATTTCTTAATTATGAATGCCCTTAACAATTCTACATTATTAGATTTATTCAATATTTCATTTGATTAAAGATAACAACCTAAGGTATTTATTTTTTCAGCTATAGCAGTATAAATCTATTTAATTTATTTATTTATTTGATTACTATCTGAGGCAGTTGAAATCTTTTTGTAAGTTTCATAAATTTAATTAAAATCGTTGTAATTTAAATGTTTCGTATTTAAAAATTAGTCAACATGGGGTTAAAGTAATTACAAAGATAATAATAATAGATATTGATCATTCATAGGTTATGATTCATCAATTTCTATTTTCTCTTAGTTTTTAAATTTATAATCATCGTTTAGAGAAGCTGCAGTAATTAATTCGGATAAATATTTTAAATTATCAATCCATTTAAAATTTCCATTTTCTAATTAAATACAACCTAAAATTTTTGGCACTACTCTCTTTTCTTCTAATAATTGTAAAAGACCGTAAATAACCTTTTTTTATAATTATTCTTAATTTTATTTGTATTGGTTTTAGTTAATTTATATACTAGATAAAAGGTATAGCATATTATTTAAAGGATTTATTTTAAAATATGATAGAGTACCTTTATATAATTTTAAAGTTCTATTCTTTTTAAAGAAATTGATTAAATCATCTACATCTCCAATTAAATTTTCATTTAATTCCTAGAGTTGATTCTTAGCTATTGATTTTTGTAAGAGCTTTAATTTTTTTAACGTTTCTTTTGAATGTTTTTTTTTGGCTATGATAGACATTTTTCTTTTTACAAAAATAATCTTAAATCATTATTATTAAGAATCATTTTAATTTAAATCATGGAAAAAAAGATTATTGAATTGAAGGAAATAAAAGTATTGATTTATTTTTACCTAATAAATTTTTGAACTATTCAAATACTTTAATATTATTTCAATAAATTCTATTTTCTTATTCTTAACAAATAATATTATCTAAAGTTTTTTCATTTTTTTTGAGACTAATATTATAAACTTATGATCTACTAATTAGATTAATAAGCTCATTTATTAATTAGTTAAAAAAAAAGAAAAAGATAATTCAAATAAAAGTAATTGTTTTAAATTATTTATTTAACAGTTATTCATCAATTCAATTATGAGCTATTCAGAAAAACACAAACGAAATACTTCTCCAATTTTACGTACAACAAGTGAAGATAGATCTAAATTAAGTTAAAATAAGGACAATTATATACAATATTTAGAATAACAATTAGAAAAAGTAATGCAATATTTAAATTTAGACATCAAAAATAGTTTATTAGAAATATGAAGAAAGAATGAGATTAGTTGAAGAAACTTTATAAGAACATGATGAAAAATTTGAAAATTTTATAAAACTTATAAAATTATTGTAACATTTTGCTACAACACAAGAATAGGAAAATATAAATATAAGAAATCATGTTAATTTATCAATGGAATAAATATATAGTAATGAATTGACAAAATAAAAAATATTAAATGAAAAGTTTGAATATGAATTAAATGAGATTCGATAAACATATTATAAAGATTAACCTATGATGTAAGAATTGGAATTAATTCTAAATAAAAAGATAGATGTAATTATGGATGAATTAAAATAAAGTGCTCTTAAGAGTGATTATTAAAAATTAGAATAAAGATTTTCAAGATTAGAATTGAATTTAAAATAAGAACAATAATAAAAAATAAATGAATCTGAAAGAGTATTAAATAGTAGCCTTACTCATTAATAATAATTAAATGATTTAAAAATAGTCTTAGATAGTGTAATTTAAGATTAAGAACAAACAAAAAATATAGTTTAATAATTATAAAATGAGAACTATTTGAATAAACGCAAAAGTTAACTTTAATAAACAAGAAAATCAATTACTAAAGAATCACTCTATACAGAAAGTGAGAATTAAGTGCTGAGACCAGCAAGAGAGATGAAAGAAAATATTAAGAAGTTAGAACATAAAAGAAATAAAAGTAAATCTAGTATGAGTAGAAGTGGATCTAGAAATGCAAGATTAGAAACTATCAAAAAGTAAAAACAAGAAAATGTTAAAGAATTAATTAAAAAACATAAATAATCATCTTAGAAGTAGATTTGAGTTAGAAACTTATTTAATTAAATTTATATCTATAATATTAAATGTTTCATAATTTCTTATAATATTATAAAGATTATTTAATTAAGATCAGTTAAAATAATAGATGTAAATTATTAAGATTAGGTAATTTGTAAAATTTATTTGCATTTTTAAAATAATGATGCGATTAGAATGAGTCAATTATCAAAATAAACTATTAATAATAATGCATTTTAAGGATACTTTGTTCTTAAGAAAAAATATTATATAAAAGATTAGCATAATATTTAAGTTCTATTTGAAATAAAAAATTTATTTTAAATAGTTATTTAAGATTTGATTTTGCAAATAATTTACTCAAATTAATAAAATTTTGCCTTTATTTCTCTTAATTTATTTATTTTTATTGAATTTGCATCAAAATTTATGTAAATCAAAGTTGATGATGAATGTTCTTAAGAAATTTTCTGTATAAACAACATAAAAATAATATATTGATCTTTATGAGTAACTATCTTTTTTAGAATCTCATGATTCATTTTTAATTATTATAAATTATTTTTAAAAATAAAAATACATACATCCATAGTTTTTAAGTGTTTTCTTAATTAATTAATAGAAAATAATTACTGAAAATATTTAAATTTTACTGGTAACAATATTAAAAATATTAGTAAAAATGGGAATAAAATTAAAATTAACTAAATAAGAATTTTCTTGGAAAGATTAATAAATTTTTAGATCAAAGATATAAATACTTATATTATAAATAAACAATAACTTTTTTTATGATTTGATATTCAATCAAATTTATATCAGATTTATTACCATATGATTTTGAAGAAGTCTTATTTTTATTTAATTCTATTCAAGTAATTGTTATAATTACTTTAAATTTAGTTTGTTATTTCTCATATATCTAGATTAAAGTTAAATCTAAAAATGTGCACTTTATTTCAAAAATTTTTAGATACAAACTAAATTCTACTCAAATTATTCCTATAAATTTTTTCCATCCAAATTAAGATTTTGGAAATCTATATTTTATTGGGAACAATTGTAAAAATCTAATTCTAAACTGATGAAGATTAAAAAAGTACTCCATTATATAATTATTAAATTTGCTCAATTCAATTGCTAGGAAAATTTAATTTTATTAATTTTAAAATTAATGTAAAGCTTAATTATGCAGATAAGATTGAATTCAAAATTATTCATTTTATGTATATATTGATTGAATTATCAATAAAACTATATATATATTCCCATATGAATTTTTAATACTACATAAGTAACATCAAAACCTAAAGAAGAAACGCATTTCTAAGTTTTTCCTAATGATTAAAATGTATTTTGTTTGGGAATTGTATATAAAATATCTCGAATTAATAAATGGTTTCGAAGAATTTTGAAAACCTAATATATTTAAATTAAGATAAGATTAATATATCTAAATTGCTTTGTATTTAAGCTATAATTAGTGATAAATCGATAAATGAAACAGTTTTAAATGAGTATCCCATCAGTCTCCAAAAAATTTAGAATTATATAAAGATTATAAAAATAAATATTGTGAAAAATTGTATGATTAAAAACATAACATTAAATATTCAAATTTTTATTTGATTCTATTAAAAAGAAGTATTCATATTTAACAGTAACTAAACCCTAATAAAAGTTCAATCATGATGTTAATGAACTTACAGGGATAGGGATATTAGTATATAAGTTATTTTAATACATTTATATGAATTTAGTTAGAGAAAGAATTATAAAAAATTTAAAGGATTTCATGAAGATTGTAATTCCTTTAATCAAGAAAACTAAATCATAATTAAAGTTAAATCATAATTTTTATGTACTAACTTAAAACATAAAAAGGATGTATTAACATAAAATTTTCTGTCAATATTAATTATATTTTATATATAAATTCTTGTCTTAAGATTGAGACCAAATTCCTTGACCTATGTTTTAAATAGATTTGATCATATATGGTGAACATGTTTATGCAGATATTTGATAAAAAAGGAAAATAAGCTAATCTCTGTTTACTAATATCAGGTTTAAAAATAATTGATCATTTTCTTTTTTTATTTAGAAGAATAATACATCTAAAAGTGAAAATTTCTTATTTTGTATAAAATGGATTTTATTATCATCTAGATTTTGGAATAACAATTAGTTATAATCTTATTTAGTAAACTAATAACAAAAAGTAAAGATTATGTTGTCCAATAAATTAATTCATTATTTGGTTTCTTAATTTTCAAAATTAACTTAGTATTTTGTTAAATTATGAATGTAAATTATATTTGAGCAATTTAAATCGAATTTTTATTAAAAAAGATTAATAAAATAAAGAATATATAAGAAGTTGATCTATAAATCAAATAATTACATGTTGAGACTTAAACCAAAAATAAGACAGTAAACTTTAAATTTATGCTAACATTAATTAGATATATATAAAATATTAATGAATAAAGAATGATTATATAATCATAAACTTTATATGAAATTATAGAAAAAGAGTAAATAAGTTTGGATGATAATATAAGAAGAACATAATAACTTTAAAATATTATAATTATGTGTTAAAATTTTATTAAATTTTATATATTTACATAATTAAGAAGCCAAGCTTTAATTAACTTATCTTGAATTTGAAATAAAGAAGTAAAATATTTAAGAATTTCTGATGTTCTTTAATTTATCTCTAATTCTTATTGAAAATTAATTGTATAAAAGCTAAATAAGTATCAACACTTTTTTCAATTATTTAAATTGATTTTATCATAGTTTATGGATTTAATGCTCGACTAATAGATTGCTTAAGTAGAGAAGGTAGAAGAATAAGTTTCTAGCTCTTCAGCTTGTTCTCATGACTCTGATTCCTCATTTGATTTAGAAAATAAAGCCCATAATAAATCACTTCTAAAAAAACTAACAAATGAGTAAAACGTAGCTGATTAAAAAAGAAATGGTAGATATTTTTATTTATGTTTTAGGTAAGTTTGGCTTAAAATATGCGAAAATTTCGAATAGGCAAAGACAAGCTTTGATTGAAAGAGTGACTTCTACTGGTTGTACGATTAAAAGTGCTGCCAAAGACTTAAATATCAACTTTTCAACAGCCAAAGCTATAATGCAAATATTTAGAAGAGAAGGAAGAATAACAAAAAAAATAGTCAGAGAAATAAAATAGAAAACCAAGAATTTAGGATAAAATAGTGAATGTATTAATATTTATATTAATTTTAGAGATCGCTTAACAAAAATCTTAATTTGATGATAAAAATTAAGGGTTAGTTAAAGTCGAGGCAATTTAGGACAATAATAACGAGACAAAATTATATTAATAGGCTGAAGAGGCTAATAGACACTAGGCTTTAATCATCCAATAACTGAATGCTTAAGTACTTTATTGTTTTATATTCTTAGAATTTATATCTGTAAAGTAGAGTTAATCAATTATAATAAGATAAATTATAAATAAATTCAAAATATGAAATATTGGTAATGTAATATCATTAATTATAATAAATGGTAAATTAATTGTATATTGATAGGCTCAATAATTCCTTTAGCCCTGTATGTATTAATATCCTACAATTTCCCAATGAATCTTTAAACTTATTCATATCTATTATAATAAATAAATTTAAATATTATTTAATTAAATAAATGAAAAATTATAATTTATATATATATTATACAGACAATTGTAATAAAATATATTTTTATTATTTGACTGAAAAGATAAAATTAGAGGCTACTTTCAGTGGAGTTAATAGATCTAGAAATTAATAGCGAAATTTTGTGCATTTATATTTATTTTTATGTCTATCAATTAAAAATTTAAATTATTAAAATGGGTAATTGCAATATAAAAGGTAATGAGGTAGAGGATGATTCAAGTATAGATTTATATATAGATTTAGACTTATCATCTAAGAATTTTGAGTTTATTGAGCTTATAGGATAAGGAAGTTTTGGGAAAGTATGGAAAGTTAAAAGAACAAAAAACAATGAATATTTTGCGATGAAAGTTATGTTGAAAGCAGAGTATGTATTTATTAATAATTTAGAATAATAAAGAAACATTAAACCTCTGCTATAATGAATGAAAAAAACATTTTAAGCTCTATTAGACATTCTTTTTTAGTCAATTTGATAGCTGCATTTTAAGACAAAAAGAAATTATATTTAACACTTGATTTATTGACTGGAGGAGATCTAAGATAACATTAAATTTATTGTAAAGTGTTTTCTGAAGAGCAAACAAGTAATATTTTTATATAATGTAAGAATTCTTTGTTGCTTGCATAATAATAGCCTTAGAATATGTTCATTCCTAAGGGATTATTCATAGAGACCTTAAACCAGAAAATTTAGTAATGGACCATCGAGGATATCTCAGATTGACAGATTTTGGTTTGGCTTCTATTTGGAGACCAAATAATTCTTCAGAAATAAATGGAACTTTAGGTTATGTAGCACCGGAAATAATGTGCAAACAAAATCATGGGATTGCTGTTGACTATTTTGCTTTGGGAGTTATCGCATATGAATGTATGCTAGGCAAAAGACCATATACAGGATCTGATGCTGTTCAAATCAGAGATTAGATGTTATCTAAATAAGTTTAAATCAAAAGATCATAATTGCCTATTGGTTGGAATTTAGAAGCTGGAGATTTCATTAATTAGGTATTATCATATAATAACATATAGTTAATATAAAGAAAACCTGAAAATAGATTAGGCACTTCAAATCCAAATGATGTTAAAAATCATAAATGGTTTAAAAATTTTGATTGGAAAAAATTAGAATAAAAAATTATGCTTTCTCCTTATCAACCAAAAAGAAAGTTTAATTTTAAACAGAAATAAAATATATCTTAATAAAGCACGAAAGAAGATCACAAAAAAAATTTTAATGATTAACCTTAAAGTATTTATATATTTAAACCTTTAGCAAACTTTGAAGGATATTGTTTTGAGTTAGAATAATAATTAAAGAATAAATTGTGAACTAATTTCTTTTCTTTTATGTCTTAATATATAATTATACCAATTATCATTATTATCATTCTAATTTATATAGATATTAATAATCATCTTTTAATTAAATTTGGTTTAATTATAATCTACTATAAATATCGAAGGAAGCATATGTTATAAATATTATCATGTAGAATACACGAATAGATTTTATTCTGTTAAAATAAAATATTTTATTGATTTAATTTTTTAATTGTTTTAATAAATTAAATGATAACAATAATATCAAAAGACAAAGTGAAGATTTCTATATCAAACTAAGTTATCGAACTTGCAAAAGGGTTAGAGCCTTATTCATAGGATAAAGATATCATTTTTGAAGATATTGTGACTGGAGATTTTTTATAAACATTTAAATTGTTTTATGAAGAATTCTAATTTGATGTAGAAAAAATGAAATTCCCAAAGCCTATTCAAATAAAAGAAAGTGAAAAAGTATTTGGGAAGATTTTATCTGAACACATTAAACCATATATGGATATTGCAATCAGAGAGAAAAATATTGATATATTTATTCAATTTATTCAAGGAGCTCATTTATTTTAAGCAAAGCATTTCATAGAATTTATTAATTGTTGTTTAGCCATGATTATATAATTTAAGGGACAATCAGAATATGATATAAAATAATTTTAAAAAGATTGGAATCTGTCAGATTAATAATAAGACTCATAGTTTAATTAGTAAAATTTCATATTATTTAGAATATTTTTTTCGAAATTATAAAATAAATACATTTCAGTATTATCTACTAAGGAAGGTGAATAGTAAGTTCAATAAATACCTATGGAAGAAGATTTATTTGGTGATGAATGGTGATTTTTTATTTAGATTAAATAATAAATATATTAAATATAAATTATATTCTTTACTTTTTCAATGTTTTAAAATAAAATGCATCTTAATTCATTATTCCTTTAAGTTTTTCAATAAAATACATATAGAAAATAAATGAATTATATTGATCTTTATAATTATATAATTTATTAATTATATTAAAATGGCAATAAGTAATGGCACATCAATATTGGTTGGATCTATAATCTATATTGTTTTAGGAGTAGTGGCTTGTTTTGGATTCAATATTTATGTCACTAAAAAAACTAAGAATCCTCATGACGTTGCTGAAAATAGAACGTAATAATCAATCTCAATATAGAATAACACTTGTAAGTGTGACTATTGCTACATTTTGTACTTGGTTAATGTGGATTGTTGCATATATGGCGTAAATGAATCCTTTAATTACACCAGAATGGGAATCTCATTAACCAAAAGAAGAAAATTGAGTATTGTATTGATATTTCATGTAAAAATAAATTAGATCGAATTATTTTATTTATTTTTTTATTAAATCTCTGCATCATAAAATAATATTTAAAAACTTTTAAATTTAGTTCGAATAATTATATTTCTCTAATAATTTATAGCAACTACTTAAATTACATGAATTGTTACAATAAATTAGTTTTCTCATTCTAAAAATTTTTATATAAACTAAAATTTATTTTTTTCTTTAACCATTAATCTAATTTAATTCAATAGAAATATATAGTTTTAAATTTCTAATTTGTATATCCAGAATTAGAATTTTTCCATACATTTCATTTTAAAAATATACATATTATATTTTTGATGTATATGTTAATCATTTATGAATTATCTATTAAATTAAAGGCTTTTATAAACTTCTCAAAATCTTAAATCATGTTTAGCTTACATTTCTTAAATTTATTAATTTTTTTCACTTTAAATTAACAATTTTTTTGTTAAACTCCATAGTTCTTTTATTTTTGATCTATTCTCTAAAAGAATTTTATTCATTTAATAATTTTTTGTGCTCTATAAATATCATATTTTTGTTAATTTAAAATATGATCACTAATAAATTTCAGTAAAAATAATGTAAAATAATTTTACATTCTTTTAATTTTTAACAATTTAATAAGCCTTTTTTTGTTTATATAATAATTCATTATGAAGATTAAAATTTCCTGTTTTTCTCTATCATTTTATCGCAAACTAAATTATTATGTAATATTTTCCCTAAGTAAGGGAAATTAATGTTATTTATTATTGTCTGTATAATTATTTTGAGATTCGAATTTTTATTAGGTTTTGTTCAAAATTGTTCTTAATGATACTTATAGGGATAAGGAAATAAATAGCATATTTTGTTAAATTTATAGTCAAAAGACATATTTATTTCTCATTTTGATGCTTTAACTCTAAAATTAGAAAATTTTAAATATTATATAATCAGATAAATGAGTTCATAGAAGAATTCTTTTTGTAAGAAAAAGACAAAATAAATGTTAGAAGGTTATAAAAATAGTAAGAATTAGATTTAGCAATGGATTGTTTAGAAATTGTATAATGGCAGTATAGACATATTAAATATAGCAAAAATAAGAGTCAGTGATTAAAGAGTAAATGCGTATACTAAATACATAAATCAAATATTCTCATTCACCCTGAAATTCATCATCAGAATGGATTTAATTTTAGGAAAAATATTATCTCATTATTTATTTACTTCTCATTATTGGTTTTTCTATTTATGTCATTTTGTTTTTTTTATGATTTCTTCTAAGGCGTGGATTAAAAGGATTAAATTTTTAATGATGAGATCTTCATAAAACAAATTAATACCTGCATTAACTTGGAGTTCTTGNATATCCAGAATTAGAATTTTTCCATACATTTCATTTTAAAAATATACATATTATATTTTTGATGTATATGTTAATCATTTATGAATTATCTATTAAATTAAAGGCTTTTATAAACTTCTCAAAATCTTAAATCATGTTTAGCTTACATTTCTTAAATTTATTAATTTTTTTCACTTTAAATTAACAATTTTTTTGTTAAACTCCATAGTTCTTTTATTTTTGATCTATTCTCTAAAAGAATTTTATTCATTTAATAATTTTTTGTGCTCTATAAATATCATATTTTTGTTAATTTAAAATATGATCACTAATAAATTTCAGTAAAAATAATGTAAAATAATTTTACATTCTTTTAATTTTTAACAATTTAATAAGCCTTTTTTTGTTTATATAATAATTCATTATGAAGATTAAAATTTCCTGTTTTTCTCTATCATTTTATCGCAAACTAAATTATTATGTAATATTTTCCCTAAGTAAGGGAAATTAATGTTATTTATTATTGTCTGTATAATTATTTTGAGATTCGAATTTTTATTAGGTTTTGTTCAAAATTGTTCTTAATGATACTTATAGGGATAAGGAAATAAATAGCATATTTTGTTAAATTTATAGTCAAAAGACATATTTATTTCTCATTTTGATGCTTTAACTCTAAAATTAGAAAATTTTAAATATTATATAATCAGATAAATGAGTTCATAGAAGAATTCTTTTTGTAAGAAAAAGACAAAATAAATGTTAGAAGGTTATAAAAATAGTAAGAATTAGATTTAGCAATGGATTGTTTAGAAATTGTATAATGGCAGTATAGACATATTAAATATAGCAAAAATAAGAGTCAGTGATTAAAGAGTAAATGCGTATACTAAATACATAAATCAAATATTCTCATTCACCCTGAAATTCATCATCAGAATGGATTTAATTTTAGGAAAAATATTATCTCATTATTTATTTACTTCTCATTATTGGTTTTTCTATTTATGTCATTTTGTTTTTTTTATGATTTCTTCTAAGGCGTGGATTAAAAGGATTAAATTTTTAATGATGAGATCTTCATAAAACAAATTAATACCTGCATTAACTTGGAGTTCTTGTACCAATAATCTAACTCATTCTTTTGAATAATGGTTACCCTTTTCGTTAAGATTCTCCTGAGCCTTTAACTTTGAGTAAAAATTAAACATATTATTAATGTTCTTCCTCACTCCAGTGTCCTGATTTTATATGTGTACTATTGCTTAAATCTTATTATTTTGAATAATTTAAATTTAACTCAAGATAATCTGGGTTTTATGATCCTGAATTTTCAGATTTCATGAATTTTTGTTATTTTGAATCTTAAAATTAATAATACTCACAAACTATTTATAAATAAAGATTTTAAATACCATTCTTAATACTTTTATACTTCTAAGAATAAATTCTTAATTTACTGAACCTAATGAATCCTATATGGAAATAATATACCTAAAAATTTAGAATAGAAAATTTCTATTAAATTAAGTCAAAGTTCCATTTAAAAGGAAAATAATATTATTTGTATCATTTTAAATAAAATTTCTAAATATAGATCTTTATTTGTTGGTCAATGGATACATATCTTTATCTTAAAAATAATTTAAATAGGATTTAAATTTTTTGGATTATTCTTTATTTATTTATTTATTATTAATATTAATATCAATATTCAATTATAAATTATTTATTTAAAATTATTGTTGTAAATTATCCAAAAGTTCTGTATAGAATGATAAAGCTAAAAGAATTTAGACATAAGATTCAAACAAAGGCCAATCAATTATTTTAGATAATTACATAAATGTCTAAATATTAGAAAAATTATTTTATAAATAAATTAAATAAAAGAACAAATGAGAAAGAAAAAATAGGATAAAATATTTCTTGCAACAAGTAAATTTAATGATGAGTTTAAGAATTCTGTCAAAAAAATTAACTCTAAAAATAATTTTATTTTAAATCAATCAAATATTATTATATCGAAAAAGAAAAAATCTCTAATCAAGATTAATTGAAAGAGTTAACAACATTAATGGATTCTTAATGAAAAAATAAATATTTCCAAAAAATTTAAAGATAAAGACAATTCATTTAAATATTTAAAGAAATTAATAAATAAATAGCCTTTATATCATTAGTGTCAATAGAGTGAAAAAAATCTAAATAAGCTTGATTGATAAGGGAAACTTAGATATGATATTGTTGAAATCAAAGAAAAGTTTAATAAATCTTAAAAAAAGCAAAAATAAATTTTCAAGGTAAAACTTAGAAAAATAGAGAACAATTAGCATTTATTGGATATTACCAAAAATAAACGATTGTTTAAAAAAAAAGTTTAAGGGTTTATAAGGTTTAAAGTAAATTTCTATTTCTCCAATTTTGTAAATTTCTTATATATCATTAAAAAGCCAAACTTAATTTTACATCTACTGATGTTTAAAAAGAAAAAATTATTATTGTATAAATAAAGGTTGCTCTTATTGAATCAAGCAAACACTCAATAATTTCATAAAATGATGAGGATGAAAATGAATTTATCCAATTGTATATCAAAATAAAAAATTCAAACTAATTAAATAAAGTGACAACTACTCTAATTTCTATAGTAATAATTCGAATTATGAAAATGGAAATTAATAAATAGAAATATTATAAATAGAATATTAATATAATCTAAAATTCATTGAGTATACAACAATTATAAATATAACATTGAATATGAGATAGTAAAAATATAAAACATTAAAAATATCTAATTTTTTTTTGTGAAGAGAAATTTTTAATGGATTGTATCAAAAATAAATTTATTTTCAAATTAAAGGAGAATAAATAATCTATTCATAAAGGAGGATAGAATTTTGAAAATATCCGAATAGATTAATTATAATAATAATATTTTATATATAACTCCATAGGTAAGAAAATTTATATAATGAAGTTTATTTGTGTCTTGGATGAATAGAAAACAAAAGCGGAAATTATTAAATATTCCAATATATAGATTCATTTTATAAGTGATAATTCCAATTAGTATAAAATTATCTGAATAGAGTAATAAATTTACTAGATTTTTAATATTATAAAGTAACTTAGGACTATTTTTTAATTTATATATTCTTTTCACAAAAATTATAGAGATAAGAATTAAGATAGATGATTTATAAGGTTTGGATTAATTAATAAAGTTCTATTTTGAGATTGTCTATTTTATGGATGGAAAAGTTTGGATAATAATTTAAAGATACTTATTTTAGTAATCATTAATAAGTTAAACTCTAGTTTGAGTGTACCTTTGATTATTAGTTATTAGTTGAATTTGGAATATAGTAAGTTGATTATCGATTGTAAGTAGATATTTGTTTAACATTTACAAAAGTAATAGATAATGATAATTATTTATAAAAAATTAAATAATGAAATAGTATATTTTATGTTGTATAGAATTAAGAAATGGTTATAAAATTGAGTACTAAGTAATTTTTAATACTTTTGAGATAAGAGTATAATGGAGAATATTTGAGAAAGATTGAAAAGAGAGAGAAAAAATAAATTAAAAATTTAATGTATGTTAATAAATGAGAAATATAAAAATGGGTATTGAATTTGAATAGGAATTTAAAAAATTGAAAGATTTATTTAATATATAAAATGTCTCATAGAAAGTTTGAAGCACCTAGACATGGAAATCTTGGATTTACACCAAGAAAGAGAACAAAGCATCATAGAGGAAGAATTCGAGCATTTCCAAAAGATAATGTAAAGGCACCAGTTCATTTAACAGCATTTGCAGGATTCAAAGCTGGTATGACCCACATTTTAAGAACTGTGGAAAGACCAGGATCAAAATTAAATGGAAAAGAAGTTGTAGAAGCTGTAACAATAGTTGAAACTCCACCATTAGCTGTTGTTGGTATAGTAGGATATATTGAAACACCAAGAGGATTAAGAGCATTAACAACAGTTTGGAGTACAAAGATTGCTAAAGACACTTTAAGAAGATTCTATAAAAATTGGATGAATTCTAAAAAGAAAGCTTTTACAAATTATAATAAAGCTAATACAGAACCAAAAAATTTAGAAAGTCAATTAAAAAGAATTGTAAAGTATTGCTAAGTTGTAAGAGTGATTGTTCATACTTAAATGAGCAAACTCAACTTAAGATAAAAGAAGAATCATGTATTTGAAGTTTAAGTAAATGGAGGTACAACAGAATAAAAAGTTAATTATGCTAAAGGATTATTAGAAAAGGAAGTTAAAGTAGATTAAGTATTTAAATAAAATGAATAAATTGATGTTATTGGTGTAACTAAAGGTAAGGGAGTAGCTGGTGTAATCAAAAGATTCGGTGTTAAACATTTATAAAAGAAAACCCATAGAGGTTGGAGAAGAGTTGGATGTATCGGAGGATGGCATCCAGCTAATGTTAGATATAGTGTTGCTAGAACTGGTTAATTAGGTTATCATCATAGAACTGAAATGAATAAGAAAATCTATAGAATTGGTGCTGCTGGTGATAAGAATACTGCATCTACTGAAGCAGATTTGACATCTAAAGCTATTACTCCATTGGGAGGATTCCCTCATTATGGTGAAATCAGAAACGATTTCCTTATGCTTAAGGGAGGTATTGTTGGACCCAAAAAGAGAATTGTCTTATTAAGAAAGTCTCTTGTACCATAAACAAGCAGAAAATCTTTGGAAGAAATCACTCTCAAATTCGTTGATACTTCTTCTAAAATTGGACATGGTATTTATCTTATTTTAATTATTTAGGACGTTTCTAAACTTAAGAAGAAAAGGCTAAATTCTATTATACTAGAACATAGAGAAAATTAAAATAACAATAGTAACAATCATCATGATCTATAAATTATTTATAAAATATATTTATTTTCATTATTATTTTATATCTAATTATTTACTATACTTTTAATATAATATATCAAAATCTCAACTTAGAAAATAGGAATCTTGATTAAGCTTTTTTGTCTGCCAAACTTCCAGCTGGTAATGTTCTGTATTTCTCAGCCAAATACTTCCTTAAATTCTTTCTTAACTCTTTTCTTTTTTCAACATTCTTTAATTCAGATTCTTTTACTCTCTCTATTCTATCTCTTACTTCCTTTAATGTTGATTCCTCTAATCTATATCTATTATTATGTTATTATTTTTAATAACCTTGTTGGCATTATATGATTTAAATTTAATTGTTTTATGAATACTTTTAATGTGGTTCGCTTTCTTATTTATTTTTATCCCATTCTCTTAGTTACCTTTCTAGGATATCTTTAAATTCCAACCACTAAACCATTTGGAAATTTACAATCCTAACCATTTCCTTTTTATATTTACTTTTGTAGTTTCTTCATTAGCTTTTATTAATATTGCCTTTTTTCCTGCATATCTTCCTGCAAGCATAACAATCAAACGTCCTGGTTTTAAACTTTATTAACACTAATTCTTACAATTTTCCCATTTCAAAACTCTAAATAAATCTTTTTAATTATTTTATGCAAATTCTTAAAAAAACACAAAATATTACACTTCTAAATATACATACATTATCATTTATATCAAATCACCATCATTCATAAACTTAAAACCAAGAACATCACTGGGTCTAATATATACTTAAACTCTAAAATCAACTTATCCTCCTGCATTTTCCTAACTTTTGGTCAAAGTATATTATAACTGAGTATAAAAATTAAATAAGAACATCAATTTAAATAAACTTTTTGAATTTCTAACCTGCTAATTTTGTATTTTATACCTTATACCTTTTTCAGTTCTCCATATTTAAAACAATTTTAGATTAATAAATCGAATCAAAATAAATTACCCAATAAGTTTCTAAGAAATAATTTTAAATATTTAAGGATTAGGATTTAACTATAAATAAAATTTCTCTAAATCCGAAAATGCTCTTTCTACTTTTATTGATGATATTTGATACTACTATGCTAGAAAATTATAAAAATATTGATTATTATATGTCAATTAATCTTGAAATCAAATTAAATATGCTAATTACAGAACTTATTACTAAAAGTTCAATAATTTAGTTTTATAAGTTAATTAATTTCCTTAAATTTCATTTCTTGAATTGATAAGAATAAATTTCTTAGCGAAATATGTGGATATTTCATGCAATTAGAGAATTTATTAGTATGTTATTAAATTTAATTCATCTGTTCTATAAATTCNTCTGCCAAACTTCCAGCTGGTAATGTTCTGTATTTCTCAGCCAAATACTTCCTTAAATTCTTTCTTAACTCTTTTCTTTTTTCAACATTCTTTAATTCAGATTCTTTTACTCTCTCTATTCTATCTCTTACTTCCTTTAATGTTGATTCCTCTAATCTATATCTATTATTATGTTATTATTTTTAATAACCTTGTTGGCATTATATGATTTAAATTTAATTGTTTTATGAATACTTTTAATGTGGTTCGCTTTCTTATTTATTTTTATCCCATTCTCTTAGTTACCTTTCTAGGATATCTTTAAATTCCAACCACTAAACCATTTGGAAATTTACAATCCTAACCATTTCCTTTTTATATTTACTTTTGTAGTTTCTTCATTAGCTTTTATTAATATTGCCTTTTTTCCTGCATATCTTCCTGCAAGCATAACAATCAAACGTCCTGGTTTTAAACTTTATTAACACTAATTCTTACAATTTTCCCATTTCAAAACTCTAAATAAATCTTTTTAATTATTTTATGCAAATTCTTAAAAAAACACAAAATATTACACTTCTAAATATACATACATTATCATTTATATCAAATCACCATCATTCATAAACTTAAAACCAAGAACATCACTGGGTCTAATATATACTTAAACTCTAAAATCAACTTATCCTCCTGCATTTTCCTAACTTTTGGTCAAAGTATATTATAACTGAGTATAAAAATTAAATAAGAACATCAATTTAAATAAACTTTTTGAATTTCTAACCTGCTAATTTTGTATTTTATACCTTATACCTTTTTCAGTTCTCCATATTTAAAACAATTTTAGATTAATAAATCGAATCAAAATAAATTACCCAATAAGTTTCTAAGAAATAATTTTAAATATTTAAGGATTAGGATTTAACTATAAATAAAATTTCTCTAAATCCGAAAATGCTCTTTCTACTTTTATTGATGATAAAAAGATAAATATCAATATATATCTGAATATTTTTATAAATCACGTATATTTGATACTACTATGCTAGAAAATTATAAAAATATTGATTATTATATGTCAATTAATCTTGAAATCAAATTAAATATGCTAATTACAGAACTTATTACTAAAAGTTCAATAATTTAGTTTTATAAGTTAATTAATTTCCTTAAATTTCATTTCTTGAATTGATAAGAATAAATTTCTTAGCGAAATATGTGGATATTTCATGCAATTAGAGAATTTATTAGTATGTTATTAAATTTAATTCATCTGTTCTATAAATTCCCATTAGTACTAATTGAATTCTTAAACAGATTTATTTTGTTTTATGGTAAATAATCTTAAAACTTAATAATGAATGAATAAAATGACAAAGATTGTTATTAGAATATCAATCTCATATATCAGTAATAAAAACCCTAAAATTATTGCTAATAGTAACGTTAATTTTTATTATTTTCTATAAAATGTTTAATATTTGCCATAATTTATTAAGTTGTAATAAAATCATCATTTTTGAAGTTTGCTTAAGGAAAACCATGGCTAAAGTAAATAAGCTAATAATTTACATTATAGTAATGCAATAGTATATTCATTCCATATTTTTTAGCAACTCGTAAATATCATTAATCAGGATTAAAAGTAAACATTCTGATATTTTTTTACCACATTTTTAAAAGTAACTAAATTTTCTTTATCGATTATAAATAGTTTGAACAAAATTTCTTACTTATTTGAGATTATTAAGACAATTTTCTTCATTTATTCAAAAATATCATAGATTACTATACCTTATAAAATAGTAAGGATAGAAATTATATCAATTTAACTGATTTGTGTAAAATATTCAGATTCATTGATTAAAGTGAATTGATAATTAACCTACAATTCAAGAATGTATTCCCAATATTTTGGATAAAATTTCCAAAATATTTTAGTTGCAAAAAATAAACCACTTTGATTGTCATTATTTGCCATTCCATAATAACGTGCAATTATTAAAACAATATAATTTGACATTTTTTATGTATTTATGCTATGATTTTATCTAATTGATTTAATTTATTAATTATTTCAGTGTTTTTTTTTTTTAAAGAATGTGAAATGTTGATGTACAGTCAAATTAATACAGAATGAAATCAATAATCAAAAATATTACTACATTATAATTTGACTTCATAATTCTTTCGCTCTTCTATCCAATAAGTATTTATGATTTATGAAATAGCTTCTAAAAAATATAAATAACCTATCAAATAAAATAAGAATTTTTCTAAAGAACTTTGTTTATTTTATTAAAAATTGATATAAAAAATATTTATATTGATATAAGATAAACCTTATACTAAAATAAATAAATATAAATATATTTATAACATTGAATATTGTACTTAAATCTCAAAAGATTAAATCATGAGGTCTTGTTGTTTTTCCAATACTAAAACGAGCTCCTAAATATTATTTCAACAATGCTGTTTTTTTAACTGTAGCAATCAATGCATCATCGATTGATTTTTGTGTTTTTCTTTTCTCTTCTAATCTCTTTTTCTCATTTGTTTATTATTCTTCATTTAACTAAATAATTAATAACTTTATTTACTTCTCCTCTTTTAGCCCAAAATCCTTATTCATTCTTTCTTCTTTAAGCTTGAGTTCTCTTAAAATATTCATCTTCAATTTTGCTAGCATCAACTCCTTTAATATCAACTTTTGTAGATGTAGGAATAACATATGCTTAATTTACTCTTTTAAGAGGTACACCATTAATTTTGAATGGTCCTGTTACAAGTAAAAGTCCTGATTTAAGTTATTTCAAAAAAACAACTCTCTTGCCTTAGAATCTACCAGCCAATAAGATTAAGACTTATCCTGGATTTATTTTTCTTAATGAAGATGGTCTTGGAGCCTTTATACAATTAGAATCTTTATTACTTTTCTTTTTCTAATAAAATGCACTTTCTCATCATCAGCTTTATACCAATTTCCAATTCTAGTTGTTCTCTTTTTTGCTGGCATTGTATAATATATATATATATATTTTAATTTATTTTAAATCTAATTTCAAATTTTATATTCCTTAATCACTTCCAATCAGTTTTTCACATCAATCTTTATCTGCTTACCATATATTTAAGTTATCTCTTTCTCTAATAACTCTCCAAACAACTTTACGAAATTTCAAATATTAATATCAAATTATAAATATGTATATAAATCACTTCTTAATTATATCCACCATTCATTTTTTATATTTTTTTATTAACTTTATACTTACCTTTAACTTTCAATTACTTTATGTTTGTCTCAAGCAATACTCTAATTTCTAAATCCTATTATATTTTTATAATCTTTGATTCTACAATCCATCTTATATATTTTATTTAACCCAGTATTTAATGTTCATCAAAAGAAATCCCTTCACTTAAATATAAATTATTCATAATGATGTATAAGAAATAATTCTTTCTTATGTTACTCCACACAAAAAATTATTTAGATAAATTGTCTTTTTCTTGATGTCATATCATACTATGCTACTTCTTATGAATTTTTATAAAAATATATATAAATTGTCCAATTTCAAAGGGTAATTATTAACTTTTATTTAGTTAGCATTCCATTCTATTTTATAAAGTTAATATTTTTTTTTAATTGTTAGTCTCCTCCTTTTAGAATGTTATCATTATTTATCAGAATAAAATTACTCATATATGATTACTTAAATCTTTCTTCTTCTTAAATAACAAGAAAATTCACTAAAAAAAATTGGTATCTTTATACTTTTTCATGCTTATATAGAAAAATACAAATTACATTTATTTCAACATTTTAAACTTCGACAGAATTTTTGTTTTCATCTTTAAAAACTTGTTTCTTACTCAATATTCAAACTGTTTCATCTATTTTATATTTAAAAGTAATACAAATAACCATCACGAGAAATTTACTTTGATTATAATGAAAAGAAAAATAATCTTTAAATATATGAAAACAATATTAAAGACTCTTTATAAATTCTAATTATATTGTAAAACCTTTGAATAATTTATTATTCAGTGATTCTGAATAATTAACGAAGAATATTTTTATCCAAACTTTTTTCTAACATTGAAATATTGAAATTCATAAAGGAATTCATTAAATTCTCAATAAAATAACATAACTATATATTCATTACTAAGATCTGGAACCTCTTCAGCTAATGAAAATATTTTGTTAAGTAGTACTTCTTCTTCTCATAATAGTACTATTAACTAACTTATATTTTCAGGAACATACCTATTGACTATAAATTAATTTCCCCCCATTAGTAGATTTACATTTTTCTGGCCCCTTGAGTTTTAATTTGGTATATATATTCTTTGTCTTTCAAATCTGGTAATAAAATTATTGGCTTTTGTTGTTTGTGAATATGACAACCCATTAGTGTAAAGTTTTCTAATGATAATAATAATAAAGATTTAATGATTAACAATATAAATTTCCATTATGTATTGTAAATTATGTATATTTTTTAGTTCTAATTTCTTTTAAATTTCAAAAATAACTACTCTAAAAACAAAATAAGTATGTCTTAAAACAAGCCACGGATTCAAAGTCAAAAATTAGACATCTTAGTTGGGTAAAATTTAAATTGAATAATTTACTCAATTTTTCAATTTCATTTGTAATCTTTTTAGTGAATATTCTTAAATAGTATTTTAAACCAAATCAAGAAGGCTTAAAGTTAGAATCGAAAATTTAATCGATATGACTGATTAAAAAAACTATAAAACAAACAAGAAATTTAATTAAAATTATTGAGATTATATAAAATTTAAATCAGTTATTTTCCTTACATATCTTTATAAACATGCAAGTTATTTGATCAATTCCTTTAGAAACTTTATTATTAAAAATTTAAAGTTTTTTTGGAAAGTAGAAATTGAAATAATAATTTTCTAAAGGCAGATATTGATTACAATAAAGACTAATAAAATTTTATCACTGTTTTATAAAATTTGATTGTTATAATCCCTATGATCAGAATTAAATGATTATTACTATCTAATGGCTTAAAGAACAGCAAAATATCATACAGCATGACAATAAAATTTATAAAAAAGCTAATTAAATAGAACTTTAGTTTTAAAAAAATGAATTGATATAAAAATATTTAATAAATAAAATACTTGTTAATTTATCTTAAAATGATTTTAACGATCATAAAGTGTAAATAAACTTGGTTTTTTTTATCCAAATTTTTACTATTCTATTCTACTAAATTTTCTAATAATAAATAAAATAATGAACTAATAATTAAATTAAAATATATCCTTTTCTAGTAGCTTTTAAAAAAAGAATGCTTAAAATGAACCTTTAAAAAAGAATGCTTAAAATGAACCAAGATTACTTAAATATAGTATTTAGTCCTCAAAAGATTTAGATTTATTAAATATAAAATTATTTAGTTCCTTTAATTTAATATTCAAAATATTTGACACATCTATACTATACTATTCTAAAAAGTAAAATATTAATGCTAAAATTAAATTTCTAAGGTGAATTTTCTTGAGTTCCCTTAGCCTTAAGGCCAAGAAATATTGAAAGGGCTCTTTATGATAAACAATTGCAAAATAAAAATAGATTCGATAAACAATAAATTTTTATCCTTTAGTTCCACGAAGCAATCAGTTTATCTCATTGTTGCAAACATAAAACTAAAATGAAATCTCTTATTTTTACAAAATAATTAAAAAATTGATGATAAAAGATGGTAATTTAAAAAGATTTTAGAAACTTGATGACAGTTTAAACTTATTGTTTTAAAAATAAAAAAATTCTATAAAACATATTATTATAAATAAATAATTGAGTATCTGTTTTAGCTTTTAAATTTAATTTATGATATACAAAATTTTAAATAACTTATTTATTTATAAAATAAATAATTTATTTTATTGATTGCTATTTTAGTTAAGTTATAGTTCTTTTTCTAAGAATAATTATAAGGATGATAAGTTGAGTTCATTTAAGATATTAGAGAATGTCTTAAAAAATGAGAAATAAATAAATGAATTAAATGGTAGTGCATTAATTAATTAATTAATATTAGAGTTTAATAAAAATTATTAAATTTAAGTTAAATAGTTTATATAAGACAGTTAAAAATCATAGATTTGATTAACTTATGTTAGTAATAGTGTAGATTGAGATTAGATAATTTACATGGAATATATATAATATAATAATAATATAAAATATTTTAAGAATAGAAAGTAGATGTGTGTTCAAATTTAGTAGTAATTATTAAGTAGTTATGACAGTTCTGATGTTTCTTCGGGAGGTTTAAAATTGTTAGAATTAGTTAATGGATGATCATTCTTCTCTTCATTCAATAAATATGATAACATGCTCTCTGGAGGTTAAACTTTTTTTTCTATATTAACTTCTAATGATTAATGCTTTTAAAGCAAAAATTAATTTGTATTTTTAGGAGAACCGAGGTACTCTTCATCAATGAAAATGATGCAAATTTTTTTTTTGATTTTTTTCTATATTCCTAAGACTTTTTTTGGCTTCATTTGAGCTTTACAGCGTTGTTAAATATCGAAATACTTAGGTAATTTGTTTGATTTCTCTCTATTTAATTTCTTATTCCAAAAATGAATCATCAATGTTTTAAATTCGAGAAAATGAAGGGGGTAGAGATTATAAATGATTGAATAAATTTGAGATATAATAATAGGAAAATAAAGAAGAATAAAAAGTTTAGATAAAGAATTTGAAAAGTGTAAAAGTAAATAAATAGGTGATAATTGAATGAATTAACAATAATTAAAAATACGATTCAATAATGGTGAGTTTATTTGTTTATAAATAACTGAATATTAATGAATGTTATGTATATATAAATATTATTCTGACAATTTTTAAGAGATAAGGTATTGTTTGGATAGAGAAGACGGAAATAAGTAAAAAAATAAAAAATTTAAATTATAGATTCTATGATTGAAAAATAATTAAAGGTATAAAGTTGTGATTAAAAACAATATGTAATAATAATAAAAGAAACAAAGTTGGATTCAATAATTATTTTGTGGATGTGTTCGTGAAGAACCTATTAATTAGGATTAGAGAATACAACGTTTATCAAGTAAGATGGAAATTTAGAAGCAGAAGCCTATAAATATAACATCTATATAACAGCAATCTGAAGGATGGTTGAATAAGACTACATCTTAAGAAGTTGATTATTCAGCAGATATTGAAAAAGATGTAGATTCAGATGAAGATCACTAAAAAATATATAATAGATAACTTTCATATTTGGAGCAGAATTCTTAGCTACAAAAGACAAGTTTTTCTGATGTAAATATTATAGAATAAAATAGGAATTCAATTCAAACAATATAGAAATGAAGTTATTGCATCGTAAAGGTGGTTTATTATCAAGATAAAGCAATATTTAAATAGAAATGTAATCTAATTTATGGATTATGAAAATCTTTAAAGATGTTTAATTGATTGTTCAAGATAAATAATTTGAATAAAAATTTAAATCTCAATTGATCAATTCTTCTATTGTTGATATAATAAAACAAAGAATTAAATCGAATTCTGTTTTGTTAGCTCATGATCCAACAGGATCAATCTTACTTAAATTAGCAAGTCCCAGTAGAAAGATATAATATTTGATATAAGATAAGACATTTTAAAATATAATTGATAGAGGGATTTGTAAATTAAAAGTGAAAGTAGATAAAGTATTCAAAATGGATTTAGATCAGAAATTAGATATTGTTGTAGTAAATCTATATTATGTGGATTGTAAAGATAATCTAAAAAACATTCTTTATGAATATTTACAATATGCTCATGATATTATTATTCTTCTATCATCAAACATAGAAAATTCCATAATTTATGATTCTGCTGAGTAAGCTATTTCATTATCAGAATAATCTAATTAAAGTTGCAGTGTTGAACTTCAAAATTTGACTGATAATAATAATACCATTGTTGCTAAATTACTATACTATGGTGATATTACAGAAGTAATTCAATTTTTAATTATTATTTTAGATCACATTAAATGATGAATTGAATTTTGTTTATTCATGCATTGATTCATAAATCAAAAAACAATATAATTATAAACTAATGTTTAAAGATTTAAGAAATCAATTAGGGATGAGCAAACTCATTAAATTACTTAATCAATTTTAAATCATTTCAGGAATTGGTTCTTTTCATGAGTTTGCTACTAATGTTAATGGAACTAAAGATAAATATTAGTTAATTAACTTTTAAACTAAAGAATTTGACAATGACAATCAAGAGGCTAAACATAATTTAAGTAAATCCTAATCTTCATCCTCATCTACTGAATCTGAACCTGAGGATAATTTTAATAAATTAGCTACCAAAAGTGATTCATTTAATCAATCTTAGATGCTGCAACCACTTTTGCTCAAACAGACTTATTCATAACCCTTTAATAATTGATTTATTATATTGTTTATAATTTTCTATAATCAAATGTCTAATTACTCGGGATTTCAAAATAGATAATAACTATCGCAATATGAATAATTATTATAATTGCTTCTAGTTACCTTAAATAAGAGATTAGTCAAATTTTATTAAAATGAAGAATGTGATGAATTAGCATTTCGCAATATTTTTCAAAGAATCATATCTGGTATCAAAACTCTAGAATAATAGTAAATGTTTTAAACTTAATATAATAGAAAATTTATGCCTCCAAGGTTTAGTGAAACAGTTAAAACTTTATTTGAGATTTTAAAATTAGAAGAATAGCAACAAGTATCAAAAAATCTATATAGAGTGAAAGGTTATACATGAATCCATAATTTGATTTAATCTCTAAATAAGCCAATATTATAATGAACTAAGATAAAAAGCCAATATAACATTTGTAATATAAATTACAAGAAGATTATCAAGAAATGCCACCTCATCCATTAATGCATATTGAACAAAGATAAGATTCAACTAAATTGGATATAATTTTTTAGAAAATTGATAAATAGGAAAAAATCGTTAAACTAGAATAAATTGATAAAAATAAGAAATTTGAAAGTGGAATTACTGAAACAATTACACCTCGTAAAGTTAAAGAATCATAAAAATAATTATAATTTAATTAATAATAATAATAGAATTTGATACCAAAAGAATTTATGAATTAAATAGAAGAATATGTAACTAGAAATGTGCTTGATAAATTGAACCTTACAAAAAGATCAAAGAAAAAAAAATAAAGATCTTCATCAAATGCTTTTTAATTTAGATAAGTTCTTTTAACAACAGGTGATAAATAGAATTAATCATTTTAATCAACATAGAGAAAATTTAATAATTTGATATGAATAAGATATTATTTATATATATTTTGTTTTCAATAATTTGAATGATATAACTCAATTTCAAATTGGTAATAACCAATAATACCATTCAGATCCTAAGATTTCTTTTAAATTTTCCCAATAACTAATGAAAAAAGGATTGGTCTTTAATTTAAACTTATAGTACTCTATAGTTGTTTAATTATTGATTGCTAATCTAAAAAAATTGGTTAAAATATACCTTAAATGATTTAAGAAAAATGGGAAAAATAAAAGAAACAATAGAAAAATAGAGTGATAATATGTAAATTTGGCTAATAATTGAGTATCACTCTAATGAATAGCTTATGTATAGGTTTAGAAATATGTAATTAAAACTATTATTAAACATAAATCTAAAACAATGATATGATGATGATTACTTATATAGAATATCAACATAAAAAAGTATTTGTAGTTTTTTAAGCCTATACAAATATTGAGCCACATACAATGATGATCCATTCTAAATACACATTATTTGCATTAACTACAATGATGCGCTCTTGATGGTTTATATGATTAACAAATTTTGCATATTGTAATACCATTACTCTCTTAAACCTTTATGTTAAGTATATGTATCAATTATTCCTCTGTTATTTCTTATGTACATTAATTCTAATCTAAAATTTAAAACAATCTATCTTCATTCATCATTAATAATTTGAGTTCTTCTTAAAGTTCATTTAGTAACTTTGTATCTAATTTTTCTCGTACGCTCTCGATTTTAATCAATATTTACTTTATCAATAAATCCTGGACCAAAACGAATTACTTAGATTGCACTCAATACAATAAAGAGGATAACAAATCCAACTATAAACTATATGCACACTACTTGCATTGACAAGTATGTCTATAAGATAATATACATACAATATAATAGAATGAGCACATCCCAATAAAAAATATTGAGAATAAAACAGGTGGCAAATATATTAAAAACATTAATAATTGATTTTGAAATATTATTTATTCTTTGATGTATGAAAATGATTTCCTAAAAGACAAACATTACATATTTATACCAAAGTTATAATAAATTATCAAAAAACATTTTAATTTTACAATCATACCAAAAGTCCTTTATTTATAAATAAATTTTGTTTATGCAATCCAACTTGAAATTCAAATTACCAAAATTTAAATACTATTATTTTATTAGCTTAAGATTCTTTGTAATAATGGAACAATATATAGCACAAAGCAGTCTTATAATATTATGTAATTTAACCTTTAAAATTATGTTAAAAACACAAAAAACTATTGTCATTCTAACAATAGGATCACCTGCCTCTCCCCAAGTTGGTAAAGTCTTATCAGTTCCACTCCACCAATTCTAATATTTAATTATTTGATACTTTATAAATACTAATCCATACAATATCATAAACTACACTTAATACAGTTAAAACAATCAAGATTTTTATATATGTAGGTTCAAAACAATCTCTAATTACTATTATCAAATACAACATTGCTAGGATTAACTTATTATATTGATATTTTTACATTCAAATAATCTGGACGAGCAAAACATTAAAATAATGTTAAAACCAACATCATCATATATAAAATAAACCCATAATATAATTCATCTGATAATTGATCTTCAATTTAATTAGGATCAGGTTAATTAATTTAAATATTTTATTACTATTATTATTATATATAAAATGGTTTCTATTATTATACATAATTTTATTATTATTAATAAGTAAATGCTTAATTTTATTATGTTAACGACTAAATCTAAGGTTATTTTAATGATTATTATAAGTTATTTCTCATATTGTTTTCTAAAAATGGTTATTGAATTGTTAATAAATCTCTATGATAATCATCTATATCACTTAAACTTTATTAAATTGTCTATTCATATTTAAGTATCAATTCTTAATGATATTTCAACTTAAAATTAATCATAATCTAATACTTTATTATGAATCCATTAAGATTCTATTTATAAAAATGTTTATAATTATTGTTATCTCTCATTAACTAATTACAACTACTAGGAATGTACTTATTAATCATGCATTTCTCCTAAATCTAAATGACTTTAGCCTATTAATATTATTCCTTAATTTTTATCCTAAACAAATAACTTTATTAAAATCTCTTCAGAACCAGTTTAAATTAGACTTTTTATTAAATTAAAATATACAAATTTAGTTATTAGTTAAAAATTGGATTATATTTATCTCCAGAAGACATTTAACTTTAAATTTCTGTACCATCCAGAGATACTATGATAAAACTACATTGATAATTTGAATATTGAATATTATGAGCTTATTTTATTACTATTATTAATTATGAATCTCTGTCTACTCCTTATGGATTTAGTTTTTAATTATCTTTATTTATTTATATCTATTACATTATAATTCTTATGCCTATTGTTAACATTCTTTTAATTCATCTTTATATAATTAGATTTGTTATTCTGTTTAATTTATTTTTTTCTTCAGCACTTTATCTGCTTCCATTATAACTTATGCAAAATCCTCCAATTAAACTTGACCCCTTTGATTAGGTTAACATTATTCAAACAATTGTTAAGCTACATCACGATCATATAATTATCCACTCTATACTATAAATCATCAAACTTACAAGTTTGTCAAGTGCTGAAAAGAATTATTCTTTTTAATAAGCTTATCCTTAAGATAATCCTGTTCTTTAGAAGCCACTCAATATAGCATTTATTGTTGGGCTAAATTGCAACGACATATTATTTTTAAATTTTTATTAATATAAATATTATTTTATATGTATTTATAAACTTCTTTATCTTTCTCATTATTTCCTACTCTACTTATCTTTATATTAATATTCCTAATTATATAATCACAAAGCATAGAGATTTGGTAATAACAAATAAAGAGTTCAAATTTATAATATTTCTAATTTAAATTCAAAAAATAACTAATCTCATTTTAATTATCTATAAAATAATTATTAATTATCAATCTAATATTTTTTGTTCTATATTAATAGAAAATCAAAGTTTTTTTTAAATTCAATTATTGAAATAACTAATTAATATTAATTACATTTCTAACATAAGAATTATTAAATACAAAATGAAGTATTAAGTTAGAATAATAAGTAAAAATTTCAAGATCATGTGATAAAATTGTTTTCTTTAAACTTTTTCAAAAATGATATATAAAAAATACATTAGCTTAAGTCAAATTGAATAATCATCCTAAAAAAATAACCAATTTTGATTTAATTTTCTGCAAGAGTAATATAAAATTTAAAAGAGAAAATAATAGTATCTGGTTCGATAAAGGGAGCAGAAAGTTAATATTATTTATTGAGAGCAAAATATTTATTATACGAATCTTAAAAGATTAATAAATGCTCAGAAAAAATTTAAAAAGTGGTAACAGTGATTATGGAGACAAATGAAATATAAGGGAGATCAAAAAAGATACCAACTTAAAAAAAAATAAAAGGAAAAATTAAGTTCAATAATTTTAAGCTAAAGGACTAAATAAAGTTGATTCTATAGATAATTCAAAATTAAAATCTTAAAAATTATACTTCTAGACAAAAAAATTAAGTATCTAAAAATTAATGATCAATAAATTATTTAAAAAAATGGTTAAAACATATTCTCATTTATATTTTAATATATATATCAGATTAATGCAACAGCTCTATTTAATAATTGATCATTAACATCATGTACTACTTCATTGACTCTTAATATAGTGATCTTTTATCTATGTCCCTAAGATTTCTAATATCTCTTTCTTCTCTTTTTTTTATAAACAAGTTCTTTATCGCTTAATGTTTATTATTCTACTGTTGCTAAAACCTTTGCATTTTCTACAAAAGGCCTTCCTAAAACAGTATAATCTTTAGCTCCAACCATTAAAACTTGATCTAATTCAATTGTTGTATTAATATCTAATCCTTCCATATATTCTGTAATGATTTAATCATCCTTAACAACTTTATATTAGCTACTACCAATTTTGCAAACTGCAAATTTAAGAAGTGATGGTAATTCAATTCCTTTCATTTAATCATGCACTATAAATTTACATTCCTATGCTACAGGAGGAGTCTATTAATCAATATTAATAATACTCTTTGTCTTTCCAATTCTTAATGTCTAGCTCTACGTTTGGCTTTCTTTTCCAAATCATTTTTCCATTTTTGAGTATACATAATATATCTCTTATCAGTGAATTTGTTATTGTAATATTCAAATATTTCAGCCTTATCTCTCTCTTTAAAGTACTCACTAAAAGTAAAGAGTTGAGGTTGGTTAATTAAAGATCTTCTAAATAATTATTTTATCATTAATTAAAATATTTATTTATTCTTTTAAATTGAGAAATTAAGAGAGAAACTAAAGAATATGTGATAACTAAGTAGAGATTTGAATTTGTTAAGACTTCATATGTAAAGTTAAAAAAATTGTACAAATATAAATTTAAATCTTTTTTTATTTAATTAATAATTTGAGAAAGAATGTCTGGTATTTCATCAAAGTTTATAGGAAGAGGAATCTCAATATTCTGAACATCCAGGAGGTTGGATAGAATGGTTTTGTGCTCATGAAGATCATTAATTCTTATGTGAAGTAGATGATGATTATATTCGAGATCCATTCAATCAAATTGGAATTAAGGGAAGATTTACTTTCTATAAGTAACTATCAAACAAATATCTTAGTGAAGCCATAAATATGATATTGCATCCTACTTCTCCTGAAGATTAAGACTTAGAAGATGAAAGGTTTTCTTATTTTACATCACACCAGATTTTTAGAAGTTTATTAGGAAGCATCTGACATTTATGGTTTGCTCCATGCTAGATTTATTTTTACTTCCAAAGGATCTGCAATAATGAGAGAAAGATATTTACAAGGCAAATTTGGTCATTGTCCTAGGATTTATTGTGAGAAATAGAATGTCATCCCTATAGGATTATGTGAAGATTTGAAAACAGCAAGAGTTAAGGTTTATATTATATTAAATACTTAGGTATTTTGTCCTCGTTGTGAAGAAGTTTACATCCCAAAAAAAAAGTGTGCTGATATTGATGGTGCTTATTTTGGAAAGTCATTTCCATAATTTTTGTTGATGGTTACATATTTAATAAATAATTTTAGACATATCCTGATTTACATCCAAAATATTAATTATTACCAGACACTTAAATTAAATCTAATTTTGAACCTACATTATTTGGATTCAAAATTGCTGGTAAATAAGGCAGTAAATTTAAAAGATTTGAATAATAAATCCAAATTAATCAAATTGTTACACAACCTATCATCTAATCAACTGAATAAAATATTCTTTTAGACGAATAAAAATAAATACGAATCTAATAATAATAATAATAATAATAATAATAATAATAATAATAATAATAATAATCATAATAATAATAATAATCATAATAATAATAATAATAATAATAATAATCATAATAATAATAATAATCACAATAATAATAAAATACAGAACCTAATCAACCTAATCATAAAAAAAAAAACAAGAAAAAACATAAAAATTGAAAGTCAATATATTTGGTATTATATAAATGTTATTTTATTAATGTATGAATAAAAATTATACAAAATGTTAATCAAACAAATTTACGTTGAACACCAATAATTCGCTTAATATAAAATACTTACCAAATACTAACAATAAGAATAATTAAAGTTTCGATAATAGTATAAATGAAATACATACTATTGTTATCTCTTAAAAATTGATAACCTCCCTCTCTTTTTTATTATGAAAATTTAGTGTCAAACATTAGATCATTCAAACCAGTATACAAACTAGATAATTTTTTTTAAATTGGATCTAAATCTGTCTCCTTTATATGTTCATATGTGGCATTTCTAACATCAAGAGCAAAAGTCACGATATGATTGTGTTTACCCTCTGAATTATATGAGTTTTTACATTTATATTGCTGAACACAAATTTATAATTTCCTGGATTGGTGATGTTAACAGAAAAAACGGCTTCTTTCTTTTAATTTTTGTTATCAATAACCTTTCCTCTTGGATCTTTTATCTAAAATGAATTTATAACAATCATACACTAAAATCTATTTTATCTTTATTCATGATTGATAAAAAGAATGCTCCTCTAATATTTGTTGGGTGTTTTATGTATTATTCTAAAATTTCCACTTCTCCTTTTTTTAATTCAAATGATAACATATCATCAGGAATAAAGTCAGCCATCTATCCTTCCCAATCATCCATTAATTATTTTCTTTCTTCATGATCTGTAGTATTGTTATTAGTCTCATTTTAAGATAGTTTACAATATACAGAAATTATGAATATTAAGAATAATTTCATTTATTATAATAATTTATTTTTTAGTATTATTTATAAATTATTATGCAGATCAAAAGGAATAGACCAAAATTGGGTGTTCCTAAATCAACCATCCTAAATACTCAATTATCTACAAATTAATCTTTGCGTAATTCATTCATAAATTGATATCATTATAGCAAGTAATAAATTGATTGGTTAAAAAACAATCCATGAACCATTTTTAGATTAAAGCCAGAGTATAAATTTACAATAATAACAAAAAGAATTAAGGCCAACTCTTAAATTATCTCCTGTTTAATAATTGTTAGATTATTTATTATATATGATTTAGATCGCCTTTCAATTTAGATTCCACTTATAGATAAAAAAGAAATATTTAAAAGACTGAAGGTAGTTCATCTGAACCTATACTTAAAATAAATAAGAAAAACCTTGAAATTCCCAAGGATAGACTTTTATTTGCAACTGAAACTAAACAAATTTCTAAATCATTAGTTGACTTAGATGATGTAAAATATTCTTTCTAATTTTTCAGCAATATGATTACATCAAAACTTTTAGAGCAATACCTATGTAAACTATAAAAGAAATCTATGACAATGATCGTAAAGAAATAGAAAGATTATGTTCAGCAGAAAAACATATACCTATAGATTCTAGATTAGGTCCTATTAGACCATAGTTATTACATCCAAATATCCCAGAATTTCGTAAATATTTTAAAGAAAATGAAAGATATTAAGAAATGCAGCAATTTTATTAAATTGATCCTAATATTTATTAAAAAATGACTGAAAAAGTAATATAGATTTTTATACTATTTAAGATAAAAAAAGAGAAATTGATGCCAAGAGAAATGAAACTATTTACAAACAATAATAATGACAAATTGATTGCTAATAATTTATTAGGATCAGATATGTATGTAGATTTGTTTTCTGAAGGATTATCTTCTTCTCATTTTAGTAATTTAAAATCACTACAAATGAAAAATAATAAGTTAAATAACAATAGAATAACAATGATTGCTAAAAATCTTCCTAGTAGTATTATTGATTTAGACTTCAGTAACAATGCTATTGGAAATAGTGGTATTGCCAGCATTTGTGATTTCTTAAATTCTAAAAACTGTTATCTTTAAATACTGAATTTAGAAGATAATAAATTAAGGGATGGACCTATAATGACTATTCTTAAAACTCTTTAATAGAGTAAAACAATTAAAGTAATCAAATTTTCAAAAAATTAAATTACTGACATAAGCATGGATCAATTTGGAAATTTGTTGAAAACAGTAACTAAATTTATATAAATAGAGTAATTCACTTCAAGAAGTTTATTTACATTATAACTAAATACGTAATTAAGGTGGAACTGTATTTTTTAGATCTCTTTTAAAGAATTAATATATGAAAGTCTTAGATTTCTCTTTTAATAAGTTAGGATAGCATAAAGAATGTGTCTAGATGATCTCTGAGTAAATATTTTTATCCATAAAGAGTTTTAGGTAAACCACATTCAGAATTATCTCATCTAGACTTATCTTATAATAATTTCAATAATGAAGATTCAAAAATATTTCATTAAGCAATAATGTTTAATTAAATAATATATGGAGTTCATTTTGAAGGTAATGGGGATTATTGTATCAATGGAAGAGGCTTTCTTGTAAATTAGAAAGAGTTAGATTAAGAATATAATGTTTTAGTTTCTAAATAATAAATAAGACATTCTACATAATAATTTGTTGATTAAAGTATAAATAGAATAGATTTAAAAAATAAAATGAATAAATTGGATGAAAATTTTTAATTAGCTGATCCATCATTATTCAAAAGAATTTAAAGTACAGATTGGACTAACAATAAATCTAGAGACAATTGTTGGTTATGTGAAGGTTGGACAGAAATTAGATTTCAATATATAGTTGGTAAATCTGGAAATATTAGTGATTATCCAATTTTTTTACATTTAGATTTTGAAAACTATAGACCAATGATCATGGAATAAGATTAATAAATTTTTTATTTATTAAGAATGTGTCCACCAAATAGAAAAATTAAATACTTTTTTAGTAATCCATTTTTAGATATTTAATTCACAGCTAAAGATTAACGCATAACTGCATTAGATGACTTTGAACCAATTAAAGTTCAAGGCATTCCAATGATTTATGCTGATACTTCTGTAGTTTATAGTTAGAAAATTTCAATTGTAAATTATTTAACAGCTACTATCAATAAAAAAGTACTTGACTCATAAAAACATTATATACCAACAGTTATATCTAGACCTAGAGAGTAGGAAAAAATAGTTTATATTGATCCTAATAAAGCAAAAGAGAAATCTTGGTCAATCGAAAATTCAATTTTTAGAGATTTCTAGGCAGATGCAGAAGGACATCTTCTTGATTGTTTTGATTTTGATTTTGAATGTGGAAGATTATAAAAACATATACCCGATCCAGAAGATTTAGAAGTTTTAAAATCAAAAGTGAAAGTATTTTACAAAAATATTTTGGCTTGTTATAAATATTATTGTGCTGAAACTCTGAATTATGAAACACCTTGTTTAAATCAATAAAGTTTTATTGATTTCATATCCTAAACAAATATACTTTCAAAATCAATTTTAAATAATATTGATTTATAATTAACTTATTTATCAAGTTATGTTGTTCAAAAATCAGCTGAATTTATTCATGTGTTAGATAAATGTTTAGTTAGATATTAATTTCTTGAAATAATTATACGATTAGCTAAAGAACAATATTTAAGAACAAGTTAATGTAATAATATAACTGATGCTTTGGAAATGTTATTTTAATAAGACAATGTATTAGATTTAATATAAGAATTTGGAGTACCTTAAGATTGGAGAGATACTAGATATTGGACTTAATTGATGGATTAAACTATAAAAATGAAGATACAATTTTTATAATTAATTTATGATTATGTATCAAAGATAACATTTAAACATAATAAATATGTTACATTAATCGATTTTAAACTATTTAATGAATAATTGGATTTTGTAAAATATGTTACTGAGAAAGAGCTTTATTTAATCTATTTATAAAGTATGTAAACATAAAGAGATGAATTAAGAGAGTCTAAACATATTTAAATGTAATTTTTAGAATTTGTTGAGGCTATAGCAAGATTAGCTGAGAAAATATCACCAATTTCTCCAATGTATGCAGTACGTAATCCAGCAGTTAATAAAATAACTAGGAAATCATTACCCTTATTTGTTAAATTTGAGGGACTTCTCTATATAATATTTTAAAAATTAAAATAAGGAATAACTACAAAAACAAATGAATAATAGATTTAAGATTTAGAGAAAAATATAATATCAAAAACAATATTGAAAACTGTTCAAGCTAAAAAATTAGGAGTTTTTGGTATTAATAAATAAATTATTCTATTTAGAGGAGGATAGAAGTTCAGATGAAGAAAGAGAAAAAGAATCAAAATATGTACCATTATTACCCGATGAGAAAGATTATTAAGAAGTTAAAGAGAAAAAAGTTGCTGGAAGTGGGTGGAGTAAATTAAGAAATTGGGCAAATAAAAAGAAATTGTAAAAATAAGGAAATCCAGAATAAATTAATATGCTTAAACAATTATAAACATATCAAGATGAAGAAGAAAGATATGTTTAAGTAGAATATGAATAAGCATCTATTTATGAAAAAATGGAAATAAAATAAAGATAAAGAATGAAATAAGAATTTCAAAGAACTAAATTAAATTAAGATCCTACATTCAAATTTGAAGAAGAAGATGAAATTAAACGATTCTGATTTACAGAAAAACAAAAACTTATATCTATTATAATTACATTCATTCCCATCCATTTATAAATGATAAATCAGAGGATTAATGATCTTCTAAAGTTATTCTCAATTATTCATTGCCATTCTCATTTGATTTTTTTATTATGTTAGACTTTGGTTTAGTATGAAATGAAATTCTACTTGCAATTCTTATATCATCTTATTATTCTTATTAACGATTTTATAATTGTTTTAATTAACTTTTGATAAGTCCATTTTTTTTATATAAATGTGGTATTTTCATTGTATCTGGAATTTATACATGATATTACAATTTTGGTTCAAGTTTATTTTCGTTTTATTTTTAATATGATAGATTTCTATAATTTTCAATAGGGTAAACAATATATGATGTATTAACTCTTCGTCTGACATATTTATATTTTGCTTATTGATTCTTTTATTCTTTAGAATTCTCTAGATTTAATATACTTTTTCTAATAATTTATTCAGTTTAATTTCCATAAACCTAGTTAGAATTTTAGTAGATTAAGTTTTCATTAATTTCTTTAATTTGAGGATATTTGAATTAAAATTAATTCAAAGTTTGATTGAGTTGTTACATATTATAAAAAGTTTTGCAATTATTTGAATTGTCTGTTTTGTTATTTTGTTATTTCTTTTAAGTATTAATTTTCATTTTTAAGAAATATTAATAATAAAATGCATAACAATAATCCAAGAAGCTCATCTCATAAATAATTGAAAACTTTGTAAAGCCAACTTTAGACTACACCAATTCTGAAATCTATAGAATAATTGAAAACTGAAGGAATTCATTATTATTACCATTAAGGATATGAAAGAAAAGCTTTACATAAAATTTTTACACTTAACACAAAAAAAAGACATATCTAAAGATATATAAATTAATAAGTTTATAATGCAGACTTAAATGGAATTTCTTTAAAAGCTAGTTAAATGGATAGATTTAATTTATATTAAAAAGGTTTAACCGAGTACTTATAATTAATGATAATTTAGTGAATTACAAGCAAATTCTAAAAGTTATACTAATTTATCTCGTTTGAAAAAAGGAGATTTTTAGAATAACTCTACAGAATAATTATACGGACTTAAAAATTCACAACATAGAGAAACCCGTATAACATCAGGTCTGAGAATTTAATCTATCTAATAAGAGACTAATCTCAATGGTCAAAATAATTAAAATAAGTTTTCTATATCCAAGCATTTGGTTAGACCAAAAAGAGAAGAATAATTAGTACAAGCAATTAAGAAAGATAATTTATTTACTATTGTTTATAAATCAAATATTTTTTCTAATTGAATTATTTACTAATTAATTATTTATGAATTTTAAGTTTAAAACCATTAGGCGAACTAGAAATGCATTAAATGCTTAGTAAATCTATTGGGAAATAATTAAATTAAAGAAATACTTCAGAGTAAAGACTATATTTGGAGAAGAGAAGAAAGCTGAAATAATTTTTCATAGAACTTAATTACCAAACAAATATAGAACTCATGATATGAGTTTATATATAGAATAACATCAAGAGACTTAGAATATGTTCTATTATATTGCAACAGGATTATTTAGCTTTTCAATTATGCATTTCTATGCAAAAATGCTCTATGATGATGATACTAGATATTGGGTTAGTATTCGTTTTCCTAATCATATGAAATAATTTGATATTTTTAATAGATTAATAAAGAATCAATATGATGACATATTAGAGAAAGTATGAATAAAAATATAAAATTTAGTTACAATTAAAAAATAAAGATTTGACTGGAGAAGTGGGATATCATAATTTGAAACAAGGCATTAAAGACTTATTTAAAAGAGAAATTAAGATAGTTGATTTTGAAACAACTGACAAATCCATTTAAGGACTAGATAGCTTTTTATAAGAATAAGATAAAAAAGTACTTAAATCAATTAAATGAATTTTATATATGATCAACTTAATCATTAAATAGATGATATCATTAATCATTACAATCTTTCAAGGGATCCAGCTTTATAACTTATATCTGTCATTATTAATTATTTGATTGGTGATACTCGATAAAGTTGTGGAATCGAAAAAAAAGAAGACATTTACAAAACCATATTAATTATAAAAAATCACCTAAAAAATGATCCAACCTTAAAAATGAATTTATACAATGCTGATCATGTAGTTAAAAATAATGATTTAACTTTGAAAGACCTAGATATTCATTATAAATGCAAATCTGAATTGAATGAGTTTAAATAAAAAATCTAGAACAGAGATTCAAAATTAGCAGAAACAACTTGTTCTTATCTTAGAGATTTATAAGGTCTTAGAGAATAAATATATAGACAAGCTAATAATCTAAATCATGATTTCTCTGATCAAAGACATTTTGATTCTTTTGAAATAACTGATCCAAAATATAGAGAATTATTGAATAGCAAAATTAACATTATTAAAGCTGATTATGAATAAAAATTGAAATATCTTACATAAATTGTTGAATCTTAGAAAAAAGAAATAGGAACACTAAAAACCTAAATATAGGATTATTAATTTAGAGCAGAACATTATGAAAATCCTGAATATTTAATTAGAAAGCTATTCCATATAGAAAGAGATCCTTATGAATTATGGAGATTAATATAAGATAACTAAGGAAATCCATTCCTTTTTTAAGTTTTTTCAAATCAAAAAAAAGGTTATGGAATTGATTATTTAGAAATTGATTAATTACTTATGGCTGTCAAAGTTTAGGATAGAATATTTGAAAGACAGAAATAAACATTAGATTAATAACTTGCTTGTTTTATGGAAAGAATTTTAGAAGATGTTTATGATTTAAGATAGAAACTTTTGGATAAGGAATCTGAGTTAGATACATTTTAAAAAAAATATATAAGAAATCTCTCTATATTAAATAAAATTATTCTGCAAGCTTTTAATAAAAGTAAACTTTTAATTATTATTAAGTTATAAGTTCATATAATTTGTTGTTAATGAAAACGTCCTTTAAATTATGGAAAGACAAAAATCTCAAATTAGGTCCCCTACTTAAAGATTTATCATAATTTTAAATAAAAAATATAGAACATGATATATTTGATTACTTCATCTAATAAATATATGAATTATAAGAAAAAGTAACATTTTTAGAATTAAAATGTAACAGTTAAAAATTTGTATCTAAAACTTTAGAATCTAAAAATTCAATTATTTAAAATACGTTAACATTATTAAAATGTAATTTCAATATTAAAAACTTTGATTTGGATTTTGAATAAAAATTATTAAAATTAGATAACTTCTAGATTAGATTTTGTAAAGAATTATTAGATTAATTAATGGTTCAGAAAATAACTTATTAAAAGTATTTATAATAAATTCAAAAACATGATAAATATGTTTAAACAGATTGCACTGAAATTATTAATTAAGTCATTTAAACTAAAGAAATAATGGTAGATAATATATGTTTAACTACATATATAAAATAGAAATATTAAGAAAAAAAGGAAAAATTATTTCACTAAAATGGAATTCACAATTCTAATAGATCATATTCTATTTAAGAAAACCATAAACCAAATAATGATTAATTACCTTAGTTGAAGTAACACAATAGAAGAATGACTTAAAACGAATCAAATTTTTTGAAGTAATCAAATCAATTCTAGATTAATGAATTATAAGATGAATAATCAAACATATTTTTTAGAAAAAACTCTTTAAAAGAATCAGAGATCATGGATAAAAGATAAAATAAGTTTAAAACTGATTTACAAAATCATCCCCCTAATATTATTCAAACTCAAAGAATAAATCAAAGCAGTTTATCTATTGAAAATGAAGGTAGATTAATGAAACCAATGATTTATGATTAGGAGGGTTTATAATTTGAATAATTCGACAGCAATTTATTATTTCCTCAATAAAAAAATTTATTACCATAATTACAAGTTCAAAAAGAAATTAAATAGAATATTATCAAATAAATTAAATAAATATAAAATAATAATAATTAGATTTAATACGAGAGTGAACCTGAGAAATAAAAAAAAAATAATGAACCTAAACATAAAGCCAAAAATGTTAAATATAAAAATAATATTATAATATAATATGAAGAATATCCTAAATATGAATAATAAGAGTAATTATATTTATTTCTTAATCAATCAAGTTGTTAATCGAAAAAGAATAAAACTAAATTAACATAGTTTATCTATAAAGTATGAAGAAAACTATTGATGATTATTTATTTTTATTAAAAATATTTTTATTTTATTTTACAAATAGAGGAATCTACATAATTTCTATTAAAATTGTATTTTAAAGGGAAATTTTTCTTTTTACAAGTATATTCTACTTCTGAAATATCATTTAAAAATAAATTGTTGTAATGAAATGTTTAAACTATCGAATTCACTATTTGCTATTTTTGAAAATTGTCTAAATTTATTCTTTTTTGATTTAAAACTAATATTGTAGATAATCTAATTTAGGATACTAAGATTAAATGTGATTAAAGCCAAATAATTATAATAAGAAGAGTTCTGAAAATAATAAAAATGAAAAAAAAGCCAATTTTTAATTATTAATAGCAAATCTATGGGTTATGAAAATTTTCTTTAAAAATGATTGAAAATCAGGTTTTAAATCAAACTGAAAACATTTTTAATTCTTTAAAAAAATGTGTTGTTTAAAACAAAATAATATGTAGATATTGAGATATTAATGTATGATCTAATAATTATTAATAAATTTTCAATAAATAATTTATTAAAGGAAGATTTATCAAAAATAAATAAATATATCAAGAATTAGTTTTCTCAGAATAAATGACTATTATCAAAAGGTTTGACAAGGACAGCATTCATCATGATCTTATTGAGATTCCTTAACATAGTACTTAATTTATTTTAGAGATTATCCAGAGATTTAATCTCGAAATGTTACTTTATGCATTTTTTTTCCTTTCAAAATTTAATTTTAGAACATGTCTCTTCTTAAAATAGTTTTCTTTGAAATCCTCTCTGTTTCTGGGTTGATTTCAATACAATCACCTTCAGCTTTAATTAAATTTTCTAATTTTGGTTCAACCTATGACACTAAAATATTAATTTTAGGTATAGACAATTCATGCAACATAGATTTTTATGTTAAAGAATGATTAGCACTTAGGTTAGTAACTTCTGAGTTCCTATTCCTAGCACTGAATATATCAATCATTAACTAAATAATCGGAGAATTTTAATATATAATAATATAAAAAGAAAGAAAGATAGTGTATTCTTTGTTTGATTCAAGTAGAATAGGTGGAATTTTTATATAATATTAATTATTAATGAGATTTTAATGAATTATGGTTCGATTATAATTGCTACCAATTGATGAATTCAAAAAATTGTATGCTTAATGTATCGAAAAGACTAATGGTTATTCATGCATTTAATTGATAATATTAAAACATGATAATATAAATCCAAATAATTTACAATTCCGAAACACTTAGATAGGTATTAAAATAATTTATTAGGTTAGTGTGTCATTTTTAAATAATTGCATAAATTAATTAATTTAAACTCTAGAGTCAATTTTTTGGATATTTCGATAAGGATTTAAGACATAAAGTTTGGATTGAACATTTTAGAGGACAGATAGAGCAGTTTTATATTAGATTTTAAAATCAAGATCTAATTTAACTTCTTTTTGATATTTTTAGCCACTTAACTTAAATATTATTCTAATTCATTTAATATATTTTCATATTTTTCAATAGTAGATTCAATTTATTATTTCATCTTTAAATTTTGAAGAACATCTTTAATTTAGAACTCCATAATTCTAATTCCTTTATTAGAATATTTAGATTAGTGGATATTGAGAAAAGATCATTATAATTGATATATATATTCTGAAAACATTTTAAAACTTTTTATAAATTAATAATAAGATGATGCTAGTGATCATGAATAAAGTTTTTACAAATTAATTTATCTTCAATATTATCAAATGCATAGATATTATTTTTTTAATCCATGACTATTACTTTTAAATGACATTTTATTTATATTTAATAATATAAATCATAAATCTGATTTCTAAATATTTAATTTTGGTAAACTAGAGAATGACTAACCAGATTCAGTTTTCTTAATTACACCTCTAACAAATTCATTTAGATTATCAACTGTTAATTATTTTTTGAATCTATAGTATTTTTTTGATGTAAAATCTACAGCAACGACTTAGGGATATCTAAATATAGTATATAAAAATACCCTTCTCCAATAACACTCAACTCAGCTTCAAAATCATCATATTATTCACCAACAAACCAACCTAGATTAGCTCTCCCTGTCAAAGATAATGCAGTCTATAGAATAATATAAAAATATTACTTTCTTAAAAATCTAAAGTGCATCTTCTTATTCTTTATTGTCATTTGGTAAGAATCCTAAAACACAAAGGGCTTAAATTAAATTGATGGAAAATATACTTTGACAAATTTGATTTAATTTTTCATCAGAATTAATTTAAATAACATCTGTAATAACTTATTATCCATTAACAGGTTTTTAATCTTTTATAAATTTTAACAATGATTCTAAATTTCTTTCTCCTTCATACTTTTTATGAGTATCCTATTTATTTCCAGCTGGGAAAAAGTAAATTGTTGGATAAGATTCAATATTAAATCTTTTAGCCAATTCAGTCTAAGCTGTAGCATCTACTTTAGCAATTGGAATATCAGCTTAATGAGACAATTTATTCCATTCTGGTTAAAGTTATTTACAATGTCCACACCAAGGTGCATAAAATTCAACAAACCAAGGTTCTTAACTTTTGAGTACTTATTCATCAAAATTAGAATCTGTTAGAACAACTACCTTTGAATCATCATTTGATGGTTATGGTTTAATTTCAACTCCTAATCTATTTAGAGCAATTTCTCTAGCTCTATCTAAAAGATAATCTACTATAGCATTTTTCTTTCTTTCTCCTTCAAATGCTATAGGATCTGCTTTATTAACTCCAAAGAATTTAATTGTTGGATAACTATTAACTCCATAAGGTTTTCCAGCATCTCCATCTGTAGTCATATCTAATGCACCAATTTTAATGATTCCATCCAAAGCTTTAGCAGCCTTATTATATTCTGGAGCTAAAGCCTTGCAATGACCACACCAAGGTGCATAGAATTCTACTAACCAAGGTTCTCCAGAATCTAGAACTAATTATTTGAAATTATCATTAGTAAGTTTAATCACTTTTGAATCGGCATCATATAATGCTAGACATTATGATATGATGAAAGATAGAAGCAGTAAATTATAGAAGCTTTTCATTCAAATGTTATTTTTAATATCGTGTTATGTTAGAAATATTCTAGAATTTATAAATCTACACGTTACATTTATACTATTAAAATTAATCTTTAATTTAAATAGAATCATTGTTTCTATTAATCAATTAAAATAACTAGATAAATTATTTATCAATTCAAAAACAAGATAAATAAATTAAATAGTTTTTACATCTATTTATTTATTTTATTTATTTAATATACTAATATATATCTCATGCACCAATTGCTAATTTAGATCTTGCTGCTTGTTTTCTTGATTAACGAGCTACAACCTTATTATTCACTTCCTTTTTAACATTCTCATCTCTTTCAGCTGCCCAAATTTCAATATGTGCATTTGATGAAAGGAATGCTAATTTTATATTATTATTATAATTTACGGTTGATTCTTCCATGTGCTCTGTATGTTCTACGTCTTCCCTTTTATGCTCTGTTAACTTAAACATGATTAATTATCAATTTTTCATTGCTTAAATTTTTAACTTATGCATTGGCTGCTAAATTTTATAACAGAGACAATACAATTCTAACACTTTTCTCTGGCCATCTACCTAAACATTTATTTTTATACTCAAATACCTTGGGATCTACCAAATTCCTTAGCTTATCCTGTTCTACCTACACCTCCATTAAATCTTGTGAAAGGAACACATCTCTTATGTTAAAGAACATCTTGCATGTATTTAAGAGCCTAAGCAAGTGTTTATCCCTTTATTGCTCTTGCTACTTCATAAGTGTTCTTAAAATGAGTTCTTAAATCACTAGCTTTAGCTTTTGCTGATTTCTTTGCAACAGCAGGTTCTCTAGCATATTATTTTCCCATTAAATTATATCCTTTTTAATTTATTTAATTTTTTTTCAAATTTTATTAAGAATTCAATAACTATAATGTTTTTATATATATTGATATTTAGATGTAGCCATTTTCAATTGTTTACTATTGCATATCTGACTCTATATCCACCTCCAAACTATTCAATATTTGTGCTATCAAATAACTCTCTTGGTTAACTTTTGAACAAGAATCCTAAGTTTCTTTTCTATTAAGGTACCACATATTCATTTGATGTGTAAAAGTTCTTATCTTAAATTTTAAGATTACAAATTTTACCTGTTAAAATTGCATAACTGTTATTTGAAGCAGAAAATTTGAGTATCTTTTCATCTTTTGGTAAATCGATTGGTCTTGGAACATAAGTCTCATCATAACCAGACAAGTAAATTCTATTTTAATCTGTTAAAAATAGGGAAAGATTATATCCAAGATCAAAATCAACAACTTTTTCATTAGGTTAGAAGTATTTCAAATTAACAGGAGTAGGTGTATAGTTTTCCTTTTTTAGAATATTTATAAAATCTTACTAAATCTGTAACAACATATTCTTATTATCTTACTCCCAATGAACCATAATAACTTCTGCCCCATCCAACAACTATTCCATCATCTTAATAAAATAATATCCTAATTAATACTTAATAAAGCTAATGTTCCAGCGAAACAAGATTTAATTTTTTAGATAGTATAACCAGATTTGCTCAATTATTCAAATATAGGATTAAGCTCTGGATATTTGAAATTGAGAGAGCATCCATTACCTAATTCTCCTCTTTTTCCTGCACCCCAAACATATACTTAATTGTTTTCATTAACAACAATTGAATAATTTATACCAGCACTAACAAATTTACCTTTTGGAGTGCCAACTAATTTTTGAACTGCTGCAGGTGCTAAAACATTATTCGAATAGTTATCTCCCAATCCACTAGCTTTACCTTAAAATTAAGCTAAAAATGAGTTATTTGCATTTCCCCAAGTATAAACATTTCCATCAGCTTAACTATTAAAAATTATTCATTTTACAAGCTAAAGCAATAGCATGATTTGATCCTAAAGCTACATCGGTTACTTTTAAACCTTTATCTCTAAAGAATTTTACTAATTAAGGAGTCTGATGTTCTTCTGTGTTACCCAAACCTAATTATCCATATTTATTGTGTCCAAATGTGTATAAATCACCATTATCTTGTAATTATATATAAATTAAATACCTGTAATGACTGCTGTGAAGTATTCACTAGGATATACCTTAGCAACATTTCCATTAAAAGCATCTATTCTTCTTGGTCTCAATTAATCTCTTTATGAATCTTAATTGATTCCACATCCCAAACTATGAACTCCCCAAGTGTATAAATTGCCTGCTCTATAAATTGGACGAGTCCATAATGATTTAAAAAGACCACTATGTGTTAAGCAATTCATAAATATTTATTTCAAGATCTAATTAATTATTTATATACAAAGATTCAAAACTCTTTCATATTTTTATATCTAATCACTTATTTTTGCATCCTTTACAAATCATATTGATAAAGTTTTTCTACAATAAATTAGATCTAATGTTCTTTTTATTTATTTATTCATTTATTCCTTATAGATGTAACTAAATCAAATTAGAAAAATCCTATTAATCATCAAATATAAGATTCCTTTTATTTATGTTTATATAATTTAATTTCCATGAGTGATTTAATCTCTAAAGCTGCTGTATCAAATTTCTAAGACTAAAAAACTGAATATTACCTTCCAATAATAAATCATAATTCTCATGAATTTAGACAACCTTATAACAAAGTCTAATCTAATAAAACTATTAAATCTAAATCATAACATCCAATTTAAAACATTATTGCAATATCATCTTATTAATTCCCTCAAAATACTACCTTAAAGTACTCTTTTGAATAAAGTAATTCACTTTAAGATAATGATTCCATCTAACATTTTATTTAAATGAATAAAACTATTGATGAAAAACAATTTTCCAATGATATGATCAACATTAATTAGTTAATTCAAGAAAAAAAGAAAGAACTTATAACTGATAATAAATATTTTCTAAAAGAAATTAGTAGAATTAGATGTAATTTATATTTAAATTATTAGATAATTTCTAAATGGAAGCATAAATTAGAAATAAACTTTAAAAAGACAGATAATCTACTACTTCATCTTAAGATAAATATGAAAAATGCTGGAATGAAACCTTAAAAGAAATAAATAAGGATTCCTAAGACTATAATTAAGTAATTGATTCATTATGCAATAATAATGAAGAACAAATTAAAAAAGTTAAAAAACCAAAACCTCTGAGAAGCTAAGTATTCCTATCTTTAATTATTTTAGATGTATTCTAAAATTAGAGAATAAGAAAATTAATATTTTAAATAACACTCACAATCCCTCATCAAATTAATGAAATAAAGATCAATTTAAATAGTAGATGAAGTTTCTACTCAAATTGAATAAATGTAATTATTAAAAAAAGAATAATTAAATTAAACATCCAAAGAAAGATAAGAAGGAAAATAAGATATTATTAAATCACTTAGATATAAAGAATAAAGATAATTACTTAAATTATTAAAAAATAAATAATCTAATTATCATCATTAAATTACTAAAAAAATTATTGAATAATCTGATGATGCCATCAATTCATTTTCTAAATACAATAAAAAAAGATCGAAAAGTTTTAATTATGTTCTACCTCTTATTGATTTTAAATAAGATAAACAAATAATTTAAACTATTGTTGAGTAGTAAAATTAAAATAACCTTAAATTTCTTGAAAAACCCCAATATAAAAGAAATGATCTTATCATGAAATCATTGAATTGATAACCCAATTAACATTCATCTAAGCTAATTAGTTGTTCATGATATCTTATTGTTTTCATAATATAACTATTTATTTTTTATTTCAATTAAAGAAATGAGTTAATCATAAAAATTATCTATTTCTCCTCTTAAGAATTAACAACCCTTTCTTCCTACTATTTCATTTAAAACTTCTGAATCTCCTTCAAAAGTTTTAATCCCTCTTGCTAATTATATGTTATTTGAATAAAAAAAAGATAAAATACAAGCAATCAATGCTAAACAATTGAAATATGAAAGAGCCTAAGTTATATATAAATATCTTCATTAATAAATACTTAAAAAAAAAGACTCTCATTAATAAAAATCTAATCAATAAGATAAAACTCCAATAACTGATTCTAAAGATAAAATTCAAAATTCTAAAGAATCTTCCTCCTCTTTTCAATAATTAAAGAAAATTATTGAGAAATAAAGCAATTAAAGTATTTGAGTTTTCATATTTATTTATAGAAATATTAGAGGTCAGTTAATCATGTAAGAATTTTACTGTTTAACCAAATTTATCTAATTAAATTCTAAATGGATGTATTGTTGAATTAGATTAAGAATAAGAAGAATGTGAACAACAAATTTCATACTAAATTAAGAATAAATTAAATATATCACTTAATGTATATAATAATAATTTCAACGATAATAATAATTAGAAATAATAAAAAGTATTTAATTATTATAAATAGGTGATCTTGGACTATAATTAATAAAATAAAGCATACAAAGAAAAGAACATTTAAATTATTTAAATGATTAAGAATGCCTAGTAAAATCTTTTAAAACAAAGAGATGAAGTAAGAAAAGAATATGAAAAAGAATATAAATATAAGAAAATTTTAAGATAAAAAGAAAGAAGGGAAGGATTGTAAAATGCATAATAAGGAATTAAAAATAGACAATTAAAATCATTGTTAAATGCTTTAAAAGGATCTACAATTTAAAAATCTAATTAAGCTCAATAATAAGTTTAAAATATTGGAAGAAAATACTTTTTACAGAGAAGTTAATCTACTATAATAAGTAGATAGAGTTCATTTTAATAATCTAACCATGATTACATAACTGATAAATATAATGGTGAAAGACTTATTGGAAAAATTTCTTAGATATCTGATGTTTGTAGTTCTGAAACCTCCTAAGACTCAAATTTATAAATATGTAATAATTTTTAATTAGTAATAGAATTTCCTATTAAATCATAAAAAGTTACATGATTATCAAATATTAAATTGTATAGAATATTATTTTATTGCTTTATATAATAAATTTATTTGAATAAAAAAGACAAAAAATTATATAAAATATTTCTAGGATTACATTTAAGAGTTTCTTTTGACTGATATAGAAAAAAAGAATGCCAAAGAAGAATTAATAAAAATAAGGAATTGAAGCCAAGCAAAAAATATTTAAAACCATAGGTTAGAATCTTAGTTAAAAGTATTTTCTACAATTATCCATAATTTTTAAGCATTTCAATAACATAAAAAGTGATGAAGAAGAAATTTTCAAAAGAAAAAAAGTTACTATAAAGAAATAAAGAACTTTACATTGATAGTATCTAAAATAAAATAATTTAAATATATTTATTAAGAAGGAAAATGATGGGATTCGAATTTGAAATTGAAGAAGAAATAGTGGTTAGAAAGAAAATGAATATGATTAGAAAATTTAAAGAATTATAAGAATTCTCCTAATTTATAGANTATAATTAATAAAATAAAGCATACAAAGAAAAGAACATTTAAATTATTTAAATGATTAAGAATGCCTAGTAAAATCTTTTAAAACAAAGAGATGAAGTAAGAAAAGAATATGAAAAAGAATATAAATATAAGAAAATTTTAAGATAAAAAGAAAGAAGGGAAGGATTGTAAAATGCATAATAAGGAATTAAAAATAGACAATTAAAATCATTGTTAAATGCTTTAAAAGGATCTACAATTTAAAAATCTAATTAAGCTCAATAATAAGTTTAAAATATTGGAAGAAAATACTTTTTACAGAGAAGTTAATCTACTATAATAAGTAGATAGAGTTCATTTTAATAATCTAACCATGATTACATAACTGATAAATATAATGGTGAAAGACTTATTGGAAAAATTTCTTAGATATCTGATGTTTGTAGTTCTGAAACCTCCTAAGACTCAAATTTATAAATATGTAATAATTTTTAATTAGTAATAGAATTTCCTATTAAATCATAAAAAGTTACATGATTATCAAATATTAAATTGTATAGAATATTATTTTATTGCTTTATATAATAAATTTATTTGAATAAAAAAGACAAAAAATTATATAAAATATTTCTAGGATTACATTTAAGAGTTTCTTTTGACTGATATAGAAAAAAAGAATGCCAAAGAAGAATTAATAAAAATAAGGAATTGAAGCCAAGCAAAAAATATTTAAAACCATAGGTTAGAATCTTAGTTAAAAGTATTTTCTACAATTATCCATAATTTTTAAGCATTTCAATAACATAAAAAGTGATGAAGAAGAAATTTTCAAAAGAAAAAAAGTTACTATAAAGAAATAAAGAACTTTACATTGATAGTATCTAAAATAAAATAATTTAAATATATTTATTAAGAAGGAAAATGATGGGATTCGAATTTGAAATTGAAGAAGAAATAGTGGTTAGAAAGAAAATGAATATGATTAGAAAATTTAAAGAATTATAAGAATTCTCCTAATTTATAGAATACCTTATTAAAAAGAAAAAATGATCAAAAAGCCTCTAATCATAGGTATTTGAAATTAATTTTTGCAATAATATTATATGAAACAGTTATTATCTAATAATTTCATGAAAATATACTATATTTATAAACTATAAAAGAGAGAGCAGTTTTGAAAAAGTTGAAAAAATTGAAAAAATTGCAATATATAAATTAAAATACTATTAATTTAAATCAATCAGCTAACATAAAAGTATTTTCACCTCCTTATCCTAATAAGATATTGCCATTATCTAATAATTCCTTAATAGATTTTCTTTTATATGGTGAATTAAATACTTAATTTCTTGTAAATTTTCAATTTTAGAAAATTCATTAAAAATACTTTGTCTAGCAATAGATACGCTACCTTATTATTATGTTATAGTTTTGATATAGTTTAAAATCTAGAATAGTATAATATATTACTTTATCTGCCAAAGTTATTTAGGTTTATTAGAACTATTCCTCTTCTTCATCAATTTTGATCTAAGTTTATTTGAAGTTCGAAGATCTCATTTAATTTTATTTACAATCTTAATGGATAATATTTTATAGATGTGAGATGATTTGCCCTGATTAGTTTATTTTAGCTATATTCATAATATCATAATTAATAGTATCTCTGTTATTTCTGACTCTTAGCAGGAAGTTAAAATAAGAAGTTTTTTTGTCTTCTGTTTAAACAATTTAAAACATGTCTTTTATATAATCACCTTCTTAAAACATAACAATAAGCTTTTCTTATCCACTATCATCATTAATTACTATAATGCCTTTGCCATCTTTTTCATAAGTGTCTTCTTTTCTAGCTAATAATTTAATTAATGTTATTTATTTATTATTGTAAAGAATTTCATTTTTATCATTGAAAGATACTTTAAGCTACTTCATCATCCTGATATTCATATGTGTAACTTATTCATTATAATTTATTCCTTGCTTAAACCCAGATTAGTTTTTTTAGTCACTAAACTAAGATGATTAAAACATAATTAAATAAATAAAAGCGCCATTTCAAAAAATTAAATGATATTTTATAAACATTAATTTAAGCATTCAGAATAATAAAATAAATTTATTCACCTTCATCCTTATTTACTATCTATTTAAACAATTTCTTTATCATTGAATTAACTACTTAATTAATCATCTTATTAATTTTTTACTGTCTAAATCTCTTACTAAACATCTTTCAAACTATTATATTAAATATGTTATGATTTTGATAATCCATATATTTTTAAATCAGTTTTTTATTCTCTCTATAAAGAATCATGAGAAAACTAATTCATCTGCTCACCATTACTTTCTGATTCTACTTTAAAAAATCTAAAATCAAATTCTTACTAATGTAAAGAACTCTCATTTTATCTTTAACTTGACTTTAATCTATTCTATTTACCACTACATAATTCACTTTAATAAGTTTTTGTTTTCTCTTCTAATTAAATTTTATCTATTGTATCATTAAACATAAACTACATCTTTTATTTAATTCTTATCTATTCAACATAAGATGGTACTTCTTAATAAACCTATATATATTCTATATAATAATACATTTTAACTAAATGATATGAATTAAGATCTAATTGGTTTTAATAATTTTTACCAAACACTTTGATATAATCTATTTAATCTTCTTTACAACAAAATACCTTATCCCTCATAAAACAATTACTTATGATAATTTATAACAAATCTATTTATTGTTATATATTCATAAGTAGTTTTGTTAACAAAAATTAAATAAGTATGCAAAACTAATAAATAACTTGAGAAAATTAGAAATCCTAATGTTTATAGAGTATAAATTATTAACTCTACTATTACATTATCATCCATATAAATCATATGCAAGATTTGTACAATAATAAATAAAGTAAGCATCATTGTTAAAAATAAGATAAACATATAAAAATAACGATAATTTCCTTATCCTATACATTATCCTAACCATACACAATGATGATCAAAACCTTAAACACAATTATCACATTTTCTACAATGAATTGTTGTGCTGGTTTTATAGATTTTACATGAGTCGCAAAACTTTAATTCACTTACTTTTACTTAATTTACTGATAATACATCAACTGTAAATTTTTATTTTTATGGTATAAGATAACATTCAGTATACCTTATTCATACAATATATTACTTTTTAAAATTAAGAATTTAGTTTCGGTATTAATCCTGGATCACTAAATACTGTTATTAACAAGAAAATATCTGTCAAAATAATGAATATTATTTCTGCATAAATTTATTCCTATTTTGGATAGATTCTAAATAGTTATAATAAAGAAATTGCATTCAAATAAACAAAAGATATCATAAACCTTATTCTAGAATACCCCATTACTAATTTTCCCTTTAAACAATGCTTTGACTTACCATTATAAACTTAATAATACGGAACTGTATAATCTGTACTTTATATTCTCATGTTTAATTAAATTTTAAGAAAAAATATAACATAAAATTTATAATAAAGCTTCTTAATTATATCATTTCAGATCAATAATTAAAAACATTCTATTTTCTAATGAAAATTTTATTATTAATTTTAAGAGATTTATTATATTGGTTAACTCATATTTAATCTTTTTTATGTTTTTAAAAGGTTATTATATTTATAGTATTAAATTGAATAATATCCAATATAATAATAAATTATTATTAAATAAACAAGAATTAATTAATTTATGAAATAAAAAAGAGAAGAGTTCAGATAATAAATTAGAAAATAAGCAAATGAAAAAATTTTTTAAAAAGTGAGAGGATTGATTAGTAAAGGTAATTAAGACTCAATAGTTACAACTGAGAGTGAATTTTTCTAAGAACTCACTTTATAAATTAAATAGGATTTTGATGAAAAAAATTTATTAAAAATTTTAAAAAAATGGGAGGATAATTTTGATAAAAAATAATTCCAAATGCTTTTATTTAATAATGAGTTTCCTTATTTCAAATTTCTTATAGCAAATTTTAAGATGACTAAAAAATAAATTAAAATATTGATCTTTATTTTTATAGCAATAGAGCATGATATCTCTGAAGTGCATCATGCTTTATATTAATATTAATTGCTAAATCAATTGCAAAGTAATTTTGAAAAGGTAGATAAAGAAATTTAGTAATAAGTAACATTTCCTGCAATATTAGATTATGTTTCTATTCAGTGTTTTAATTCAATATTCATAATTATATCGATTGGCTATAAAAAACTCAAATTTAATTGATATTGTTGTTACTTAATTCATAAATTAAAGGATGGATAATTTTAGTTAAAATTATATTGAATGCTTCTTTTTTATGATTTGGTCACTAATCAATCCAGATATATCTTCAATGTCTGATTTATTTGAATGGTTATTTGATTGTTTACTTAACTTAAATGAAGCATTATTAGATTTTTAATCTGAATATTTATTGCCTATAATTTTTAAAGCAACATCTTAATTTACATTTTGTAGAGAAAAGTTTTTTTCAAGAAATGTCGATTAGATTATACATTAATTAGAATAGTAAAATAAAAACTAAACAGTATATGTAAAGTATATAGATATAATCAGTTAGAATTTTTGGATTTTTTAAATCATTTGTTAATGTAACAACCAGATGTTTTTGTTTAATTTTTTATAGAGCATTCTTGGAATGTGATTAATAAAATATTGATTTAAAATGATATTATTTAAGAGGCTAAAATAAGATCTGGATATTTATTAATGGAAGCAGTAAACAATAGAGAGATTGAAGAATTTTTGAAAGGATAAAATATTTTAAATAAGATTTTAAATTTGATACTTCTTACTTAAAATTTTGATGTAAAATAAAATATTAATATTATAGTTAATATAGGCTTATTTTAATTTACTTTAGGTTTTATTAATCTAAGATTAATGTCATGGAGATTAAGTAGATTAATTGGCTTAAGGGATAATACATTCTGTAACTTTAACAATGGAAGTAATAAAAAAATAATATTGATTAGAATTAATTAGTATAAGTTTGGCAAGTTATATTATATTTAATATAAGATTTTGAAAATAAAGAGATGCTGATAAAATTTTTAAAGAATTATAATTTTAGAGCAATAATGGAGAATTGTTTACAAATAGTAAAGAATTAAATGATTTTTAATATCATAAATAGATGTATTGAATTATTATGATAAATAATTAAATTGTAGTTAATAAAAACAATTGGATTTTTTTATTTTTAAATAAAAGTAAAGAACTATATATAGTTACTGTGTAAAAGAGAAGTAATGCAATATATAGATTTGATATAGATGTATATTTGATTGATTTAACAATGGTAAATGATGTATTATATTTGATAAAATGTATAACATTGTTATTCAGACTAATTCTTAGACGCATTCACATTCTGGATGTCTTTCAAAGAAGCCAAAGGCACATTAGAAGCTGGATAATGAATTTGAATCAAGACATTCTTCTCTTAAGACTGCAGCACAAGTAGCAACATCACATTCATTAGAGAATTAGAATGATGGATAACAATTAGCTTAACCACATTTACTCCTAAAATATAAAATTATAAATAGTTACAAAGCAATAAGTAATTTATTTCCTGATTTGTTAGCACATTCAACTAAACAATCATAATCAGCAGAACATTTATTTGAACAATTTGTAGCAGCAATAGCACAGAAGGCATTCTTTTCACAAGCAGCTACTTCATCTGGACATTTTTCTCTGACACATAATTCTACTGGATCATCTTAAGCAACAGCAAAAGCCAAAAGAACAATGAACAAGAGTGCTTTCATTTTAATTTTAATAATACATCATATATATAAGATTTTTTTTTATAATATCCTGATGACGTTATGAAGGTAATCTAAAAAGAATATAGTGTTATGATAATACAAATTAATAGATACAGGCATATAAATCATATTCTATGCTTATATCTTCTAACTTTCTTTTTTTTTCAGAACTCAGTTACACATGAACATTCTGGATGTCTTTCGAAGAAAGTTGAAGCACATTAAAATGATTTTAATCCTAAGTTTTATGTGCATTCACTCTTGAAAGACTCAATACAAGTTTCAACATCACAGAAGGATACAGCAACATCAGCACATTTTTCATGTCCACATTGAGCCCTTAAATAAATATAAAAATTTACAATGCAATCAATTTGGCATTCTTTGATGCTAAAGCACAGTTCAACATACATTCAGCATCATCTCCTCCACATTGATTTTTGCATTTCATTGCTGCTGATGCACATCCAAAGACTTCTTTTTAACAAGCTGCATATTCATTTGGGCATCTCTCTTTTAAGCATTATTCTGGATCTGCACCATATGTGATAGCTAAAAGAACAACAATTAAGATAGCTTTCATTTCTTTATTTTATTTATGATATTAAACAATTATTATTTACATCCTTATATAATCATTTTAATGACGTAGATAAAATAAAATGCTAATTATTTTACATACTTTATATTGTAATGAATTTTAATAAACAAATTATACCAACATCTCACTTCGACTTTTCTAAATCCAAAATACCCTTAATTTAATCAAAAATATAATCAAGAGCTACTTCTATTTAAAAACACATTTATTAATAAACTAAACTAAATTCATCAAAAGAAAACCATCATAAGTTTTAAAAATCCTCATTTTAAAAGTAATTCATGATGCTTAAATAGTATTAAACATGATTAATCTACTCAAATTGAATTAAATTAAATGAAACATAGATCTCGTTCTCTTACTCATCGTTTGAAACAATCCTAAATTAATTCTCATCAAATAATTAATCAATAACATATTACCAATATAAATAATAATATAGAAATCTCTTTATCATAACAAGGAATGTAACTCTAAATTATGAATTAAAAAAGAAAAAATTTCAATAAAGTCTTAAATTTTATACTTCAATAAAAAAACAATAATTCTAATACTCATAATTTTGGAACTAATACTAATATTGCTAATTCTTAAAATGATTCTCAAAACTAAATAAGTGAAAGATATAAAATAAACTATTATAAAAAAATTAAACAATTTGATTTTGAGTCACAAATTCCAGAAGGTCCTTTACTAAGTTTTAGATAATTTGCAAAAATTTAAGGGTTAAAGATTCCCTAAATCTTAGAATGATAATAATGATCCCTTTATAAATTAATTGTTTTAATATTACTTTAATTTTTACATCAAAAAAAATCTGAAAAAATAAATTCAGATTTCTTATGTTTTATATTAAAACAGATAAAATCTTAAAATTTTATATTAGTTAAATTAAATAAAACTATTCTTTTCAAGAAAATATATGAATTTATAATTATTTTTAATAAAATAATAATATTTTTATCAGTAGGCTATTAAGGATGGGGATTAACCTGATAAAATTTTTTATTATAGTTATATTATTCTAGCACTGAGTTTTTAAGGAGTTGTTTATTTTTGTGAAGGTCTATATATAATTTTATATGATACTTTCTATTGTTCAATGATAATGTTATAGATCCTCTGCTCTCATTTAAAATTGATTATCTTATACTTTATTAAGATTCAAAATTAGATTTTTATTATTCAACTTCTTAAGTTTTTAATTTTTTTTCTTTTATAATCTGACTACTTGGTAGTGTTTTCATTAAACATTTCCAAGAATCAAGTGGTTATAAAGAACTTAAAATTACATTTAATTCTCTTTTATTTAAATTGCTATGTATAATTTGTATCAACTTTGTTATATAATAAAACAAGCTTTCATTATAACTATGGCTTTTAAAACCATTAGCATAAAAAGTTGTATATGCATTATAAAGTGAACTAATTAATCCAACATTAAATAATATATTTTATAATAGGTATGTAGGTGCCTTTTCAAAAATCAAATTCATAAATTCAACAAACTAATATTGATATAAACTATTTTATTTGCTCTTAAAGAATTAAATAATAAATAAATGGATTATTGTTTCATTTAAGAATTTATAAATATTCTTATTTAATTTTGTTACATCATATGCTTCAAAAATTGCAAAACCATTAGTAATTGTTTGAAATAGTATAAATTAACTAGTAAAATTGATATCACAATTTAATCTATTTAAGTTTATGATTATTTTATTGAGATATTCAATTATTTAAAAAAATGTTTCCCTTAACATTTCTTTTTATTCAAAATTTCCAAATTTTTTTGCAAGAGAATAAATAGAATTTATAATTCTACCACATTGAAAACTTGTATCTCTCTTTAAATTAATCCCATACAAATAAAATTTAAATAAGTTAAATACTAACTCTTAGTTGAAAATTAAATTATAAAAAGCTGGTACATTATTTAAATTTCTATTCTAATGAATGCATATCACATTTATGATTTTGTCTAATAACTCTATTAGATGTTCATAAGTATTTGGATTATAATAAAAATCTGTTTAATCTATTTCAAATTGACTTGGATTTACTTTTTGATTTCCTGATGGGTAGAGCATAATTGATTTACTAGTTGAAAAACCTGTATCTGATGACAAAGATGATCTAGAAGTTAATAATAGTGTTTATGCCCATTATGATGTCTTAGAATTAGTACTTTTTTCTTGTTTGTCTTATTTTTCAATACTACCTCTTTTTGATTTCGAATCATTAACTACAATTTGTAATTCAGAGAATTTATTTGGAATTGATTTTGGAGTATTAATTGATGGTAAAGATGATACATTTAAACTTATATTACGATTATGTGAAATAATTGTAGAACGATAGCTCACCATTTATGATTCAACTTTTCGACTTTATTTTCTACTCTAATTAATAGATTTCTGTATTCTTCTTTCATCTAAATATGCCCTTATTGCATCAATATCTTATTCTAATAATTAAGCATAAGATATATTTTCAGGAAATTATTATTGATCTTCTGTATTTTATTAATCCGATTATCCTCCCAAAGGTCCAATAAATTCATCTAATGCACTTATTTTCACAATTTCAATAGGTTTTTGAAAATCTTTAAATCTTGATAAAATGTTGAGTATTTGAGATTTTTGTTGACTATTTTCTATTGGAAATTTTTGATTACCAAATGAATAATTCTTTTCAAATATAGAATGATTTAAATAGTCTATCCATTTGGTTTCCATTATATATATCCAAATTTATTCTTAAATATAATAACCAAGTTTATATTTATCTACTGTTAAGTCTAAAATATCTGTTAGTAAAGATTCAATAAATGCGTTACTAGAGTATAATAACAATAAAAATAGAAAATCTGTCTCGATTATTTTTAATAAACTAGTTTTTGGACAAATTAATAATAATTAGTCAATTAGCATGGCTAAATGATTTAAATTCAATTAAGTTGATTCTGTATTAAAAATTTCTAAGATTTATTCAACTAATAATAAAAATTAATTTAATACATATTTTAGGAGTCATTTCTTAAATTGTTAGATAAAATCTAGAATTATTAATCTTTTAGGTCAAAAATTAAAGACTTTTGAATGATCTAACAATATAAAGATAATCCAAAGATATAATACAAGACTTAAAAATGGTTTTGTAATCATTCATTTCTATTTCTTTTCTTTAAAAAACTAATCCCTTTAATAATGTTTTACATAAATACCCAATCATCTATAAGTTCTGTTTCAAGAGGATTAATTATAAATTTTATAAGGATTTCAATATTATCACCATTATGTAGATGGAGTAAGTCATGTTGAGAAATCATTTCTAGAGGCTTGCAAATTATTTTCTACATAATCTCTACATAATCAGCCACAGATTCTACTTTACTGGCTGGTGTTATATATTCATCATCTTATTCAAGTTATATTTATTTTTCTGTTTAGATATAATTAAATGAAGTCATCGAATTTTTTCTTTCCAGAACCCACTTAGGGGTAACCTCAATTGTCCATCTATTACAAACTTAAAAATTATAAAATTATTTACAATCATCTAATTCTAAATCATATTTATTCTTCCAAGAAAAGTCATAAAATATACTTTATTTGCAATCAAAGAACTAATCAATCAATTATTATTAAAATTTATGGCATCTAGTATGCATAATGAATTATTTAAATATTTTTGACATCTCCTCCAAATCTACATTTAATTCAATCGCCAATTAAAAGAATCTCTTCAAGTAAGAACAAGCGAATCTTTTAGCTATTAACAATTTCTCTATAACCTATTTGGAAAATGGTACGGAACCCTATTTTTATTATTATTCAATAATCTTATTAACATTTCCGCTATTATTTATTGTTGATTAATTACTTAATTGACATCTTTAAATTCTTAGTGCTTCTATTTCCTAAAAATTCTCTGTATTCTTATAATTCACTTACTTCTTAAAGTGCCCTATAAAAAGCCAAAAGGAATAACTTATGTTTAAAATAATCAAAGAAAGCTGAAATTAGTAATTCAATGCTAGCCTATTAGAAAGGATAGGAGCAAATCACTTATTATAAATAATAAATTGAAACTTGATTTTAAGATGTTATGATCTGTAATAATTTACATGTTTCTTAAGTTTATGGAAACTTCTTTAATTCCTAAACTTATTTTTTAAAGTCGAACATATTCATCGTCTTCTCCAAGCTAAAAAATGATAAAAATTATTACAGCAGCTGAAAAATTCATAAGGGTATGTTAATTTTTAATAATGATTGTAAAATTAAAAAAAGCTTCGTTATAAATCTAATTATTCACAGATATGTCATACCATTTTGGAATGATTATTTTTAGACATCAAAATTATTTAAAACATACAAAAAGAATTTATTTTAAATTAAATATTTAGGGACTGTTTCTTAGTTTCATCATTAATCGTTTAATCATTTTAGTAATTTATTAACTTTTAAAAGTTCAATATGTCACTTAATTTAGATAACAACTTAGAAATAATTTTTGAAAAATACTTAGAGTAAAAAGAATAATAAAAACGTGATAATAAAATCTAACTTTTATCAATAATTATTAGTTTTTATATTATTAAAATTAAATAAAAATTTAATACTAGAGTATATTATTGTGTATTATTTTTATTCATATTTAATTTATCATATATTATTTAATCATCTTATATAATATTCTAAAAATAAATCATATGAAATCAAATACTAATAATAAATCAAACGATTTTTTAAATAATAGTTTTAAGTTCATGGAAATCATGATATTAATTTGTTAAAAGGGATAGAGCTTATAGCATTAAGTTTTTAAAGAGATGAAATGAAAAATCTCGATTTCTATTTTTAACTTTTTGAGCCCATGAATCAAAAAGTGATATTGAATCCTATAAGTTCATACTTTAAAATTTAATAATATAGTTATTTCTGAGTGTGCCATCTCCTGGGAATGTTAAGATTAAATGCATAATTAATGCTCCAAAAGCAACAGATATATTTTCTATATTTTTTGATTTTGATTTATTATCAGTAGGGTTGAAATCAGAAATTAAGACCTATTAAAAATCTACAATATAAATTACTTATAAATCTCCAGTGATAGTAATTGTAACTATAATATTTTCTGGTTTTAAATCTATTATATGAATGTTTCTTTATTTTAAAAATTCTAAGCCTTATATTATTTATTGCATAATATTCTAAATTAACTTATGTTTTTATTTGCAATCCATAGGGTTCATATAAAAATATGCATAGCTAAGCAAATTTTTGGTTTATGATATATAACGTGGATATGTGCAATATTCAATTTACATAAAAAGATATGGTTTAAAGTTGAGAATTTCTAGCCACCAGTCATATAATCTAATTAGATTAGGATGCGAAAGGGAAGCAAGTATTTTGGCTTTACTTATATGTATATCATTTGAATGAAAAACATACATAAATGATGAATTAAAAGTAGCTTGTAAATGAATCTATAAAAAAATAGATTTAAAATATTACTCTTTTAACAAAATATATCTAATCATCCATAGGTTTGTAAACATGAAATAAAGCTTAATGACTTTCAGATTCTTCATTTAATATGATAAATTCATTTTTGAATTTATTAGTTTTAAGAAATTAGTGTTTGTAATCTTATTTTACATATGGTATCTTGATTATGTTTTCAATTCTAAAAAAATGCATTAAAAATCTAACTCGCTCTTATTTTTAATCAATAACTATCTTTTTAATAATACAGTCTTTAATATTCTTATGAATATAGATAAAAGCAGTGGATTTAATCTAACCAGTGGAAGTAATAAAGCCAATATTGATATCCTAATAGAAACAACGAAAGAGTTGATTTTCTTTGATCTCTATATTAGATTAACAATACAATGAATTCCTATTTAGTTTTAATACTATTAGGGACTAACATTCTTTTAATAGCCTTACGAATGACTTTAGTGATCATAAGAATATAGTGAAAGAAGGGATCATCATAATCACAATTATGGCTTATGTTTGAGATAATTAGAACTTGGGAGAATGATAGATAGTTGTCTGCAAGCAAGAATTCTTATTTGAGTTTTATGTTGTCTACCTAGTTTTTTATTTTGACTATACAATACAAGTGCCACCTTGATTTTGTTTTCATCAGCAATTTGGACAACTTCTTTATAATTATCTACTTCCATTGTGATTTCTTCAATCACAAGATTACTATTCATGAATTCATAATGCTATCATGATTCTGAATGATTTACCTCAGAACTATTCTAATACATAAATATATAAATATATATTTTATTGAAATCTTAATTTTATTTGTAAACTAATCATGTGTTTTCTATTTATTTTTTATCTTTATTGATTTATAATTTTTTAAATAAAACTTAAGGAAAAATAAGTTTTTGTAATACTATATTTATAAATTTGAGAGATAAAATAAATATTCAATTCACATGTCTTTTTAATTGGATAATAGAGCTCTTAACATCAAATATACAATTTTTGAACACTTTATATTTCCATTCAAATTGAATCCCTAGATTTTAAGTCAAATAAACAATTCATTAATCTCCTTTGAATAATTTAGAGATCTAGCTCAAAAGTATTAAGTGTCTAATATTGATGCTGAAATTATTTTCACTTTTTTTTAAATGGCTTTAGATAATTAGCCTACAGTAGAACGTAAAATGGTTGATATTAAATAATTAACATTATTCTTGTCTTTACAAAATTTTAATTAAGCAGGAAGACATTCAATTTTTGAAAATATTAACATTAATGATGTAAAATATTAAGAAAGATAAAGACAATCAATTAATTCTTACTCTCCATTAAATTCTCCAAGAGCAAAAACAATGAGAATTTAATCTCAATAAAATGAATCACAGTAAGTAATATAATTTGTTAAATCAAATATTAAAGATTGGATGACTTTGTTAACAAACAATTAAGAAACTATAACTAGTTAAGAATTTAATATATTATCTTTGATTTTTTATAATGATTAGAAATCAATAAGTTAAATGATTTTTGATCGCACTAATAAATTAGGAAAAGATATTGTATCAGAATGGACAATAAAAAATATTTAATGTTAAGAATATGGTACATAAATATATAAATATACTTAGCATCATCAATCTGTGGTTTTACAAAGTCAGTAACAATCAAAAATAATATGGGAGAAGATTTAAAAATATCTTAATGTGATGACTCTATGATTTATATTGATAGTTGTGTAAATACATTGTCAATATCTCAATGCACAAATTGTTAAATATTTGTTGGATCTGTCAGAATGATCACTAGTATAAGTTCATGTGAAAAGATAACTGTTTGTGTAGCATCAAATTATATAAAAATTAGCAATACAATAGATTCAACAATCCATTATTATGGTTCATATTCACCTATTCTCTATGGTGATTGTAGATCCATAATTCTTGCACCTAATAATTCAAATACAGAAAAAACACTTTAAAGATTAAGAGAAGCATCAATACCTATAAATAAATACTGTAGAGATAAATACTAGAAACCTTTAATTATTGGATAGAGTAAGATAGATTGGTCGATTTTACCTATTGATGAGTTTAGTAAATTCATTTTGCCAGAATCACATTTTGGATGCATAGATTTTCCTTTAATTTTAGAATGTAATTTTGATATCGATAGAATGAATAAAGAAATTACAGAAAAGAAAATCTTAACTTAATAGATGAATTATGAAAAGTAACTAATCTTATTTTAAATAAGAGAATCGTTCTTCCATTATTGGCTCCCCCTGATTACATTAAAGCTATTTATGATAGATTTCAATTATTTGCTTAGGTTTAAGCATAAATCAAGCAATCTAATCTTAAAGAAGAAAATTAGAAACTACTTTAAAATGCTATTTAAGGCAATTTTAGAGAATGGTTAGTATCCACAGGTACTATTAAAGGAATAAGTGATCTAGTCAAATTAATAGATTAAGAATAATGAAATATTTAAAATATTATTTATTAAATGGGTGGTATTTATAAAAGAAAAGGAAATTCTGCAAAGAATAAGTAACATCATCGTATGTTGAAAACTAAATCCTATAAAAGAGCTAATGATTAAATACACGATGATATTAAACCAGAAAATATATAAAAATGGTAAAATTAACCAATTGATGAAACCTTACCTGGATTGGGGTAATATTATTGTGTTTCTTGTGCAAGATACTTTGTAAATGAAGAATCAATTAAAAAACATTAAATTAGTAAATAAGTATGCTTATCTAAGAATATTATAGCATAAAAAATAAGAAAAAAGAGCTAAAGAAAAACCATATACTCATATGGAAGCAGAATAAGCTGGAAAATGATTATAAAATATTATTATCATTCATTTTGATTAGCCTTACTTTAAAATAGTATTTTTGTATTTGTTTTTCTTGGATTAAGCACTGAATTATTTAAACTCTAACATAAATCCTATTAAATTTTGGAACCTAATAAATAAAATTTTCTTTTTTCAGTTGTTGATCTAGTTTAACTTTGACTGTAAATACTTTTACGTAAACCACTTTAAGAAGATGTTTTAATACGTATAGATTTCCTATCATCTAATACTAATTAAGGCTTTAATTTCTTGATAGGGGAATCAAAAATATTATTAAAATCATTCTCATTTCTCATTTAATAAACTAATTCATTTAGCATTTCTTTGCATTACTCTTATGAATAAGTTTATCCATTATATTAAACTTCTTCTTAATTTTATTGAATCAAAAGTATTTAACATTATAATAATTTTTAAATACTTTATTAATGTTATTGCTGAACTTCATTCAATTCATTAGTTAATAGTGGTATATTATTATATTAATTTATTATTTCAGTCATTTATTGTGTAATTTAATTGATAGATTCATAGTTTTAAATTTTTATTAACTCAAATGATTTAATCATTTAATCATGTAAAACATTAAATTATTTATCTAATTCATCAGCAGTTCTTTAAAAAAAATTCACATCTTTTTCTAATGCTAATTTAAATTCATTAAATTTATTCTACAAATAAAATTCAATTTCATTTTTATCTATCCTTTAATTTTTTTCATTTTTAACTCCAATTCTTTCACTACTATCATCAGATTTAGGAGTTGATGGATATTCAGATACATGAGAAGAAAGTAATTCTTAATTTGGAGTATTAGCTTAATTACTATTAACTTAATTAGTATTAATCTTCTACTCTCTAAGAAATGACATATTCTTTTTTAATTGTTTCTCAATAAAGGAAGTATATTCATTAATTTTTTTATCTAAATTTGGATTTCCGTCATCATTTACAATAATCCTATGCAGTTCTGTAAACTTAATTTCTTCATGTTGAGCTAATTTAAATCTTTCATTTTCTTAAAGACAATTATGAAGTGTATCAGATATTGTTCCTTATAAAAAGAGTGGAAAATATTTTTCTATATAATTTTCAAAATATTTTAATTTGTTATTCATCAACCCCAATTCATTTTTTACTGATCTATCATAAGATAATAGTTCATCTAATTTTGGAAATTTTTTATTTAGTAATTCCAAATTTTATTAATTTTATTAGCTCTATGCTAATTATTATAAAAGTTTATCTTAATAAGATTGTAATATTTCATAATTATTATCAATTTTAACTTTAATATCTTTTTATACACAATCTTGTTTATCTAAATAGATATTCATTGTTTGCAATTTATCTTAAACAGTAACTATTGCTATTTAATTATCTTTTTTAACTTATTCTAAATTATCTAACAAAACTTATTTAAAGTCTTAGTTTTATTGTCTATATTTTTCAATCTGTTCTGTCCATTACATTTAATTATTTTCTATCATTTTTAATTAATGATATTGTTAATCCCTTAAAAATTAAACTTAATCTAACTTTCTGTTATTTTCATTGATTGTAAAAAGAGATGTTTATTGAATATTTTCAAACTTCTCTTATAATTCTAACATTTATTGTCTTAATTATTGAATAATAGGAGTTCCTTTACCATTTTAAAAATAGAGAGCCTTGAATTCCTCATAATTTTAGATGTATTTTTCAAGTTTGAGTGAAATACTTGATTGCAATAATAAATTAAAAATACGTTTAATAATCTGATCTGTGATCTACAAATTCCTTTAAATGTGGTTCTAGTAATTCATGAACCAATATTCTTATTTTATTATCTAATTCAAACCATTAAAATTCATGAAGAGATTAATTATTCGAAACTAATGAGTGGTTTTACTAAATGAACTTTATAATGATACCTAATCAATTGACTTAAGTAATTCTTGAACTAAGGATTTTCTTTCTTATTATTATTGCATAAAATAATAATATTAAAAATTCAAAAAATTACCCATAATAAAAATAGATCGAATTACTCTAATAATTTTGATTATAATGATAAATTACAAACACATTCAAATACTAAATAAAATAATAAAATAGAGATATTGAATAAATAAAGTTTTATATTTAGAAATATTGGAAATACATAACTGATTTTATTAAGAATAAATTAGATAGTAAATATGGACATAATTGATTTGTATTTATGTAGGTCTATAAATTTTATATAAATGCTTAATTTAGTTATTAATAATATTGATTTCAAAATCTTTGAATTTGAATTTGAAATTGAACTTAATGTTATTTTTCTTAAGCTTGATGAAATATATATTCTTTAAATTAAATATCAAAGCCTGTAAGATATAAATCTCTATAATTCAAAAAGCTTTGCTCTATTTAAAACATTGAAATTATCAACAATAATATTTTAAATCTTAAGATCATAAAATATTACTAATTAGATCAATAATTTAATTGACATATCAAAATTGGTAATACTGATTATCTATAATATATAAAAAATAATATGTTTTAATAGTTAAAGTGACGTACATCTTTGAGTATAAAAGAAAAAAGTAAAATAAAAGGAGTGTTAAATAATAATATGAGATAACCTCCTTTTGAACATTGTTTAGATTGTCCATTAATAATAAAGTTGATGGATGCCTGTCCTCTTTCACCTTTCTGGCAAATAGTCTAAGAAGAAGGATTAAGTAGTTTGGCAGATGCATCATTACTATATGAATTATTTATGGTCATTATTTCACTATTGCCTTGGATTTTTGGATTGATATTAGGAATATTGCTATTAAAAAGAAGAGACATGAGATCACTTATTCGTGCAGGAACTCATTTATGTGCACATATGTATATTATATATATAAATATATTTTAGAACTTGTGATGTAGTCAAAGTAATTTATTTTAAAGAAGATAGACCAGATGGTTCATGCTCTTTAAAGTATGGTCTTCCATCTTGTCATTCAATATTTGCAGGATTATATACAAGTTGGGTTTTAATTGAAATCTTGGTTATTGGAACCAAATTAAAAACTAAACATTTAATCGCTGTCATTTCTATGCTCATTGTACCATATTCAAGAATTTACTTAATTTATCATACACTCAAATAATGTATTTATGGTTGGACTATTGGATTTATTTTTGCTGTTATGGGTTTAACTTTACATCATCAATGTAAAAAAAGAAGAAAAAATAAATAAATCAAAGTAAAACAATGATTGTATATTTGTCATTAATTCCATTTCTTTAACTTTTTTTAATTATTAAAAACCTTGCAGCTCTAATTATTTAAGTTAATTTATCATCTGCATTTTTATTTTCTTTAAATCATATTATAATTTCTTATATTCATTCGTTTTTAATGTAATTGGATAATATTTTTATAAATTCTCTATAAGGTTTCTGATTTCTAAATAAATTTACCTTAGCTTCATTATTTATAATATATTTCTAACTTTTTATACTTATTTTTTGTTATCTTTTTAACATTTTCTAATATATCATATAATCAAATCTACTAATATTTTTTATATTACAAAAATGACTATCATAAATTATTAAAAATATTTTTCATAATTAGATTAACAAGTATAATATAAAAAGGAGATAAGTTATATATATTTTTTATTAAACAAATGTCTAAATAAATAAAATCAATAATCCTTTAATAAATACCTTTATTCATTCATAGTTTATTAAATAATTAAATTGGCTTAATACTATAAACTATCTGAAAAGGATAAATGGGTATTTATTAATAAATAATATGAAATACTGTCTAGAAATAGAAGAAGAGATTGAAAAAAAGTGTGTTTATTTTAAGAGCTATAAAAGAAGAATGAAATATTATTAAATTATTTATGTTATCATATTATAGTACAGGACAGTTTCCAAAATCTTTAGATCCACCTTCTCGTTTCAAGCAAAGATAAGCAAGCAAAGTATTGGATATATCACTTAATTAAGGGAGATGGTGAATCAATGTATAAACGAAACTTTGAAGATCCTTAGAAACATGATTTCAAACAAAGTGCTCATGCTTTAAATCAAGAATTCCATCACAAGTAATATCACAAAATCAATGCTGATTATAAGTATTTATGTAAATCTAAATAACAAAGAGATCGTTTCTTTGATACTATGCATAATACTACAAAGCCATAATAATAAGAAGATAAGTTATTTTATTAAAGTGCAGCAAGATAACAGAATCTAGAATAACCAAATCATTTGCATAATTGGAAAATTGTAAAAGAGAGGCAGTATGCAGAGTATATAACTGCAAATATTTTATAGACGAGTATAATAACAATCAAAATGTGATTAAGGGAAACTTGTTAATAAAAATGAATATTAAATTACATAACCAGCAAATAATGAATCTAAATCAAATACTTTGGCTAGATCAAATATGTTTGAAATATCAAAACCTTTATTAAGAATTAATAATGACCTAAAAAGTCAACAATTAATCAAAAATGTTTAAATTGTATCTGATGATATTCCTGAGTGGTGCTCAACCACAAATAAATATTATACTCCTGAACATATTGAATAAATTAAAAAACAAAGATAATAACAATTAGCTAAAGCTGATATTTTGGGTAATTTTATTAAGGAACCAAAGAAAGATCCTGAAAATAAAGTTTATTAAGATAATCCTTTTGTAGGCTAAAGATATGTAAGTAATCTTTTAATTTAAGGAACCTAAAAGAATGTGTGTTTTTTATGAAAAACCTGATCATGTGAGAGGACAATAATGTGCTACATAAGATTTAAGTAAATCTAAAGTCAATTTAACATGGAAAGAGAATGTTTAATCATAAAGATTTGAACCTAAATTACCAGAAACTATTGGAAGATCAGATCAACCTATTATTAAATCTCTTAATTAAAAAAGAGATCCTAATTTTCCTAAAGTTGAAAAAATTGGTCAATCAGATGTGTATTTATTTATTATTATATTTTAGTTATAAAAAAATAGAAAAGGATAAACCTATTTAATTAAAAATTGGTCATGGTTCTCCTTCTACGTTGAATCCAGTTAAATATTGACATATATTTGTTATTACATTATTTAATTTTTTAAATTAAAATACTATTTTATCAATAATTAAACATATCAGATTTTTAATCAACAAAATTGCAATAATACAATTAAATTAGTTGTTTCTTAGGCTACTCTTTCATTTTCATGTACACTAAGATTATTTAATTAATCATATAGTTAATTAGGAATCAATTTCAGAACTTCTGTTTAATAACGCATATCTTCTATTTATAATATATTTGAGAGAACTTCTATATAATATAAAATTTATTCAACCTTAAGATTCACTTAGTCTATTGCTTACTCCACCACACCAAAAAATTTCTAATAATAAATATACATTTTTATACTATAAAAGATTAAGGGTTGAATTACTATTATTCTTAGAGTCTAAATTGAATATACTTTTAGCAATTAATAAGTTTATCTAAGACTTTTATTTTATAACAATAGGCAAAGTTAGACTAAGCATAAAAATCTATAAATTTCTCAAGATATTCCATTAGGCATTTTTGAACAAATTTATTCAAAACTTGATCTTCAATCACAAAGCTCAAATTTGTATAGGATTTATAACAGCAAGATATTAATTTTAAAAGATCTTTTCCTGCTTGTTTTTCTAATTTTTAGGTTAAATTAAACAGTATTTCCATAATATTATTTTTGCCAATTAGAGGAAATAATAATTCAGACATTTTTTTAATGCAGATTCTAAGAGTCTTTAAATATATAAAATTTAATTTACCTTTAAAATGACAATATATTCAAATTAAGAGAGTTCTTACTCAAGATATTCTACAATAATATCAGCAATAGAGTAAATTTACTAAAAAAATGTAAATTCTTATTCACTTAAGCAATTAGCCAAGAGTATTGAACCATAAATAATTTACAAATCTTTAGTTTGAATGGCTCTATTGAGAATATCCATAGTAATATTATATTAATCTTCAAACTTTAATTCTCTTTTTGCCTATAAATATAAGGATAAAAATTCAGTAAGTGCCATCAAATAATCATCCAAAGCTAAATTAAATGCTTAATAAATTATTTGTTATAAGAACAATTTTTCTTATTGTAGTATATCTAAAAGTTAACTCTCTTATTCGATTAATAAGTTTAATGCATTTAAAGCATCAACATGTAATGATTTCCATTCTGTGGATTATAAAATTTTCATTAATTAGAAAAATAGAGCAAGATCTATTTTATCTTTTTCATCTGATAAGATTATCTTAACAATTTTTGGATTAACTATAATACAATTTTTTAATAATTAGAGCATCTTATTGAAGTATGATTAATGATTTAATGGTTAAATGAGATAGTATTTAATATCTATAATGTATTAAGATACTTCATAATATGATTCAAATAAATCTTTAGAATCAATTAAATTACAAAGCTGATTTAAAGTATCATGTGAATCTGTTTTTAGAAATTCTTATAAGGAATCAAGAATATTCTAATTGGAGGAGAGCTTAGAATCACCTAATCTCTATATTCCTCTATTTTATCTAAAAAGACTTTCTAATTTATTTTTTCTAATATCCATTCTAAACTTCTCTCTTTTCATTTAATTTATACTTACACAATCATTTGAAATGATATTAATCTGTGGAATATCTGACATAAAAATAAAATAAAAAAAAATATTGCGGCAAATGTATTTAAATTTCATAATGAAAATAATTATTTTACTCTTTCAAATGTTTTTAAAACAATAGATTCTCCATACACTAGAGTCTTAATTTCTTCAAAAAGATTTTCACAAACTAATGCATAGGTAATGTTTTCATTGAGAATATTATTCTATTTCAATAAATAAAGAACATATCTAATAGCTCTATCAATTAATTTATTATTAGTTGGGCGTACATAAATCATAATATTACTTTGGTATCTTCCAATTCTACCCATTAATAAAGTTGAATGAATATTTATAAGACATTTAAGAACAATATTTTATCCTAAAACATCCTGAATGGCTTAGATTTTAGAATAGTGTATTCTTTCTAATTTAGGTGATAAAAATTCCCATGATAATTCTAAATTATTTTAATCATAGACTATTTAAAATTGATAGTGATTTCCTCCAGCATATTTAATTCTTCTTTCAATCTAATCTTGACTTATATCATGAGATAGCACTTTAAAAATATATTAATAAATATACATTTTTCTAATCCAACCTTATGTTAATACTTATGCCAATAATTTGATGATAAAGCCCTAGGTTATCTACCATAAAGTAATTATTCCCAAGCATCTAATGAATTTTTATAAACTTCTTGATCAACATCCATCACAAAATAAGACCAACTAGGATTTATAGGATTATCTAAGATACTTTCAAATGGATGTAAACTAAAAGTTGGACATCTAAATAATATTAAAAAGTTATACCTTTCAGTTGTGTCAGTTAAGATATTGATAGCAATATTAGGTTTTGATCTATAAAATACATATTCTTTCTTCAAATAACAATCAGCTTCTAATTCTATAAATTTGCTAATAAATTCAAAAGCATCAATAGATTCATAATATTGTCTAACATTTTTGATAGAATTAGTAGCATAATCAATAAAGTTTTCTTGACATAAAATGGCTAATCCAATAGCATAAGTTAAGACAGTTGAACATTACATTCTAGTACTACCAGTAATAGCTTAATGTCCAACAGTAAGATTAATTTTATAAATATTAGGATTGTTGAATACATCTTGACTTCTCTAAACAGTTAATACTTCATCTGGATTACAATATAAAAAAAATGGTTTTCCAATTTTACTTGCTTCTTAAACAGCTCCAATAACCCAAGGAGTTTCTCCTCCTTCTGTAGATGATATTAATAAATCTCCTTCTTTAAATCCTAATTCATTTAATTATTATGCTCCAAATTCAGGATGATCTTCAAAATCTTCTACTGATGCTATTATAGCTACATCTCCACCTGCCATAAAGGATGTTACATTAGTTTATTTTGTAATTTATCTATATAGTGTTTCTAATGTTAATGCTAGTCTTCCTGTTGAGCCACAACCACATATGAATACTCTATTACCATTAGACCATGTATTTAAAACCATCTTATTCATTTCTTCCAATTAATCCAATTTATTCATCAATACATCAAATACATGCATATCTAAATCTTTCATTCTTTAAATTCCACTTTTTAAATCACTTTTTGCTAATTCAGATAATCCTACTGTATGTGGATGTGATTATTCTGTTATCAATCCACCTAAACTAAATTATCCGCTTATTTCTAAAAAATCTTTATAATTCATCAATATTATTTATATTTATATTTATTTTAATCATAATGAATATTTTTTAAAATTCTCATAACTAACTCCTTTTGGATCTCCTTATGACATTCTATTATATATGGCTAACATATCTGCTTCAGTTAAATGACTGTCTTTATAATTCTTCATCAAAAATATAAATTCTAAATTTATATTATTATCTTACCTTATTAATTCAAATAACCATCTTTATCTGAATCATGTCTTTTAAATATCTTTTATAGAAATCTATCTGTTGTTTCTTCATTTATATATTTCTCAACTGAATTCATTGCATTACAAAATGATTCTTCATTTATTTCATCTTTATAACAATGACTTTTAAATGATTAGGTGATTAAATTTTTGAAATTCTATTTTGCTTCACCATTTTAATCATTTGGATAAAATAAAGAACTCACCATTTCTGCAATTAAATCTATTTTAATTCCCAATGAATCTTATTATTAGAACTCAAATGCTAAAATTCTATAAATCTCTTTATTTGACATTGTCTTTGTTTTATGAGGCTTCTATTTAATTTACTTACTATCCATAATTATTTTAAATATATATAATAAATAGTTATAAATATTAATATATTCTTTTTTAAAACTTCATTCAAATTAATGTCTTATAGAATCAAAATATTAATGTTTTAATGCATCCTTTGGTGTTATCCTTTTTTTCTAATATAATTTATATTCTATTTTTACTGCATCATAATGCATCATTTTCTATAATAAATCCAAAGCCTCAGATTAACAATATTATTAATTACTAGAATTAATAAATTTATTTAAATTGACAGGTTAGTAATCTGGAAAATCATTAAAATCAAAATTAGAATTCATTTTTTTTGCTACTTCCTTTAAACCTTCTGTTCCAAAAACTCTTGCTATTCGATGTATATATTAGATCTTCTCTTTCCCTAATTTCTTAGTTCCTTTAAATGGATTATTCTCTTTAAATATCTTTTAATAATTATGTTATTATTGTTACCATCTAAGAAAACATGAAACCAACTGCATATACATCTATTTAATAATCATAATATTGGTATCTCAATAATATTTCTGGAGATTAATAAGATCTGTATCATTAATAATTATACTTAGTTCCAACTGATGGATTTTTTGGTCTACCTGGTACATAATACATACTCAATCCCCAATCTATTAATTTAAATAATTTTTTGTTTGGATTTGCAATTATATTTCCTGGTTTAATATCTCCATGAATTACTCCTTTAGAATGAACATAATCCAAAGCCTTAATTATATAATTTAATTACTTTTAAAGTCTGATAAAGAAATAATTTATTACCATTATCTGTCATTGTTTTTATCAATTAGGATGTTGGAAAGACTATATATCTATTATATACTAATGATACAATATTATTGTTTTTTATAACATCTACTAATGGTGATATTAAGTCATGTCCTTAAACTATTTGCATAAACACAATTTCTCTTTTTATGCTACTCCATCTAAGACTCTTGAATGTCTTAATCACAACCTTATTCTTAGTTGATTTTTATAATCCTAAATAAGCGTGACCTGATGCTCCTTTCCCTATGTATTATTGAAATTCATAATCGCTATAATTTCCAAAATTTATTCTCAACTATTTATAATCAAGATCTTTTTCAGATTTTCCTTAATTTGCAGTTGCATAGTATTTAGGTAAAATATGTTTGATGCAAGCCCCGGTTTCACTTATTTTAACAAGATTACTATCATGTTTATTTGAATTTAAAACAGATATATATGAAAAAGCTATTATCACTAATCCATAAATCTGAATATATTAATCAAATTTTTTCATTAAATAAATAAATGTTTTATTAATCAATTAAAATGTTTTATAATATATTAGTAATTGATTTTTTCATCATACTCTAATTCTATAAAGCTTAATATTTTTTTGCCAAGTTAAAACTGCAATTATAGCATCAAAACTATTTTCTATTTATTATGTATCTGCTGATATTAAGTTTTCTGCAGTTAATTTAATTGTATGATCTTAATCCTTGATAATTTGATTTAAATTATAAATTTCCATTAAACAAAATTGTTTATCATGCTATGGAACTAAATTAATAAATAGTAATAATACATGCAAATAATATATTTAATTCTTTTAGGTATTAAAGCTTTTAAAATCTTTATCCTTGTAGAGAAGTATTTATATAGAAATCATCATTTATAACTTTTAAATTTTAATTGATAATTTGACATATTTTAATTTAATCTTTGAATCCTGCAATTAAATTATACTAGAGAATTAAATCAATTTCAGAACATTAATTTGTTGTAGATAATTCATTTAATTAAATCCAAGTAATACACCAAACCCATTCAGAAAACATAATTGAATATAATTGAGTTCCATTTTCAACTAAGTAAATTCTTAAGCCTCCATCAATACTACCAGAAGCTAAAAATTAACAACAAGGTGAAAAAGATACACATGGTATATTGTGTTTATGATTTTAGATACTCTAAAAAAATATTTTAGATTTTTACATATCTAATTGGAAATTCTATGTCTGCCCTCATTAAATCTTGTTTAGTAAATTTAACTCTGATTTCACGATCATCCAAATATTTATGATCAGGTTTATCAAAACCCAATACTTTTCTAGACCATAAAGAGATAATATGAGAATTGGAACCTACTGCCAAATATTATTGACAAATATCTATACTCCAAATTGAACAGTCTGTAATTTTCTGTAATTAAAACAATAAATTACTTCATATAGACCCTATAATTTGATTGGTTTTATTAAAATATTATCTAGATCATATATATATATGAATGAATTCATAGTCGTTGCAAATAATAGGTGATCATATTATTTTAATTAATTGATCATGTCATTTTAGTCAATATTTATATTTTTTAGCTGTTTTACCTCTAATCCTGAAATTGAAAAAAATAGTAAATAATTTGTACACCCAAGAATTAGTAATTATCTTTAAAGATCTAATATAAGAATATTCATTCTCCAAGCATCAAGTTCAATGTCTTAGAATTGTTTTGAATAAATTAATTCAATATCATAACCTTCCATAATTTATATATTTAATGTATAAAATTTCAATTTTGAGTGTTACCTTCCCTAACAATAAAAATAAATAAGATATTTATTGTAAATTGACTGAAGGAGATTAAACATATTAAACTAAGGTAGATATGGACACTATCACTATTGCAAAATGGGATCAAAATTTCAATGTCAAATAAACATAATCAGAAATCACATTTTCAATTCATCTTTGGAAAGGAGAAAATAAAGATTAATTAATAACAGAGACAAAAGTAAAATGGGAATAAATATTGTCTATGTTAAATGCAACTTAAAATTTAAAATTTAATCTATGTGATATGAGTTTAATCATTGAGGAAGTTACAATTCCTTCAAATGAAACTCAAATTAAATAATTTTAAAAGTATCTGAGTGATACTGGATTAGAACAATCTTTCAAATTAATATTTGCTGAAATTCTAAGTAAAAAAATTGATCGGTCTGAAGTATTTACATACACAGCTTTGCGTTTAAGATAAATAGGAGATGATCTTAAAATGTTCATTAACAATGTAAATTAATAAATATAAAAATAGAATCATAAGATGAGTTAGTTACTTAATAATATAAGTGAAGTTCAATAAGATGATGAACCAGATTAATTTTTAGAAAGTTAAGATTAATGATTTATAATTATTTTTAATTAAATTATGTAACAAGAGAGCATATACAACTTAATTCCAAAAGAATATGTTCCTCCTCCAAAAGAGGCTATGTATAGATCTGCATATCCATCAAATCTTGTTCCTACTTCAAGCACTTTTAATAATCATACAACAAGCAGACCAAAAGTACCTTTGTCTGTTATCTTTAAAGATTAACAATATTAATGGAGAATTTGAATTAGTAAAGGGTCCTCATTCTCATAAGGGACAATCAAATTCTCTTGGTAGACCAAAAGGTAATATAAATTAAATGATAAGATAGGCTCATATAAACCAGATACTACTATGTTTAGATTAAAGAATACAGGAACTATGGGATCAAATTAATTACCTGAGAGTATCAAACTTATTAAAATTAGTTCAACCTTATAAATATCCACCTTCTATTAAACCAAATGTTCCAAAAAAAGATGAGAAACCAATTCATGGTTTGAAATCAAATAAAAATTATATAATAACGAATGCTGTTGAAAATATCTTATCAGCACCAAAATAAATAGTTGATGAGGTTGCTTGGACTTCAAAAAAAGATTATGGAAAAGTTCCAGATTATTTAACAAAAATTAAATAAAGTATCTCAAGTGAATATGAAATCATTCGAAATATGCATATTAGTGAAGCAGAGGAAATGGATAAATAAAAATATCTTTTGTCTTAGGAAGAAGTATAATAATTAAAAGAAGGACTAAAAAAGAAATGGGAATCAGTAAACAAAGAATATTAATCAATTACTCATATCAGAATGATAGATACTGTTGGTTTAAAAAGAAAGTAAATTTAATAATGACTATTTTAAGGAAAGAGTAATGTGAAAAAGAATTAGCTTAATTAGAAAAAGATATTGAAAAATTAAACAAGAATTATGTTTTTGTTGATACCTAAAAATGATTCTATATTAAAATATCTATAAGGATTATAAATACATTTTTAAGAGTTATTTTTTTCTTATTAGGTAAAAATTAATAATTCATAAATATCTGGTTCATTTTAAATCTGTATTATTAAGTAAAAAATAATTTTAATGGATTAACACTCATAAAAAGTTAGAAAATCTATATCTAATTATTCTTACGCTTTAAATGACTTAATAGGCTCTGGATATTCTTCGAAAGTGTATAAAGGGATTAATACAATCACAAATTAAGTTGTTGCCATTAAAGTCATAAATATACAATAATTAATCACTCCAATTTCTAAAAGCTTACTTAAAAATGAAATAAACATACTAAAATTAATTAATCATCCAAACCTGATGAAAGTATATGAAATATTTGAATCTTAAAACAATACTTACTTGATATGTGAATATTGTAATGAAGGTGATTTAGCAGACATTTTAGAATCTTCTACATACACAGAAAAAGATGCTTTATAAGTTCTCCAATAGATTATTTAAGGAGTTAAAGAATTACATGATAAAAGTAACACCTTATAAGTAAAGTTTCTTAGAAATAATACATAGAGATATTAAACCAGCGAACATTTTGAAATCTGATGGTGTGTTCAAATTAGCTGATTTTGGTTTCGCAGTTATTGAAAACTAATATGAAAGCATTATCAAAAAGTTTAATGTTGGAACACCAATGTATATGGCTCCAGAAACTATTTAATGTAACGTATATTCTGAAAAATCTGATATATGGGCTTTGGGCATAGTTATGTATTAAATTTTATACAAACAACTTCCTATGAATTCAAAATAAGAAAATGATATTGAAAAGAGACATTCTGTTCTAATTAATAAAATTCTAACTGACAATCTAACATCTAAAAAAACAAAAGAACTTATTATTAATATGCTTAACCTTGAACCATAAAAAAGATATTCTATTAATGAGATTATTTAAATTCTCAATCCTTCTCCAAAAAGGCTTTCATCTATTTCACACTAGAATGTTTCTTGTAAATCAATTAGATCACTACCATCACCATCTTTAGATCTTTAATCTTCAAGAGGTTTATTTGATAATACTTCATTATCTAAATAATAAATTATTAAAAGCTAACCAGATGAAATTGTAGACTAAAATTTACTATTATCTAAATCTTAAAATATTTAGGATAATTAGAAACTTAAAATTATTAAAATCAATTAAATTAGTTATGATTTAAAAATTAATTCAAATCATAATAAAGCCTTATAAGCAAGCAAAGACTCTTAAAAAACAAATACTATATAATAAACTTTAAAAACAATAAAGCTTTCTGATAATCTTAATTTGTAAGCAATTGGTAAATTTTCTAAAGAATCTCCATTTAAATCAAGAGAAGAATATTAAACCAAAAGATTGTAAGCTTAAATTTCAAATGAATTTATTAATACATATGATAAAGGACCTTATAGTTTGGGTGATAAAACTTTTTTATTAAAATCTTCCTAAATTAGTACAAATAAGACACAAACTCCTCTGAAAACTGTCTAAAATAATAAAGCTTGTGGCATTACTCCTGATGAAAGTGAATGTATATAAAGCAATCATTAAAATAGTACTAATGATACAATTAAATAAAATTAACTTTCTAATTGTTTATAAATTTTCTAAGAAAAATAAAACCTTCAGGATAATGTTTTAAACTAATAAAATTAACCTAAAAGTCATTTTAAAATTATCAAATCACCTGTTAGAATTATTCATTCACAATAAACTATTATAACTCCCCCTTTTAAATCTTCAGGAATTAGTGAATAAAAGAAATCTTAAACCAATAATTATATTTAAAATAGAGGAAATTCCCAAGAATCATTATAAAAATTAATATCTAATTTTTCCACTGAAAAAGTTACTACAGAATTTTATCGTAACAAGTTAGAGGAAAAAGAAGAATAACTTCCTGCAAATATAAGACCAACTTTTAAATTCTTAAACTATTTGAATTAAATAATTAAAAATTTTGACAATATTAATACAGAAGATAAATAAAAATGTTATTTTTTATTAAGAAAGTTATTAGGAATTAAAGCAACTTATGTTTAAAAATGCAATTCATAATTTAAACAAGAATTAATACAATTATGGATTGATAATTTTTTGTCTTATTATTCAAAAGTTGAAAATGTTTTTTATACATCCCCTGACAGATCATTTGAATAATTTTTCAATAAAGACTTAACTTAATTTAGTATTGGATTTTCATAACTCTTGTTGTTTTATCTACAAAAGATTTTATTCATAAAATAGAGCAAAGATATATAAATAATTTCGGAAATTATTTCAGAAAATGTAAGATAATCAAATGATCCAGTGTTATTTGCTAGAAGATGGGAAAATGATTAACCTTGATTCTTATAGTTTTTATTTTTAAATTAGAACAACAAACGTTTTTATATAGCTTAAAAAAATTAGAAATATCAATATTTTATATTTTTAAGTTTGTAATGGGTACTTGTTCAAGAAAAAGCTAAAAAGATAATTCTTAAAAACAAACTGGATATGAGTCAGAATAAGTTGTAATTTTAACATGCATTAAGAGTCACATTTAATATTTTGATTAAATAGATTTAGAACTTCTTAAATATCCTGATATTTCACTGTTATTGAGAAAACATATTAAAAACTATAAATTCATTGAAGAGGGAAAGACATGGGTTGTCGTAAAAGAAATTTAAAGTTTTTTGAATGATAAAATGTCTATATTGATCAGAAATTTCAATCCTGAAACTGATGCTGCTTTATAATTGATATAAATTTATAAGAAGCTAGTGTCTTTAACTTAAAAATTACTAGAATGTTCTGTCAAATTTAGTGAAGCTAAGGTTGAACTATTTTAATCATTTTAGAATTAACTAGTTTAAGTAAAGAAAATGATAATTTTAGACTTCGATAGAATGTTTAATTGTTGTAAATACATTGATCTCAAAAAAATTGTAATGGTGGAATGAAGAATATTTTAAATGGAGATAGAATCATTTAATTTCAACCTTTCTCATAAAAAAAATCGATAAAAGCAATAAAGAGATAATAGGATCGATATATGATTTTATATAATTGTTGATAGAGTGCATTAAACATTTAGGAGATCTTGAAGCATCTCAAGGTAACTAGGAGACTGATTTTAAAGCAGAATAAGAATTTTTAGATTAATTTTACAATTAAATGAGAGCAGGACTGATTCACAATTCATTTTTTTCTGAAAGTATTTCAAATGAAATAATTCCTGAGTAAATTTAGGTGAATTAGAATATTAGTAAGTATGCTTTATTAATAAAAAGAAAATGATTTACTTTTTTATCATATATATAAAATCATTAACTTCTGTAAAAATATCAGCAATATGAAGAATATAGGAATCGATCTTTTTGTTGGAATAGTATCAAGTAAATATTATTTAAGAAGTTTAGGTTGTGTAAATACAATAGTTGGTTACCCAATGGATTTTATAAAAACAAGAATGCAATTATAGCAGAGTAAATAGGGTACGTTGAAATCAATTATTAACATTATTAAAATGGAAGGTCCCTAAGCATTCTATAGAGGTAGTATATTAAAAGGATGATATGAAATAGGGGTATCTATTTAACTATTGAACAGTGTATTTGCAGGGTCCATTTATTTCACTACATATGAATAAATTAGGAGATAATTTGAAAAATATGATAATTTACCTAGAAATAGTTATTTACCATTATATCAAACATTTCTAGCAGGATCTATGGCTGTAAATTGAATTATGAATCTAGGGTATATGTAGTGATTTATTTGCTATTCCATTTGAATATACTAAAATTTAATCTCAAAAACAAGAAATTCTTATAGGAACTAAAGTGAGAGGACCTCTTTTTATTTTATTTGATACAGTTAAGAAGCAAGGAATTAGATAGATATATAAGTAAATTATTTATTTACCTTCAGAGGATCTTTATTACAAATAATTAGGGATTTTGTTGGATGTGGTTCTTTTTTTTTAGCTCATTCTGAAACTTTGCATTTTTTTACACCTCCTGGCAAATCTAGGAATGAATCATCTTAAACAGGAATATTTATAGCTAGTATTGCTGCTGGATTTGGTTATTGGGTCATAAGTTATCCATTAGATATTATAAAAACAAGATATTAAGTTGACAATTAGAAGTATTTATATCTTATAATTAGTACCCTTAATATCATAAAATAAATATATTTATAAGGAGGAATCTTATAATTCTATAAAGGATTTAAAATCACTGTCCTTCGAAGTATTTTTGTCAACATATTTTAATTATATACCTATGAAAATTTAAGAAGAGTTTGTCATAAATATGGTTGAAAATTGTTTATATTTTTTATTAATATCATTTACTACTTAAATAGTTTTTTCAGATGTAATTAAAGTAAGTTGGTTAATTAATAGAAACTACATCTTGAAAACTTACAAAAATAAATTTTTTTTTTAAATATTTATTTTGAACTTTTTTGAAGCCGTTGCTTTTATTTTATTATAATAATCCTTTTTAGAATTTTTGAATAGGAATTATGTGAATCTAAATTTTAATTATTTATTAGTATTTACTCTAAGTTAAATTTACATTATATTTAATATTTAATTTATAATTATTTTTTAATACTTCAAATGATCTTGGTCAATTTTTGGATATTTATTAACCATTTAAACTTAAACTAACTGTTCTTTTAGTATATTTATAAATATTTATTTAGATAAAATTTAATAAATTTTTTTTTAAGAATTTAGTATTATATAAATTAATTCCATTTTGAACATAAATTCAATTTTTTTTATATGTTTTAGTAATGAACTTCTAATTATATCAAATGCTAAGAAAAACCTTTTTTTTGAATCTCAGTATTAATAAAATGATTTTTCATAATAGAAATATAATTTTAAAGTATAAAAAGCTCTCAAGTAGATTAAGTCATTTACAAGCAAGATTGTTTTATTAGAATATAATTTAATGATAGTTAAATAAACATCTAGACTTTAAAATATTAAAAATTAATATTATTTACTACAGTTTATGTATAACTAATAAATATTATAATTATTTAATAAACTTTATAAATGATAACTTCTTAAGAATAACTTGATATTAGTACTTTATTCTTTAAGTTTAGTCATTAAAAAGATTAAGTCATATTTAAATGGAAAATCTTAAACAACAATAAGAACTTTAGGAAAAACTTTTAGAGGTTTTGAATCTTTCGATTAAAAATGTCGAATTGATAAAGATGAATTTCTGATTGGATTAAAATAAAATGGAGTAATACTAACAAAGTTTTAAACAGATGTAAATATAAATATAAAATTAGTTTTTATTGAATTATTTAGATAGAAATAGAGATGGATCAATAGATGTAGCTGAATTTCTTTATTTAATAAGAGTAATATAAATAGTGTAATAATATAGGGGTCTCCAAATGAAAATAGATTAGAAGTTATTGTATAAGCATTTAAAAAGTTTGATAAAGACAATTTAGGAATTATAGTTACAGATGATTTCAAAGGAATATTTAATTCTAAAAATCATCCTAAAGTGAGAAGAGGAGAACTTACAGAAGATTAAGCTTATATAGAGTTCTTATAGTATTTCAGAGATGGCAATAAGTCTGGTCAAATAACATTAAATGTAAATAATTTAGTTTATTCATAAATTTATAGGAATGGAAAGAATACTATGCTGCAGTAAGTGCTGATATTGAACATGATGAGAATTTTATTGCTTTAATAAAAGAAACCTGGAGACTTAAATGAATGAAATTTAATAAATAAGTATCATAAATACATCATGATTCTCAAGACTCAGATTCATTATTTTAATAAATTTCTTCTTTTTCTACTTAATTTTCATCTTATTAAACATTATTAATCTCTTTATTATTACTTTTATTATCATTATCTTTAGCTTAATCATTTTCATTTTATTCTTCTATTTAATTATCTAATTATTAATCTTTTTAATTTTCAATTTCATTTTATTATTCTTATGATATTTTAGCATCTCTTTATTCCATTTCTTCCTCTGATTCTGAACTTGATTTATCTTCTAACTTTTCTAATCTTCTTAATCTTTCATGAGATCTTGATCTAGATCGAGAGGATCTAAATAATAATAGTAAATACTTTTTAAATGTTTTTTTTGATTTCACTACAATTTACAATATTAATGGTCTAATTAATACAGGATTTATGTCATCTTATCCTATTTTATTATTATTTTTAATTGGATAAACTATCATGTGTACCCAACCATTTTAATAATGAGATGTTACTTCATTAATTTAAAGTTTCTCAACTTCTGCTAAACCATCTTCTAACCAAATGTTATCTTCAGGTAATCTTAATATGACTTAATTCTAAGAATTTTATTGCAATATTGTTGGTTTATCATCTGATGAATATAATTGTATCTCTAATTCTATTTTATTTTTATTTTTAATATTTTATCCTTTCATATCCTTTAGAGCAATTTCAAGATTAAAGTTTTTGTCTTTAAATAAAACTGTATCTAAATCATTAATTAATATCAATTAATATTGAAAATCATTTAGATTATAGGATAATGACTTTAATAATATATTATTATGAGTCATTTCTTGATGTGGTATTGATACTAAGAATTTAGAATTTAAATTATTACATCTGCTAACAAAATCTTCTGTTTATCCATTATCAAATTTCTATTCAACAATTTTTTATAGATTTGTAATTTCATCTAATATTTATGTAATAACATTTTCTAAATTGGCATTTTTATTCTTAAAGTCTAATAACATTTAATTTTATTAAACAAACATATTCAAAATCTTTAATTAAAATTCATTAACAACTTGTGAAAAACCTATGTAAGTGGAAATGCAAATAAATACCTTATTCTAGATTATTTTATTAAGTCATAGCATTATTATTATTATTATTATTATTATTATTAGTATTTGTATTTGAATTTGTTTATGTTTAAAATTAAGGTGTTTATTATTATGGTTAGACTTGCTATTGTTATTATTATTATATAGGTTATGGTTGTAGATGTTGTTATTATTATTATTGTTATTATTATGGTATTATTTGATTTGGTCCTAATTACTATTATAATTGTGGTTATTGTTTAAATTAAAAATCAAAAGGCGGCATTTATCCCATAGGTCCTTATGGAATAGGTCCCATTCCTGGTAATTACACTGGACCCATAGGTCCCATAGGACCCATTGGCCCCATAGTACTCATAGGACCCATTGGACCTGGACCCATTGCTCCAGGTGGAAGCTAACCTGGTCCCATAGGAGGCATTCCAAATCCCATTGGCATAGGTGGCATGTTTTGTAAACCTTATGGAATACCATTCATATTCATTCCACCTTGATTAGGTTATAGATTATTCATTTAGAGAGCTTAATCATGCATAAATTAATCTGGAAATGGGTATTTCTAATTAGGTGGTGGTGGCATCATTGGCTATGGAAAAGGAGGAGTCCAACAAGAGTAATACGGGGAATTAGGCACTGGTAACATTCTTCCATATGGGTCTGGATTACCCATTTGTTAGAACATTTGATATAATCTCTACTATTCATCATTTGGATTCATTGATATGTTAAATAAATTATTATGAAATAATAATAACACATTTAGCTACCTAATTTATCAAAGTTATAAAATCTTACATCAAGTGATAGAAGTCCTAGAACAGTTAATACACCAACAAGAAAGGCAAGTGAAATTCTTGTTAAATTTAATTTTCATCTTAATCCTTCCTTGCATAAAAAAAAATAAATCAAAAATACCACTAATAATGAATTTTAAACAAAAAAAATAAGCAAAGTTACTAGAAATATTATGGAACTCGTAAACATTTTTATATTATATAATTTAAGAGAAGAAGAAAAAAAATGAAATGTGATTCTTTGTAAATCAAACCTAGAATTTAAGCCTGTAAAACTAATAAAGGAGGCACAATTTCTGTCCTCAAAAATAATGAATAATGCAGATCTTATTTACATAAAAAATACAAAGATTAAATTTATACTGGTGCATCAGAATTTAGTGATAAAAGTAAAGATAAATTAAGATTATAAATGGTCAAATGGTTAATAGATAATAAAAAAGAAGTTGTTTGTGCATTAAATGAAAATAAATAAAATATTTTAGAATGGGTTTAATGTGTTGAAAAAGTAGACAGAGATGAATTTGATATTATTCTTCATGGAATTCAATTATACAAAGATCCCAACTTAATTAATCGTTTATTTTGGTATCAATATCAAATATTTTTAGGGTTTTTGATTTAAATGATGATGGTTATATTGAATTTAATGAAATTTAATATTCAATTAATTTATTTAGAGAGTATGATTAATAAGATAAAATTCAGATATTTTTTGAATTATGTGATGAAAATGATGATGGTTATATTAATGAAGAAGATATCAAAAAATTTTTCTCGAAAAATCTTACTAACTAAGAAGAACTTAAATAAATGAAATTTCTCATTAAGGATTTCTATTAAGAACTCAATCCTTATAATTAAAAAGGATTGAGTGCAGATGATTTATCTAAGGCTACATTAAGTGATTAAAATATAAGAATCATAGTTGAAAAAAATACATTGATTCTAAAATCTAATAATAAAAAAGAAGACGATATAGGTTCAAGTCTTAATAATCTCATTTATTCTGGCTAATAGTAATACTTATATTAATTAATTTTTTTAGTGAAGGTAAACAAGGAATATTTTTCCCTTAAATTGAAGGATTGATAGATGCTTTAATAGAGAAAGATAGAATTATGATGCAATATAAATAAATTAAATTGGATTTTGATTAGATTGAAGATAATTCTGATTGATTTGATTTATAAATATAAATAAATTTCAAATTCAAAAAAAATGGCAGGTAAAATATAAAAATGAGTCTTTAGATTAATTGGAAGAAAGAGCATAAAGAATTTTTGGAAAGTTATAATCAATATAGAATAATGTAGAAGGGGAAAAATAACAAAAATTCAAATTAATATTGGGGTATTTATAGAGTGTTGAATCTGCAATAGAAGATGTTTAATAATAGAAAAATTAAAAGTTTTTAGATATTGCAGAAAAAGTATTATTTTATTAGATTCTAAGCTTTAAAGATTGAAATCAATGTTAGATACAGAAAAGGAGGCTAGAGATCAAATAAATGAAAAAATGAAAAAAGAAATATTATCAGTTGAAAAGAATTGTAAAACACTTTTGAATAGTTTCAGCAAGGAAAGATTGGAAACTGAGAAAAGAGTATTTTAAAATCTGTCTTAATAAGTTGATTAATTGTCAACTGAAATTTAAAAAGAATTTCATTAAAAATCTGAAACATAAAATAGATTATTAGAAATATAAAATGGTAAAAATATAAATTATATATATAAGATCAAATTCCTTAATTTTATTAAGAAATAGAACAAGAAATAAGGATTAGAGAAGAAATAGAAGAAAAAATAGCTTAATAATTTAATGAATAGTTGGATGAACTTAAAAGAATATTTGATAGTTAATAAAAATAAAGAGAATAAAGAGAGGAAGAGATAATAGGAATATTGAAGAAAATATATTAGAATGCATATGATGCTTGCAAAAGAAATAGAGCAGATAGAGAAAGAAATGAAGAATTATTAGTTAAATTAGTTGAATAAGTGGTAGAGAAAATTAAAAGAGAAATAGTTGACTCTGATTTTTGAAATAAAGTTATAAAACATTATATTATAATTTAAGTATAAAATAAGACTTTGTGATTAGGATCTAAAGTGTTTATTAAGTTTGATGATTAAAATAAATACTCAAATTTAAACATGTATGAGTATAAGAGTAATGTCATCTCTTCCGTTATCTTATCTTTCCCATTTTGATTAAGTTTCTTCTAAAATTTTTTAGACTGCTTATTCCATATCAAATTAAGTAAAAGGTATTTCAAAGATATCTAAGATTTTATAGATACTTTCAAAATCCATTTTATCCCATAGTCCATCACTTGCTAATAAAATAAATCCTGTATTTTATATGTTATATCTTAAAATTTCAGGATCAGCAATAACTCCAACAGATTTAGCTGCTATATCACCAAATGATCTTGACATTGCTAATCCTGGTACATCTTCATTTGCTAACCAAACTCTATAAGAACCTTATCTTTTCCCATCAATTAAACTTTATTCAACTCTACCTCCATATTTTATAATTCTTTTTAGTTCAAATGTTTTATTAGGTTTATGATCATAAGATAATGGTCTATTGTACCAAAGCTCTTATGATTTGTAAAAATACACAGCTCTTGAATCTCCAACATTCGCACAATATATTTTTGATCCAATCAATAAAATAACGATTCCAGTAGAACCACTAAAATTACATGCAATATTTGTTTTATCTACCTAAATTAAATTAAAATATTACTAAATCATATTCTACTTGTTTATAGGCTGCTTGTAATGATTATGAAAATTAATTAGGATTATTTATATATATTTAAACAAGCTAATTTTCTATTATTTTTGGTAATTACTTTGATACAAATTATGATACTAAATGTCCACTTTGACCATGTCCATCAAAAATACCAAAAAAATGCCAATCATTTTGATTACCAATATTTTATTTGATAGCAAAACTATCTTAATTAATTTTCTATTTCTTCCTATGATTTTAACCTGCTAGAGTTCTACTAATTTTTCAACTTTATACTTTGCTGCTACTTTAATTTCACATTCTTCCTCATATTAAATTTCAGTTTAAATTCTTTTCAAATGATCTTTTTATATGGGAGGCAATTTATCAATAATATTTAACATAGATTACTAGTTGTGTTTCTTTAAAGTTGATTTCTAATTAATTGTACTAATAGAACGAGGAATTTTAATTTATCTTAAAATTTCTAATTTTTAATTCATATATTTTAATAATATCATTAAAATGGTCCAATTCTTTATCCTTATAACTGCATCTATGTACTTCTAACATTAAATACTCCCTCAATTATTGTTTATTATGATTATCCTTCTACTTATTTTTCTCCTAAATCAATATTGAAATTCTTAACAAATAGTGGATTTGGGTTTGATAAAACATCATCATTACAAGATAATCCATCCAAATATTATTTCAATAAAGATTATAATTGATTACTTTCATTTTATAAAGCCTCTTTTTATTTTTAAATTGCCAAAATATCTAATAAGACCTATTATATTATTAAATATATTTACTTTATTATATCTTTTATAGAAATTATTTAGATATGCAAATTCTTCATACTATTCTTTTTCAATAGCTTCAAAATCATTCTTCAAATTTTCAGGAATTTAATCCAAATCAACTGTATCTTCATAAAAAGGCAAAACCTTTTCTCTTTCTGTTTCTAATCTTCTACATAGTTCAGCTGTTTTTAATATTTTTTCACCTAATTCTTTGTATTCTGTTAATTTTAAAACTGCATTTCTACTATTATTTACTAACTCTTTTAGTAACCTTTACTATTCCTCTCTAAATTTATTCATTTTTAATTTTAAATCTTAATAATTTTTAGCAATATTTTCTTTTTCTTTTTTTAAAGCTTAATTTCTTGCATTACATTCTTTTGTATGTTATAATATTTTATATTTAGTTAAATCTATTTTTGCTTTCTTACTAGCTATTGATCTTACAAGTCTTTCAATTTTCTTAGACATATCCTTATTTGCATCATAATATTTTGTATGATCTTCAGTTTTCTTAGCAGTATCTGATTGATATTTTTGATGCATTTATTCTAAATCATTATAAAATTTTGTTTATTTATCTTCTAATTATTATTTCATTTGGCTTGTATCTTCTACATCTTTATTTTTAGTTTCTTCTCTATTAGTTTAATGTTAATTTTTAGCTTATTCTGCTTTTCTTTTTTCTTCTTCTTCAACTGTCTTAATCATATCTTCCAACTCTTTAACTTATTATTTATGAGTTTTAGTCATATCATCAAATTCAATTTGGAATTCTTCTTAAAGTATTTTGATATCTCTTTCAAATTCCTCTAATAATGCTCTATTTCTACTTTCTTACAAGAGATGAAAATTTTCAAGATGAATAAGATGATTTCTTAAAGCAATTTAATATTAATCTTCTGCTTCATCTAGATTCTTATCTAACATCTAAATAAATGCTTCTTTAGAATCCAATTCTCTTTTATTATTTTAAGAGTATAATTCTATGTCTAGTTTCAATTATTCAGTTTTAACAGCTCTCATTGTTCTTCTCCAATAAGCCATAAGTTTTTTTGTATTGAAATTGACTATCTTTTATTCCTCTCTGATTTTACTTCGCAGTTACTCTTTTTTAAACTATATCTAAAAGCTTAAATTACTTATGCTTATTTTTGACTTTCTTCAAATTCTTATTATGATTTTGTGATTTATCTTATTTTTATGTTTCTTTTTTATTCTGTTCCTCCAGGTTTAGTTGTTCGACCTTTTAATGTTTTTCCTAATAAAGCCATATAAATTATTAAATAAAGAAAAATTAGATAAATAAAAAATAAAAATTCATTTTTTTGGAACAGAGGTTCCCTTATAGAATGTTTTAAAATAAGATTAATCTTAATCAACTGAAGATTATCTATCTTAATTTCTTGATTTTCTTGGAAACCTTCCATAATACTCAGATAAGAGGTAATTTCTGTTGATAGGAGTTTTTAATTTTAAGACCTTGATGTCATTAGATTGCTANTGTTATAATATTTTATATTTAGTTAAATCTATTTTTGCTTTCTTACTAGCTATTGATCTTACAAGTCTTTCAATTTTCTTAGACATATCCTTATTTGCATCATAATATTTTGTATGATCTTCAGTTTTCTTAGCAGTATCTGATTGATATTTTTGATGCATTTATTCTAAATCATTATAAAATTTTGTTTATTTATCTTCTAATTATTATTTCATTTGGCTTGTATCTTCTACATCTTTATTTTTAGTTTCTTCTCTATTAGTTTAATGTTAATTTTTAGCTTATTCTGCTTTTCTTTTTTCTTCTTCTTCAACTGTCTTAATCATATCTTCCAACTCTTTAACTTATTATTTATGAGTTTTAGTCATATCATCAAATTCAATTTGGAATTCTTCTTAAAGTATTTTGATATCTCTTTCAAATTCCTCTAATAATGCTCTATTTCTACTTTCTTACAAGAGATGAAAATTTTCAAGATGAATAAGATGATTTCTTAAAGCAATTTAATATTAATCTTCTGCTTCATCTAGATTCTTATCTAACATCTAAATAAATGCTTCTTTAGAATCCAATTCTCTTTTATTATTTTAAGAGTATAATTCTATGTCTAGTTTCAATTATTCAGTTTTAACAGCTCTCATTGTTCTTCTCCAATAAGCCATAAGTTTTTTTGTATTGAAATTGACTATCTTTTATTCCTCTCTGATTTTACTTCGCAGTTACTCTTTTTTAAACTATATCTAAAAGCTTAAATTACTTATGCTTATTTTTGACTTTCTTCAAATTCTTATTATGATTTTGTGATTTATCTTATTTTTATGTTTCTTTTTTATTCTGTTCCTCCAGGTTTAGTTGTTCGACCTTTTAATGTTTTTCCTAATAAAGCCATATAAATTATTAAATAAAGAAAAATTAGATAAATAAAAAATAAAAATTCATTTTTTTGGAACAGAGGTTCCCTTATAGAATGTTTTAAAATAAGATTAATCTTAATCAACTGAAGATTATCTATCTTAATTTCTTGATTTTCTTGGAAACCTTCCATAATACTCAGATAAGAGGTAATTTCTGTTGATAGGAGTTTTTAATTTTAAGACCTTGATGTCATTAGATTGCTACAATAAATTTACATCTAAAACTGTAGTTTTTTAAAAATCTAGATTGAGTTTTGTTTTTATATCAACTGATTAATTCATAATAGTAGGTGATTGCTATTAGAATATAGTATTTTAAGTATTAAGTGAATTGTTCAATCTTGGTTTAGTGTCTATAGTAGATTCTTCCATTTATAATGTATTGTTATGTCTACCTAAAAATGATAATATGGATTAATATACTTTTCCTTTAAATTAATGGTAATGGATTATTTATATTAATGTATTTTCTATCAGTTTAAGTTTATTGTCTGGTGGAAATTCGTTATGGATCAAATAATTCAGAACTGATATCTAATATTAGATTTAAAGTACTAAACCTGCAATAGATTTATTACCAGAAATAATATATTTTTTGAGAAGTAAGTAATAAGTAGTTGTTACATGATTATGTCTATTAGTTTCAATACATTTTTCAGCATATTCGGTTGAGATTCCATAATGAATCAATTATTTAATAATTTCTGGATCTATAGGAATCTTATGATGACCAATAAAAAGTCCAGTTGGTATTTTTTGATTATCTTTATAAAACTTAATAAAATAAAAAATGATACAAAAATTAAACCAACTATGTTTTCTTATTTCAAAAATTGTATACCTTTGTTATGGTTCTGTATTTAAAATGTTTTTAATTAGATCCTTTGCTTCATTTGAAATATATTTTGGAAACTTAAGATCCCCAGATATAATTTTTTTATATAATTATGCTGTATTTGAATCTTCAAAAGGTAGATATCCTGCCAACATAGCAAATAATATCACCCCAGAACTCCAAATATCAACTTAAAGTCCTTAATATCTTTTTCCAGCTATCATTTCTGGAGCAGCATAACAAGGAGATCCACAAGCTGTTTTCAATAGATCATCTTATTTATAGAAATTAGACAATCCAAAATCAATTATCTTTATTTTACCTTTTCCATCTAAAATCAAGTTTTCCGGTTTCAAATCTCTATGAACTATATGCAATTTGTGCAAATATTCAATTCCAGATATTAATTAACTGTAAAATCGAACAGCTTCAACGTCTTTAATTCTCTAATTTTAAACAATATATTAAAACAGTTCTCCTCCATTTACATATTCCATAACCAAAAATAACTATTTTGGTGTTTCTATTATCTGATAAAAACACAAAAATACTTCATATAATTATACTAAATTAGGATGTCGAATTTATTTTAAAATTTGAATCTCTCTAGTTACTCTTTCAATATCAGAAGAATCAGCTATCTTTTACTTTTCCAATATTTTAATAGCTACTTTTTCTCCTGTTAATAGATGAGTAGCCAATTTAACTTTACCGAAGGTTCCCTCGCCTAATGTTTAACCTTATTTAATTATTATTTTTATCCCTTACCAAATATATATTATCCTATAGACTTATTCTTTGTTAAATCATCTTTCATTTTTATAATATTTATTTATAATTATAACTCAAATTTTCACTTATTTCTAATTCTAAAAATTATGAACTTCAAATTCCCAGGAACTTATGCAGAACTCAAAGATACCAATTTCTCAGAATATTATAGAGTTAAATCTAAAAATTTAATCCCAAACATGGATGATCGATTAATATATATGAAAATTAATTACTTCCAAGATGAATTTCATCAAATACCTACACTTATTGAAGATGCTCAAACTTTTGATTTTCTTTATTATTTGATAGAGTAACATATAAATATAAAGCAAGATATTTGGATAAACACTAGAACTAAAAAGCTCAACTCCAATTAATTGACATTTTTTCATCTTAAATTCTCAAACTACATAATAACCATTATCAAGCATTTCAGATGACTCTCTTCTTATTATTAAATCTATTGTAATAAAAATAGATATAAGGACCTTAGGTTAAAAGATCATTAAAATAATTGAAGCAACTTTTTAGTCTAAATACTTTGGTTAATCTTGATAGAGAAGGTATCAGATATGTTTTTGATCTCATCAAAATGGCTTTAGAAATAAAAGAAACTCAAATAAGAGAAGTTTGGATTGAAGTTCTTATTTTAGCATTGACAATATGGTCAAAACATGAAACTATTCTTAAAAATACAATTGTTCATTTAATGTATGAATAAGAAAGTGTAGTTCCGAATCTAAGTAAATTCTTAGTTGCTTGTAGTAAAAATGATAAATTAAAATCATATACAATTGATTAACTAGGTTTACTTATTAATTTTATTACTGATAAATCTACAAACTAAACTGAGAGTTTGGCTGTTAAAAATCTTAGAGAATTATTAACTATATCATCTAAAGATATGCCTAAAATATATTATTAATAATTGTCATCAATGATAGGATTATATGACAATGAAAATTATCATATAAGAAGTGGTCTTTCAGATGTTATTACTAATGTTATAGAATATTTAGTTAAAGAATCTAAGGAAAATGATGATGAAGTTCTTCTTTAAAATGCTAATAATCTAACTTAATCATTAATGTCTAGACATTTAGATAAAACTGCTTTATGTAGATCTAATGTATTGTAATGTTTATCACAATTACTTAATTTAAATTGTATATAAAAGCATCATTTACCAGCTATTTTTGCCATAAGCCAATCTCGTCTAAGAGATGTCTCAGGTTATGCTAGAAAATCAGCATTATAATTATTAAAATCAGTCTCACGTTGTTATAGATATTTATATGTTCAAAGTTAAGGTAGGGATAATTTTTGGTCATTGAAAGAAATTGAAGAATAAACAAGAAACTATTAGTAAGAATTAGATAACATTCACAATGATTTTGAAAAAATAGATCTAAAATTTTAAGAAGGGCTTATTACTGAAGAATAAGTTAATGATACAATTAAAAATATTAGAAAAAAGATTTAAGAAATTAATAAGAGCTAAGAATACTTAAATGAATACAGCAAATTTCTTGATGGAATGTAATCTGCAATCACTAAAGTCTTATAACTATGTTAGAGCAAAAATCAAGCAGATGTAATACATTCAATAAAATTGTTTGCATATTTATCAAAATATTAATTTGAAGCTGCAGGTATAGGATTGAGAAGAATGATATTATTAGTTTGGTCACAAGATAAATCAATTTAATATGAAGTTATTAAAAAATTTTGGAAACTTTATTTTAAAAATAATAAAAATACTAAATAAATAATTCTATCTATAATAAACCTAATAAGTAATTCAAATTAAAAGGAATTGTTATCAATAGAAAAAATATTAGAATCATATGAGACTGAATAGGCTCCAAATTATTAATTTCCAAATAAAACATTTGGAGTTCTTTGGGATTTGTTTGGTAGACCGGAAATTAATTAAAGATCTATGTTAATCTTTGTGAGAATAATGCTGACAAGAAATTCTTCTTATTTTAATATAGAGAAAATAAGATAAATTCAAGAATTGCTTATGTCTTATAATAGAAAGGATCCTGATTGGATAATAATAAAAGAACTTTCCATAATATTATCAAAGGTAGACAGAAATTAAGAGAAAAACAAATTCTATTTAAGTAAATCAATAGAATTGCTGATTAGATTACTTATAAAGTATAAAGATACTACTGATATGAATTATTTTAGTGCATGTGATTCTATAATGTAATTAATTTCATTATTGTGTGAGAATGCTGAATAGAAATTTGAAGGTTTAATAAAAGAATTTGGATTTGAATAACCATAATAAATATTGATGGAATTAGAATAACATAGTAATAAAGATGAAATGCATTTAACTCATGCAATATATATAGCAGGATGCATTTCATTATAATTATTAGTATTGATTGACAAAACACATGATTAATTAAAATAAGTAAAAAATGATAAGGAATCAAAAATAGGGAAGGAATAAGAAATAGATAAGATTTCAGGTGGTTTGGATGGAGATTTCGAAAGATTGCATGAAGAAGTAAGTGAAATATAGGATATTAAATTGGTTTAATAGAATTTATTATCTATTTTTTCTTAACTAGTAAAAATTATAATAGAAGATTGTTTGATACAAATGGAAAGTAATTCTTCTAGTAATAAATAATAATCTCCTTTAGTTCAGGTTAGTCTAATTACAATGTGTAAGTTCATGTGTTTATCTGAATCATATTGTCGATAAAATATAGAGATGTTATTTAATATCATGAAGTAATTAGAATTGCATAAATATTTTAGATATCCTTTTTTTGATTAAGTAATAAAAAACAATGTACTAATTAGTATTGGTGATTTATTGCATATGTGGCCAAATACTGTTCAAAGGTTTCATAAACAAATATATTCAAATTTATTTGATTCAAATGGTCCTTTAAGAAGAGTAACTTTGTTGGTTCTTACTCATTTAATTTTGAATGACATGATAAAGAGTAAATCATCACTATCACATATTCCTGTATTATTGAATGATCCTTGTTAGTAAATCTAATGTATGGCTAGATACTTTTTAAACGAATTGTAAAAAAAAGAATAGAGAGCTATTTCTAATGCTATTCCAGATATCATTTTAAATATTCATGAACATAACGAAATTATTATATCTTAAATATCTATATATATAGATAAGAATCTTGTGGAATCTATTGTAGAAAAATTAATAAATATATTAGGATTCAGTTAAAGTATATTTATACCTAATATTATATATAGATTAATCAGAAATTAAAAACATATCTATATTATTCAATTATATGAATTTGAATTAAAATTCATTACAAAGATTTTTAGATGGTTGGGAATCATATAGAGAAAAATTAAAAGATCAATTTGTTTATAATCAATTTTAAACATTAATTAAAAAAGTATTTTATAGCTTACTTGATTTAGCTAAGAAGAACACTGTCTTCAGAGAGTAAAGTTTAGATTGAAGAATTTGAAATGAAAGTGGAAAACTATGATAAAGAAACCTTTGAAAATAGAAGAAGAGATAAGGTATCAAAGAGAAAATATTGTAAAACTCAATAACAAGATAAAGATGAAAAAGAATTTAAAGAAAATATTAGTAATAAAAAGTAACAATAGTAGAGGAAAATAAAAAGGAAAGATGAAGATATTATTGAAATAGAATCTAATTCTGAGGATGAAACTTCTTAAGGTTTGGTTCTTAAATAATAATAAACAAATCAAAGAGGAAGAAGAAGACTTTTTAAAAGAAATGATGAATGAATTATATCTATTACTAAATATTTATATAATAATTATATTATAAAAAAGGATGGATTAAAATTCTAATTATTTTTTCAATTCTGCTTAAAAAGATCAAAAAGAATTTTGGAATAGGAATTTTCATATATTATTGAATAGTCATGAAAATTTTGAAATTCAAAACGATAATTGTACTAGTTTTTATAAGAGAAGCAAGATTCTTAAAAAATGGATACCTCGACTATACTCTGTTCAAAGCAATTATTTATTGTATGGTGATAGTGTAAAATTATATAATTATCAAGAAACTTAAAGGTTTTAGAAGACTAGATTGTGTTTATTTAATATCAGGACTAGTAGAAGGTCCATATAAATATAAATTACAATTGATTTACTGTGGATTTTTTATAGAATTGTACACAGATCAAAAGAAGGATTTTGACAGTTTTAAGGAAATTCTTTAATCAAATTGTATACTAACTGATTTTCATACTTAATATACTTTATTAAGACAAATTGGATTTGGATCTAGTGCTCAAGTAAAAATATGTATTTTAATATAGGTTTATATTGGCAGAAGTAATTACAATCAGTAGCTTTATGCAATTAAAAGAGTTCAAAAACACTATTCAGTAAAATAAAAATAATTCGAGTAAGAATTAGCCTTGCATAATGAAATCCAAATAATGAAAGAACTTAATCATCCAAATATCATATCTTTCTATTCTGTATTTGAGACAAATAGTACTTATTAAAACTATGTTTTAAAGAACATATTAATATTGTTTTAGAATTAATCCAAGGAGGAGAGTTACTCAAACAAGGATAATACAAAAGCATAAGAGATGCAAGAATAGTTGCTAAGTAATTGGCTTTATGTTTGGATTACATGCATTAGAAGGGAATTATGCATAGAGATTTAAAGCCACAAAACATTTTATGTAAATCTAGTAGTCTTGATGTCTTAATTGCTGATTTTGGTTTGGCTACTTATATAAAGGAATAAAAATAATAATATTATCGTTGTGGAACTACTGGTTATGTTGCTCCTGAAGTATTATTATATAAAGAAGGTTCTAAAATGTACAATGAGAAATGTGATATCTTTAGTCTTGGAGTTATCTTCTATTAATTGTAATAATTATTTAAAAGTTATAAAGAATATTTAATACTCATCCATTTAAAGATAGCACAAAAGCTGGGATGTTAAAGAGAAATTTAGCTGCTGATTATAAATTGGATGAATAAACTAAAGTTCCTTAAAGTTGTAAAGATCTTATAGCCTCTATGTTAAGAATGAATCCAAAATAAAGACCTTCTGCATCTTAAATATTAAGACATGATTTCTTTAATGAAGCATTAAATGAGCTATCTTATCCAAGTTTGATTGGGTCAATTCAAGAGTAATATTATAAAATTTAATTATAGTATAAGTGACAATAAGAAATCAGGTTAATCTTTCAACTCTTAAATAGGGGAATTAAAATTATCAACATTCTAAAAAAACGGGTAGGTTTCTATCTTCGAAAAAATGCCTATTAATGTTATACCAGTTAATCAAAGTATAGAATTTAAAGAGTTATCACCTCTTTGGAATAAAAAAATAACTTTATAATAGCCTATAGCTTAACCCAGATCTAAAGCATAATCTCTATATTCTAATAAAAATCTAGATAATCGAGGATAAAAAGTATCTATATTTCGATAGCAATCTAAAAATTCAGAAAATGATATTGAATAACATTAATATCCTTATTCAACTATCATAAATAGATGTACTATTAAAAACAAATGATAAACATTAATACTCTGTTAATAATAATATTACAACTATTTTATTGTTTGTTTTAATATACTGACATTAATCTTTGATAAAATTATTTATTAATATAATTATTTTTATGGATTGTACTAAATATAGTAAATTTATTAACTTTGCCATTCCTTGAAATCCTTCAAGCCTAATTTATCAAATCTTTTTGAGATAAAAAACATATATGAGTGAATTCATCTTTTTATTGTGACGATATCAAAAGAAATTTAAATTAATATTATGAATCATTCAGACGGTGCTTAATCCCCTCCTTATTTTGGTATGTATCCATTACCCTATTGGCCAACAAGTTCACAATTACTCTTAATGATGAACTTTTAAAATCCTTTGATGAGTCCTATTCATAATTTAGGTTCTCCAATTTTAACTTCTCATTTGAGTTTCACCCAACCAACCATTAATTATGATATCAAATATGAATAAAGTAACTTTAAATCTATATTCATTTAAGATTCACAACCCAATAAAGAAACTGTATAGACTAAATAACCTTAAGAATATACTAGTCAAATTTAAATCATCGCTTAGTAATTAGAAGACATGAATTACAATCATATAACTATAGAAAATCTAGAACAATTGATCCATTTATTGTTTGCTGAATCACCAAAACTTAAAAAGATCTAATAATAACTTAAAGAAAAAAAATGTCTTAAAGTTTTCAAAATTCTAGAAAGTTTAGCAAAAAAAATAAGAAAACAGTCTAAAAGTAGAGAAGAATTAATTAAATTTTGTCTTAGAAAAGCCTTTAGAGAAATTTTTCATAAAATTCAAGAAAAAAGTACTAAAACAAGTAATCAAATCTTTATATTTAGAACTTAATCTAAAAGCAGCATCCAAAATATTTTAGTAAACCTATTAGGCAGAAAAAATGAAATCTATATCATTACCATTCAGAAAAAATAGTAAAAATAAAACTATGAACAATCATTTTCTTCATGAGTTGTTCTAATCTAAATAGTTTTAAGATCAATATAAAACATTCCTTGGTATATTTTATTTTTATATATTATTTAGAAAATTTAGATACTATCATTGAGAAAGATAGAAGTAAAAAAATAAAAGCAATAGCAGAAAAATCTTGGGAATTTATATCATCTAACAGAAAAGTATAATAAATTTTTAATATATTTATAGTCATATACTTTCAAAAGATTGCCATGGTCAATAAAAAATATAGAAAAATTGAAAGAAACAGCAAATGAGTTGCTAAATTACTGTGATGATTAAAAATTTAATTGAATAAAATGATTATTAACATATGAAAACACATGATTTAATTTAAAGATTAATATTATTAATGATAATCAACACAAATCACATTAAAATTAAGAAAATACTTAAAAATCTTTCTAAATTTTTTAAGGTATTTTTCAGATTTTTCATAAGTTTCAATAAGGATTTTTTTAATTAAATTCTCTACAATTATTTTTTTTCCTTTTTTTTATCAAAGAATAATTATAAAATATTGTTCCTCATAATGCTAAATACAAATAAGATATTTATCTTCTCATTCATCAATAAATTATATTTATAAAATTTTGTGATGGTTATTCTAAAAAATTAAATAATTATAAATCCAAATCATTATTTATAATTAGCAATAATGATATTGAATTGTAATTCATCGCTGGATTTAATTTCTTTAAACTAAAAAAAAACTTAAAAAAAATATTTTTCAGAAAGAGAACAACAAACTCTTTTTTAAAATATGCTGTTTTAGAATGTAAAATTTATTTTACTTACTTCTTTGAAGAAATATAAATTCATTTTATTTTATATTTCATAATTATTTAATTTATATAATTATATATTTATAAATTATTTAAGAAATTTTTTATAATAACAATATAAAATAATTAACAAATTTATAAAAGAAATGATTAGAAATTAATAAAAGATATATAGAAGAAATAAGAATTCAATATTACAATTAGTATTTAAGAGTTGAAGCTATAGATAGAAATACAGCAAATAAGTAATACTTATGATAAATAAATATGATTCAGATATAAAAAAGAGAATTATTGGATATCTTGAATATATTATAGGATGTCTATGATTTTTTGCTAATAAAATTAAGAATTATAAAGTGATTATTATTAATAAGATGAGTAACAAGAAAAATAATGGATATAATAATGAAGGATTGCTGAGACTAATAAAATAAAAAGCTACACTATTAATATTCCTCTATGTATGATTGAATAAGTGATTAGTTTTCTTCAGTAAGTGTTAAATTTGACATAATCATCAGAGATCCAGCATTTGAAATAAGTAGATCTAAATAATTTAAATAATTTAAATAATTTAAATAATTTAGCTGATGAATCAAAAACATCTTAGTAATCTTAAAAGAGAAGGGGAAAATGGAAATATGTATCATCTGTTTCTAGTTCTAATGAATTTAAAGATTTTAAGACAATAAATGGTTGTTGTAAAAAATTGAAAAACTGTTTTCAAGAAAAGGATAAGAAGCAAAAGTAAAAATATAATAATTAATTATAATTAATCTTGTTTATGTTAAGTTCCAAGAGCTGTTAGAAAGAAGCATCTTACTGTATATGGTTGTTAATATTGTGGATATCATGGAAGTGATCCTAAAGATAAGAAAAAAGAAAAGGTTCAAAAAATAGTGGTAGTATCAAAAGAAATTATTGAGTAGAATCATAATAATTATCGAAATGCTCGTAATTTTAGGTTATGATGTTAGCTTTATTTTAATTACTTAATGCATAAAATCTAAATCTAGCCTTTTTAGGAATTAAAATACTTTATATATATGGGAAAGAATAAAGACGTTGAGAATAAAAGCATATAAATTTATTTATAATCTAAAACTTTTTAATCACTTTATTGACTAGAACTTAGTAATTTTATTATACAATAGATTAAATAATTTAATTATGGAAATAATTCAAAAAAAGTATCTATAAATGTAATATTTATATGCACTAATACCTTACTTAAAGTTTAATCAGATCCACTAGAAATACTTTTCTTAAATAGATGAGTCAATAAATATGATAAAGCTATTGATTTTTCATTTCAATATTTCAAGTAGAAAATATACTCCTTGAATGTTCCGCCCATGAAAACAACAAAAATTTACTAAATAACAATAGTTAATGCAATAATAAAAAGAAATGGTTAAATCATCTCTTTTTTGTAAATGAATTACAAAAGTTATTTATAAAATATAATCATTTAACTATTATCTTCAAAATTAAATCTCCTTTTCTATCTATTCTTTTCTGTTTAAAAAAGTCTTATCTTTTTTTTTTATTTCCATTATGTAAAAATTTAAAAACTTATATAAATGGTTTTACAAATAATATCTAAAAATATTTTATGTCTGAACTATCTAATTTTTTATTTTAGTGATTAAGAATAGTCTTAGATTAATCATTTTAATTCTCCAATTAACATAAAATGATAATAGTACTGTTTCTTATCGACATTTTGAAATTCATCTTCAAATTTGTTACAATTTCTTCTATTTAATTTCTGTATTTACATAATCTAAATTAGAGGCTTTAAATATTTATTAAACAATTGGAATTAATATTCCTAATTTTAAAATTTCCTTATTATATTATCAATATAAATTTATATTTCATTCTTTCTTCTTATAATTCATAAAATCAACTTCATCTACTTTCATGATGCTATTGTTTTTCAATACTTTATTATTCTCAATAATTTCAATTTTAAATTATTCAAAACTTTAATTGAACTTTTTAAGTTGAGTTGATGTACTCAAAGACAATTTTTTAATAGAATCATGTTCACTTTTGAGAAATCTTAAATGAAAATCTTATTTTTAATGAGATATTTCTGTATTTAAAGAGTTTGATAGATTTCGAATCTTTTTTGGTTTTTAATTATCTTCTTCATGTTCTTGTTCTTATAAATCCATTTATTAGAACACATTTTTTAATTTATTTAAAGTATCTTATCCTTAAAAAGTAACCAAAACTTAATTTTCATCATCAGAATCTTCATTATTTTTAAGACTATCAAAAGGTGATGGTTTATTAAAACAATCTAAAAAGATATTACATTCAGGCTATAAAAGATCATCAAATTAATCTTCTTGAATTGCTGAAATAATAAAGGGAGAATCAATTGATGGTGTTATCTAATCTTCCCCTAATTTTAGTTTATGTTTGTCTTCATATTTTTCAATTTGCTCTTTTATTGTGTTCCATGTTTTAGATTGTTTTAATGCAGATTCTATTATCTTTAATTCATTATAATATGGTAAAAAATCGCTATCTCTTATAAGTTTTATTTATAGCTATTATTCATAAGCATATAATTATCTATTAATTCTTTTGATTTATTAAATCTAAAGTTTATATTTAGTCAATAATTATAAACACCAAAAAGGATGAAAATCACTTAGGGCTCTATCTAAAATAAAAGCAATCATATTGTAAACATATTAAATAAAAATATCTGATTAATTAAATTTCTTAACTAAATTGATTATGACTTCCATTACATTAGATTAATCAATCCTTTACCATAATTCTATATCAGATATTCTTACAATATTATCTATAATCTAAAATTTAATAATTTAATATTATATACTTCTATTAATTTAACATCCAACAAGCTTATTTTAGAATTTCTAGTTAGAGTATTCTCTAAGATGTTTTTTATGCTTGTAACATTGAAGTATCTAAAAAACTCTGTTTTTCTAAATTCCTCAGTAATTGGATAATTGTATGGTTCATCCAAATACAAATTTTGTAAATCCAATGAATAATAATTTGAGATCAAAGAAATAATATGGGCAGCATTCTTACGAACTCTTTATATTTATATACATTACATAAAATGAAATGTCTCTTTCTAAATAATATCATTTGCTATAATCATAACTTAACTCGAAACCAAATATTACATTAACTATTTAGTTTGAATTCTAACCATTATCTCATGGATTATAAATGTAAAGTTTATTGCTGAAAATTAATCAAATGAGTAATATTATTAGATACCAATCTGCAGAAATTCTAATTGCTAAGGATGAAATTAGTTTTCGAAGTATATCAATATTAGTTGAGCAACACTATTATTATATAAATATGGTAAAAAATATTAAAGTAATTAATAGTTGCCATTTAATGATTTTGTTATCAATATTTAGGATCTTTTTTAAATTAGTTTTAATATTTTGAATGCTGAAGTCCATTAAACATCTGGTATAATAGGATATGTAAATAGGTCATAAAAAATATGAAAGTGAATCTAAAAATTTAGAGTCTTTAAATTACTTCAATCTCTTCTAAGATTTCTTCAATATTAAGTTCTAAGATTTCCCAAACAGTTGTAATAAGATTAGAATAAATATCATATTGAGTTTGTTGAATTTCTTGATAATTTACAAATAGGATTTGTAATAATTATTTTGCATTTAGTGACAAAAATTGGATAGTTTTTTTATCTGATGCTTGTATATATTTAGTGAATGTTTCATTAAGTAGCAAAATTGTGAGATCTGAATTGCTTTCCTAAATCAATTATTCAATGATATAAATTTTTTTATCAATGCTCATATTATTTATATATAATATCTCAATAACGTCTTGCATAACTTCTTGTTGTGGTTGTGGATGTTTAATTCATAATTTAGGAAGATGATGTTTGTTATGCTGGTTATTAAATTGATGAACTAGACTGATAGATTGATGAAGCTGTCACTGGTTTTTGAGTGCTTGATTATTAGGCTTATTAAGCGGTAGGAAATAGATTTTATCTAATACCACTAGATCTTACAGATTGAGTATCCTCTATCTATTAATATGATGATTAAGGTTATTTTATCACTTAAGTAGTTATTGTTGTTGTAAATTAATTAGATTAATTTGCACTTTAAGCAGGATTATCCTATCTTAAATCTTTTACTACTGTAGCGTATTTGTTATTCCAAGTTTATAAGTCCTAAATTATAAATATATTATATTACAGCTGTTTAATTAGAAATAATATTCTATTATCTCTTTATCTCATTTTATAAATCATTAATTTATTGGCTCAATTTTTTCATATCATTTTATTGATTATCAAAACTCTTCTTACTTGTATTTAAATCTGAATTCAAGCTATTCACCTTTGCTTCTAATTCTTTCTTTAATTTTTCAAGATTTGATGTATCCTATTAGAATTTGTCAAGTTTCTTTTTCAAATCATCTAATTCTCTATCCTTTGCTTAAATTGCTTATTACAATTTGCTAATTTCTGTATTGTCTTTCTTAACCTTTTATAATTCAATATCCATTTAATTGAATCTAAAATCAATATAAGTAATTACTTCTTTTTAATATCTTCATTCTCCTTTGATCTTTAAGCTATTTAATCCTATAAAGTCTTCAAATCATTTGGATTAGTATTATCTATGATTTTAACTTATTTAACAACTGCTTCTTACTTAGTAATTTATGTCTTAAGGGAATTAATTTCATTATCTTTAGCTGCAAATTTATTTTTTAATTATTCGAATTCTCCATTAACAGAATTGTATAATTATTAAAATTATGCTTTTTATTTATTAGCATCATCTGCTGCCAATTATAAATCTGCTAATTTTTATCTTAAATCTCCCAATTCTTTAGTTTATTAATCAATTATTTATTTTAATCTTTAATTTTCAGCCTCTAATGGTTTCAATTAAGCAATTTATCCTTCTAAAGTTGATACAGTCTTAGATTAAACTGCATTCTCATCATTCTTAACTTAAATTTATTTTCCTAATTATTCTATTTCAGCTTATAATTTAGCAATTCTATCTAATAGACTGTCTCTTTCAACAACTAATTATTTAGCTTATCTATCTAATTAAGTCATTTGATCCCTTAAATCAGCTGTCACCAAACACCTAATATTAAATAATAAAAAATAAATACTCTCTTTCGTAAAGAGCTTTATATTTAATGAATTCATTTTAGAATCCATTTAATTGTTCAATAACTTTTTACATAGAATTCATTTCAGTAACTTAGGAATTAAATTTATTAGTCAAATCTGTTAATTATTATCTCAATTTATTATTTTCATCTAATAATTTTTATAATTAAGCTTATAAATCTCCAATTTATTTTTATCTCTATAAATCTAATTATTAAAGTTAATTTTATAAATCATTTACATGTTATTCTAATTCACTTATATAATTATCTTTTTCAGTTGAAGAATTGATATTCATTTATTATAAATTTGTAATCTAAGTTTATAATAAATTATATTGTTATTGCAATTTGTTATAAAGATCTTGAATATTTCTCAATTTATTTAATTCAGCCTATAATTATCTTAATAATGCATTGAGATCATCAATTTCTTTATCTTTTTGTTCATTCTATTATTGCAATTTGGCTAATTGATCTTATAATAATTATTGCTATCTTTCCAAATCAGCAATTTCTTGATTAACTTCTTCTACATTTCCAGCTCTCAATTCTAACATTTAATCTTATTGTAGAGATTCTGCTTTTAATCTTTATAAGTACTCAACTTCAAGAAGCAAATACTTATACTTACTTTCATAATATTCTTTTTCTCTTCTTAATCTATCATTATCTACTCCAATTTTGTTAAGATCTGTCTTTACATTTTCTCTATTTTAAACTTCTTCTTATCTTACATTATCTAATTTGTTATTTGATAATTGTAATTAATTAACTTAACTAGCTTCTAAAGATTTATCAAAATATCTTCCATAAAGATCTTCATATTCTTTTGTTTTAACATTTAACTGTTAAATTAATTCTTATGTATGTTATCTTAATAAAATGATTGTTTATTCTAATTCTGGAATTCTCGCTTCCAAATGTTTTAAATCAAAAATAGTTTGATTAAGATCATTCATTTTTGCTCTCATTTATTCGTTTTCTTCAACTTTCATATTCAATTAAGTTTTCAATCTATCTATTTCTTAGATATATAAATGCTTCTCATTTTCAAGGATATAAATATGATTATTTAATTATTCAATTTACTACTTTAGTTTTTAGATTTATTAATATTAATCAAAGTTTTATGTTTAAAGATCTTATATTTATTTTCTTAATTGATTTATTTCATCTTAATCAACTATATGTTCAATTTAAGGTGGTGGTTAATGTAATTATCTTTATTTTAATCTCTCAATTTCTAATTCTAATTATCTAGCTCTAATTTATTCTTGTTTTAAGAGCTCAGCTGTAAATTATAAATCTGATACTAATTACTCAGATTGTAAATACTTATCCTTCCAATTTTTAATTAATTATTCTTTCTACTAAATCTCCAATTATAATTCATTCAAATAACCTTCATATTATAATCTTTACTATTCAAATTATCTATCTTTTGCTTATAAGTCTAATTCTTAAGATAAATTAATTTATCTTAATTTATTTAATTCATCTTTTAATTCTTTAATTTCTTTTTCCAATAATGCATTTTTCTCTTAAGCATCAGCTAATAATTATTAAATATCATGAAGAGTTTTATCTAATTAATCAGCATCTCTTTCAAATTGATTTCTTTCATTTCTTACCTTCTATAATTATTCATTTAAATGATCATTAATTTGTAATAATCTTTAATTATCTAGTTTGACTTCATCAAGTTCTCCCTATAATGTATGATATTAATTATCAAGAGCAAGATTTTCATTTTATAATTATCCAAATTATGTTTATAAGATTCCCTTCTCTGAAATAGCATCAGCTAAAAGATTTCTCAAAGTTGATATTTCATCTTCTAAGAATGGAATCTATTTCAATTAAGCTTCTTATTAAGCTTTAATGAATGAAAGTTCTTCAACTTCCAATAATCTATTTTAAATTTCACTTTTCAAATGATCAACTTCATCTCTAAGTAATTACTTCTCTGATTCAAGAACTTATACTTCTCCTTTATATAAACGTAAAGCTCCTACTTCTTTCAAAGCAGCTGCTAATTTGTCTTTACATGTTTTAAGTTCTTATACTTTGAAATGAACTTATTGTTTAAGATTTTCAACTTCCAATTTCAATGCTTAAAGTTGATTTAGTTGAGTTTATAATTAATCAATGATATCATCTTATTATTTGATTTTATCATCTCTCAGATTAATTCTTTCTTATTTTGATTATAATTCTTATTATAAAGTTTTGATTGTTCCTTATAAAGAATCAATACTTGCATTTTCGGTTCTCAATTAAATATTAACTTTTTCAAGTGATGAATATTTTAATCTCCAACCATCTAATTCAGCTTCTCTTTATTTAAGAAGAGATTATAATCTATCGATTTCACTTTACATCTATAATAATTTATTTTCAGTTACAATAGTAACTGATGATCCACCTTATAATTTAAATAATTCAGCATCTCTAGTTTATAAATCATGATTTAAATCAGCAATTTATTACAATTTAAGATCTAATTAATGTTATAAATTATGTAGATCAGATCTTAATGATTCAATTATAGTTGTCTATTCTCTTAATTCAGATACTTATGATTATAATTTACCTAATTCTTCCATCAATCTTTTAATTTCTTCATTCAATCTACCATTTTCATCATGAAGTTATTAAACATCATTTTCTAATTCTTAATTTCTAGCTTATTCTGCTTATATTAAAGTCTCATAATCAATTGCTTTTCCTCTCCAATCTTCACATTCTTATTATGATTAAGATAAATCTTATTTCAATTTTAGTATTTATTAATGTAATCCTTCAACATCTACTCTTTGTTAAGGTACTTCCTTTGTTTATTATCCTAATTATCCTTACAATTATCTCAATTCTACAATTTATATAATAATTTTATACAATCTTCTAAATCTTTTTTATCTTTTTCAGCTCTTAAACACCTCTCTTTCCAATTATTCAATTCCTATTATAATCTACTGATTCTTTATTCGTTTTCTTGAATAATCTTATCTGTGTTTTAGATAGTACTTATCTATTTTTCTATAGTAATATAACGAGTTTTCCACTCATTAACTTATTTCTTAGATGAATCCAACTGCTTTTGTAATCTCTAAATTTCGTCATTCTGATTCTTCTCAATACGAAAATGTTATTCTAATTCATTTATCTTTATTCTTGCTTAGTCTAGATCTCCTATCTTCTATTTCAATTATTGATTCAATTTCTTATTCTCTCCAATCAATATATCAACTCTATTTTATAATTGTTAAATCTAAAATCAAATCAATTTATACAGTTTCTTCATAAGATGTATTTCTATCTAGTTCAGCTTAGAGCTCTAGATATTTCTTTCGCCATAAATCTATCTCTTTTTACTGTTCAGCAATTCTTTATTCACAATGAGAATGATCTGCTTCTTTAACAATTACTTAAGTCTTGACCTTAGTAACTGGTTACTCTTATCTTACTGATCCCTTCTATTCTCTTACGATATATTCTCCTAATAAATGTTCAATTATTACAAGTCACTGGCTGCATAGGCACTATTGTTTCTTAAATAGGAATTACGGTTGTCTCTCTAGGATTCTATGATGTTCTCGGTGGAGATACAAAATGACGAACAGATGCTGGCAATACTCTGCTCATTAAAATTTATTTTAATTAATAAATATCTATTTTTTAGAGGTAATTAAAACTTGAAAAAACTTCCATCTTTTATCAGAAAAAGTCGTTATTCTCATCTTAATCCATCATTTTATATATTATTTAATAGCTGAATTTTATATCCAATTATCAATCATTTCTACACTAATACATCATTTTCTTATTTTAATTTAATAAATCATTTCATTTTCTTAATTTAATTATTTATGTAAATTTTATAAAAATCATATATTCCTAAAGCTACCCAAATTATTTAAGTCATAGAATTTCTTACAGAATATTTGCCTAAATTCTCAGATAGTAATTTATTACATTAAATCAAGAAAGAATTTACTAATATTTCTTAATACTTGAATTCTTGAAATTATTTGTTAAATTGAGAAAATGGCATTATATTGATTAATATGGATTAATGATATCCGACTATAATAAATTTGGATAAGCTGATCATCAAGAAGATTAGGCTATCAATTTATTTTAATAAAAATGGGGAGGATTATAAAAAGATCTTCCTATTGTTGATTTTAAATCAGCATAAGAACAACTACACAAATAAAAATAATTTTTACCAGAATTCAATTAAGGACAATATGATATTATTGGAGATAAGTAAATACCAATAATTAAAACACTTCCCATTCCTAACAATTTAAAAAAAAGAGAATATGAATCTTAAATCAATCTCCTAAGAGTAATACTATTATTGAACTGTAGATTTAAATTGGTGAAATACTGTTTCTATTACGTCCTATAATTTATTGTTCATTCATTTTAAAGTTTGGAACTCAAAGCTACTCACCCTATTTGATATCATTATCCCTTGATATCTTGAGATTTCTAATTCAATTCAAAATTCAGATATTTAGAAAAAGTTAGAAGGAAGAACTTTAATTAAGAGTTAAAGATACCATTGTAATTATTCTTGATATTTCAGATATGCTATCTTCTTAGAAATCCATTTTATACTCAAATTCTAAAGTAGAAATGTTTAAACAAAATATTAGGATTATTTATTAAAGAAGAAAATCTACTTTATCAACTCATTATTGGGTTATTAGACCTAAGATCATCTAAATGTTTTTTATTATGAAATTATGTCTTTATATATTAAAATAAATTTTATTAATATTATAATGACTTTATATTATAATAAATTTTATTAAATGTAATAGTAAATCATAATTTAGTTTTCAAAGATTTTTACTACGAAATCAATTGATTAATTTATTAGTTTATATCCTTAATTTAAGCCAAAATTGAAATTAATTATTATCTTAATGTTTATTTAACTCTCATGTCTGTTTCAATTTATGCTTATTTTACAATTTAATCGTATTTCTAATCAAGTTCTTCTAACATCAATTCTAATTTGATTATTTATCTTGAAATATTTTCATATTCTTAAGTATCCTCATTATTCTTTTTAATAATTATAATGCTATTATCATCATCAGTTGTTTATTTAACTTGCTCTTATTCTGAATTGGGCATCTGAGTAATTGAAACTTTTTTAACTTATTTTTTATTAGATGTTTATTAGTATTAATCTTTTGAATCTTGTCTTTAGACCAATAATTATAATTCAAAAATCTTACCATTCAATTATTCAATTTATTTATGTTTTTGTGATTCAATTCTTTCATATTATAATTTTAACAATTATAAATCTGAAAGCTATTAAGAATTTGACAATTTTTCTTCTTCTAATTAAGCTAATAAATCACTATTCTTAGTTTATAATTATTTAATCTCAAACTCCATTTATTAGAATTTATCCACTGGATATTATGTAGTATACCATTCTAAATATTATTGTAATTCTTAAATTTATTCTTTATATAATTTTATGTCTGAATTCATTTTTTACATACTATCATTCCATTATTTACTGCTTTTTACAAATGTATCCAATTATAATTAATAATTAAGAGTCAACTATTGAATAAATATAATAATTTTACTTATTTTTCTTTTTGTAATTATTAATTTAATTAAGCAATCTTTTTTTTATAACTTTCATTAGTTTCTAAATTCAAATTCAATTTTTATGTTCTATTTAAGATTATTTCATTACATATTACAAATTTCTTCTGCTAATTCTCTAATTTTTGATTCATTTTAACTAATTTAAAATTTATAATCTGAATGAATATAGGCAATTTTATCTTCATTTTCGATTTCTGATTATCTTAACTTTTTATCAAGTTCTTTAATTTTTTAATCTTTATCATCATTTTTATCTTTTTAAAAGATTTCATTCTTAGTCATAGTACTTAAAAGCTTTTCAACTTTATTTCTTTATTTACTTTTCACATGAGCAGTTGTACAATAATTTTATGATATATTCTATAAATGTTTAATGATTTGATCATACAATTTATTCATTTAAAATACCATTTTCTCCTTCTAAAGTTCTTATTCTATCTTATAAAGCTCTCATAGCCTTTAAATAACTAGGTGACATAGGTTAACTAACAGATAGTTTTTTATCAATAGATTCTTCTGATTTAATTTTCGAAGTAAAAACACTAGTTCCAAGATTGAAAGAAGAATAATATTTTTTTGGATCTATTTTATTCTTAATTTATTGAACTAGGAATTTAGTTTAAAAACTATCTGCTTTCATATATGTTTGTTATAAATTAATAAATTAAATAATCAAATAATTTTTCTTCTTTTATCTCTAAAGTAAATAACAACAAGCACAATAATTGAACATAAACATATAAAAGCTCCAGCAAAATATGATCCAACAAGAACCTATTATAAAATATCAATTTAACCATATTTTTTTATCCAAATATTGTTGTAGTTGTCATAAAGAAACTTTTAACCATATCAGATGAATATAATTATTCATCATAAGCTAATAAATTAATTAAAGTAATTATTACTATTATTAACAATTAATGTATATTATCCTTTTACTAAATCATTTTTAATTCTTCCCCATAATTTTTTTAATCTTCCCTAACCTGCTGTTCTCATCCAAACCATAAAATGTTCTTTAGTTCAATTTAAACATTTTACCATCTTCTATATTAGTCCAAGCAAACTTTTCCCATCCTTCTGGATTTTTAAAATTATATTCTCTATCACTTTCCCAAGCTATATCACTTTCATCTATATTAATTAATTCTCCTTTCGAACTTTTTAATTTAAATGTATCAGTAAAATAAGTATAAGCTATTTCACCACAAGGAAAGGCATTTTCACTCTTTTTTAATGTACTTCCATCATAAGATTGTACTTTAACTGTATTTTTATTTATAAAACAGTACTACCCATTTCAGAATTAGTTTAATAATCTCCACAATTAGAAAGATCAGCATCTACATTTCCTTTTAATTATTCAACAGATTTTGATTTGAAATAATTTCTATTTCTTCTATAAAAATTTTCCAGTTGATAATATACAAATATTGGTGCTGTCATATCACTTGATATTTCTATTTATATTTCACAATTTAATTCATTTTTTGTACATTATGATCCATAATATACATCTTTTTCTACTATTTGTAAATTGTAAACTAAAAATATTATTGCGAAAACCAATAAAAATATTCCTATGTTACAAAATTCATACCAATTATACTAAATATTATCAGGTTTCTTTTAAAATTCTTATGAAATTTCCATTTTTTAATGGCAATATTCAAAAATTCTTCTTAATCTTCTCTAAATTATTTTGAAAATGAGTTAGAATATTCAGCCATTAATATTATTAAATATATAAAACTTGAAATATTATTCATATTCATCTTTCCTCAAAATATATGAAACCTTTGAATGTTTGAAAAAAAATAAAGTTTCAAAAAATCCTTATAAAGTTTTGTTAATTTCAAGGAAGAATAGTATATTCATAGTAATTAAATGAAAAAATAGAAATAAGTCTAAACTTTATTTAAGTACTATCAATCTGATGAATATGAAATGGAGCAAGAAAGAAAACCAATAGAAATAATATCATACATAAAATTAAATGAAGAATATCAGATTTTTGAACTAATCTTAGAAAATTGTCCTACATTTATATTAGATGCTTAAACTTCCTTATAATTGGAGAAATTATAATCATTGATATATTTGGGTATAAATGGATGTTAAATAAAATCTTTAATTCATTTGCCTTTAATAGATAGTTTAAAAAGATTAACATTAGATAATAATTATTTAAAAGGAGAACAACTAAAATGTATAGGATATTATAAAGATAAATTACTTTCATTATCCTTAATTAATAATCAAATAAAAATATATCCTGGATCTACTTCATTATAGCATCTCTAATAAATGTTTGCTTTGAAACAATTAAGTTTAATAGGCAATATATTTTCATTAGATGATGATGATTCAACAATACCAAAAGAAGAATCTGAATATGTTTAAATGAGAAATCATATATTTGATTTACTTCCTAATCTAATCTATTTAGATTGTATAGAAAAATCAAAATTAATATAAGATGAAAAGATCTTTAATAATTATAATGAAGAAAATGAATATTTATCCTTATATGCTAGTAAATCAGTTACTTAATATGAAACAAGTAGAAGTTAAAGTATCATTTCGACAAGAAGGAATGGAATTCCAAGAGTCAAGGAAGATTCTGATCTATAATAATAAGAAGATAAAAAATCATCTACTAGATAATTAAGATCGTAAAAAAGAAAAGTTTATGTTTATGATTGATTCTTCTTATTCATAATTTTTATTCTATATTATTTCTCAATTTTTTACCTTTTATTCGGAATATTTATTAATCTAAGTAATTTTAGATTTTCATAATAGAAATATTTAATTAAAAAGAGTTTCGATTATTATATATCAACACATTAAATATTGATGAATAAATTAAGATTATTATAAGAAAAAGAAGTGCAATCTCTTTCAACTTTATAACCGTTTGTACCTTTCATTAAAGAAAGAGATTCTTTAGGTAAACTACAAACTATTCACAAACGAAATGATTCAGATAAATAAGTAATTAAAAGGAAATCTAATAAAAATGTAAGAAATATATTAATTAAAACAAAAGAACATTATAATTAGTAAAAGCGTACATACTAAATCAAAACTTAATTTTTTAAAAGATGTATACACAATTAATCATAATTCTGTATGGGCTAATTTAACTAATGTTTCTAGATTAGAAAAAAAATTCAACTTGAATATTCAGACTGAATTTGTTGAACAGAAACCTCTTCAATTATTAAACTAAAAATTATAATTAAATGATGGTTTTGTTTAACATAGAGCTAACACTTAATTAAATAATTCTCCAAAATTAGGAAAAAATCTAAGTATGAATACTATTCCTCCTATTGGGTATTATTAACCAAAAGATATTTAAATTAAAAAATAACCTATGTTTGTTAAAATGAGTCTGTAATAAGAAACAAGCAGATTAATTAAAATAGTAAAAACAGAATGTTCGTAGACAACTAAAATTCCTAAATTGGAATTCTTAAATATAAATTTATAAAAAAAAAAAGTTCCATAAGAGTTGTTTGATAAAGCCTATTTAACAGAGAGAATGTCAACAGAATATCGGTTTAGATACACACCTTTGCATTTTGATAATAAAGAAATAGAGCTATAATAGTCTAAGATAAAATAATTAAGATAATTTTATCAATTAATGAAAAATAATATTTCTTGAACCCATATTTAATATTTTTTTAATATTATTTTATTCTCTTTATTATAATTAATTATTTAAACAATTAACATCAAATTTATCTTAGAAAATTATGGTCTATTTTCAATTTATAATTTTATTTTATCCATCTTATAATTTTATTTAAAATCTAGTCCATATTATAAATAATTTTATTTAATTGATTTTCTATAAGAAAACTTAGATTAAATCTTTAAATAAAATAAATGAAGGTTCAATATATAAAGTTTTTATATGATGCCCATTGATTATTGACTTAATAAAAGTAAAAAAATCTTAAACATCAAGTTTGAATCTTTCAATAACAATACTAAATTTATATGCTCATTATTAATTATATGGATAATGCAAATTAATTATTAGATTTTGAACCCCAAAATTCTAAATCAACTAAATTAATACTATTTTGAAACTTCTATTTCTTGGATAAAAATTTTATTAAAAGAAAAATCCATTTCTTGTTAATAAATTATATATATCTTTAAACTTAAATACAATCTTAAAGCTCTCTCAACTAACAGGTATTCATATTTGTATCCTGCAAATATATCTTCATAGTTGTCTCCTAGAAATTCTAACTTTGGAATAAATTATTCAGAAAATTATTATAATTCAACTTAGTTTTATCCACTTTAGATTTCATAAGAATCAGAAAAATAATTAGCTGGAACTTAATCTAAAAAGAAATCTTCCACATAAACTTTTTCTTCAAATACTTATTTTACATTTAAATCAGTTTTAATTTATTCCTATGATTCTTTTTTAATTAATCGTTTTGTTTCCAAGCTTTCAGATTCCTTTTCTCTTCTTGATTATTACTCCTATTTAAATTTGACTTCTTATAATTTAGATAAGCATCCTTATTCCTACAAAATAGTTTGAACTTTAAATTTAATATCATATTCTGAAAGAAATTTATCCATCCACATTTTTGATGCTTTGAATGTATCACTATTGAAGATTTCTAAAGCTTTAGATTTTATTTAATCTCTGGTAATCTTCTTCCCTTCTTTTTTTGTTTCACATAAGATCCATTTTTCAAGTTCTGCAACAGCTTAAGGATTAACTCTTTTTCTTCCACATCCTGATTTTCTCACATATCCTTAATTAAACCATCTTTTTAAATTTCTTATAGTAGTATTATATTTATGACTCTGAATTTCAAAGTTTTCATCTGAAGGATTAGCTGCTAATGCTTCAATAGCTTCTTTTTTTTCATCTGTACTCAAAATATTGTAATAATTTTTTTCTTATCAAATTATTGAATTTTAAAATTAGCTTGAGATATGATGATTTTTTAAATGTTTTAAGGTTTTATGTTCTTAAAACATTGTTTATTCTTCTGAAAAAATAAATGCATATAAAATTTTTTAAGTTATTAGTATTTAATTTATTTTTTATTTTCCTGATACCATCGATCTTCCCTCTCGGTTTAAACTTATTTAAATCCTACTGGTTTTGTTTTTTTATATATTAGATTTAATTTATTTGTTATTTGTTTTTACCTGTGTCTCATCAATTTGAATTCCAAATCTTTATTAATTATATCTCTATTGATTCTTATCGGTTCATCTAAAAAATTTCCATTTTTATCAAAACTACTAGGCAATATTTCAGTAATATTCTATTTTATTATCAAAGGTTACTTAATAAAAATATTAAAATGGCAATAAACTTAATGAATTATTACAAAAATAGCATAAACTTGTATTTAAGTAATTATTACTATACATATCTATTATTATTAATTATCTAAAAAAAAATTCTAAATTCTAAAAATTATTTTCAATTTAACAATCTATTTGTTGAATTTAGAATACTGGTAAATAATAGATTCTTAATATATAAAAATTACATTTCTTCAAATAAACAAGTATTTGGAATAAAAATATTATTATATATATAGATGATAGAATTACTTAAATTTAAAAAAAATTTTAGAGATTAAATACTAATTATCTATTAATTTTAATATCAAATACCTCAAAAATACAAGATGGAATTGGATTTTAAAGAATCTTATATTTGTGAAATTTGTAAAGTTTATGTATAAAAATCATTTGAATAAATTCATTTGGCAAATTGTCAATTAAATAAAAATGTAAGTATTTGAAAAAATAATTTAGGAAAATTTGTTTTGGAATAAAAATATATAAAACAAAATAGCTTCAAATAAAACTAATAAATTATATAAATCTTAATTTAATTTTAATGGTATGAATCAAAATTCTACACCTCAAGTTTAATTTATAACTATGAATAATTAACAGGGAAATTTAAATAAGGAAGGAGAAAATATTTAATAGCCTTTGCAAATTATTTAAAAGCCACAATTCTAAATTAATTAGAGAAATGGCAATTAAATACCTGTAAAATCATTCAACTAATAGGGATAAAATTTAGAAATTAAGTTAAAGGAATTCAATAAATTTGAGGAAGATTCCAAATAATCTAATGAGCAAACTAAGTAAGAACAATTTCAATTTTAAAGATTACCACAGATCTAATTCTCTTAAAAAAATGAATACAAAAACTAAATTCTATTAAATTATTAATAATAAAATAAAAATTTTTCTTAATTTAATAATGAATAAATATTTAATTAGAATATAAATAACTAGTAATAATAAGAAGGAAAATTATTGACTTTTAAAAATTAATTGGAAAATTAAGAGTAAATTTAGTAAACACAAAACCCAAATCAAAAAGATTTTAGTATGAAAATTTAATTTTAAAATAATTTTGAAAAACCATAGTTTCCATAAAAATCTTCATAAATGAATAATTCAACTCAAAATATCATTTTTAATTAAAAAAAGAATTTAGAGTAAAATCAAACATAAAAATAACAGTCCTAATAATAATAATTTTAACAATAATAATAAAAAATTGAGTAAAATAATTAGCAATTTCCATACCATAATAAATTTTAAACATCTTTATTCTAGACATAAACAGTAAATAATAATAATTATGTTTAATTTAATAAATCAAATAATAGTATACATTAATTCTCTGTTCCTTAAAATCAATTTAATATTTAACCAGCTCCTTAAAATTACTAATTTTAATCTTTGTTCCTAAATAGATTTTAGGATGATCAAATTTAGATTTCTGGTAAAGGTTTGCCTAATTTTGATGTAAATAAAAAATACTCAGATTATGATGTAAATCAAATGAACTAAGAATAAATTTACTAATATTTTTCAAATTTATTAATAAATGAAGATCATGGTTACACAGAAGATTAAATAAATCAAAAACTTTATCAAAATTTTTAGATATAAGTAGAAGATAATACAATTGATATTTGTGTAATATGTTAGGAATCCTTTACTTAGGAAACATTTACAACAGATAAATAATTACCATGTTCACATTTATTTCATGTGGATTGCTTATAAGGATGGTTAAAAAGATCCAAAAATTGTCCTATTTGTAAATTTCTAATAGAATTATGAATTATTGTATGTATTAAAGAAATATTATTTATCTTTAATTATAAGTTTCTGTATTAATTTTTATATAAATAAGAGTAATCAGCATATGAATATTAATATGTGTAAAATAATTTTATTAATTATTTTTAATAGTGAAAGAATTATGGATCCCATATAAAAAAAACAAAAAATAGAAGATTCAGATGGTGAGGAAATAATTTAAGAAGGAGAAGTAGATGAAAATTTTGAATAAAGAGTTTAGAAATTATTATATGAAACTGACAATGGGTTAAACTTATACAATAAACCTGTAATGCCTTTGATTTACTACGAGTTTAATGAAGATATAAAATAATAGGCAGAGTAAGTAATAAATTAAGATACAACTACATTACCTTAAGATAAATATGAAAAATATGAAAAAGAAGCATCTAAAATTTGGGATAAATTTTATAGACATCACTAAAACAATTTTTTTAAAGACAGACATTATTTGGAAAGGGAAATACCTGAATTAAACAATTTTAAAGAAAGTCATTAAAAAGATGAAACAAAATTATTTATTATATGTGAAATGGGATGTGGTGTTGGAAATGCTTTATTTCCTTTAAAAAAAAACTATACATTCTTTAAAAAAGTTTATGGTTTTGATTTTAGTAAAAGAGCAATTGATGTTTTAAAAGCAAATGAATTATATGATGAAAATGTATTCTAAGCTTGCGTTTGTGATTTAGTTTTAGATCCATTACCTGATTTTGAAAGACCTGATTTAGGAACATTAATTTTTGTATTATCAGCAATATCTCCAGAAAATCATTTAATGGTTGTTAGAAAAATATATGAATGGATGAAACCTGGTAGTGTTCTTTATTTTAGAGATTATGGATAATATGATTTTGGACAAATAAATTTATCAAAAAAAAAAAATAGAAAATTAAAAGATAATTTTTATGTTAAACATGATGGTGTAAGAGTTTATTATTTTAGTAATTAAGTAAGTTTTTTTTATTATATTATAGGAAGTCACATCATTATTTACAACAGCTGGATTTAAATAATTGGATATTAAAGCTCATTATAGATATATAGAAAATAGAAAAACTAAAGTCAAAATGTACAGAGTTTGGGTTTAGGGTAGATATTTTAAAGATTGATATAAATTGTAATATATTTATTGATTCATTATGCTATATCAAACAATTTTAATAGATTGTTAAGTTCAAAATTTAAATATTTATTGTATTTGTTATAATACAATTATTAAAGACAATCTGAATGTTTAGAATTCCATTAAATATCCTATGATATCATACATTCATTGATATTTTCTAAATTTAGAATATTCAGAGATTTTTTAACACTAAAATCTATTAGATTTTGTTTGATGCTAGTTTCGACTAGATCTTAAATATTTTAGTCGAAATTTAACTTATAATTTTACATAAGGTTTCTAAAAACACTTTTAACTTTTGCTTAAGGTGCTTTTAAATCAGGATCATAAACGAAATCTCTTGATATAAATTAAAAATTTATACTTATCAGTATAATCTTCAATCATATATCTAGCAAGCAAAGTACTATTTTTAAGATTAAAAGGATCTAATCTCAATTATTTTTCTAAATCATTAATGGCTATTTCACCTTCTGAAGAAAATAAGATCTAGAATAATTAATTTTTAATAATACTAATTCTGCATCTTGAAGAGAAATTCTTTTTTTTCTTAATGATAGTCTTAATTCTAATATGGTTTATTCAATTTGTTATTTTTTGACTTGCTTAACAACAATATTATCACCATGATGAGGAGATGTCAATGGAGTTATAATAACTTAAGTAGCGGATTAAAAAAGTTAATCCTCTCCATAAATTAAAGTTTGTGTTGATAATTTCTTCTTTGAAAATTATTATAAATATCTATTTATATAAATATTAGATTACTTATCAATTTATTTTTACCTTTCCAATAATATATTATAATCAATCGAAAGTTTATCAAATTTATCATTTATCTATTTTTTTTCTGCTTCTAGATGTGAAATCTTTTACTTATAATCATAATTTAATTCTGTTATAGCGTTTTATTTTTCTTGAATTATTTATTAATATTAATTAAGTCTTGTTTATAAATGCTATATTTCATCCATTTTCATTTAAAGTTCATCAACCAAAATATTTTCATTCTTACTATGATGTTTCAACATATTCATTTCAGATAATGGATCTCTATCACGATATCTTTATATTTATTAATCCTTTAATTTCATTACTTACTATAGTTAATTATGCTTAGCTTTAACTTAAATATAATCAGCTCTAATTTTTTCTAACTCACCAATATATTATTTTTAGGTCTCAATCTTATTTAATAAATTTATGTTATCTTGAACTATCTAATTTTAGTCACCCTCAAATTTCTAAAAAATCTAATATTTTAGAAGCTCTTTTTTTAAATCTTGAATCTACTTTTTTAAATCTTATTATGCTTTGAATTAAGTATTTTCTTTGAGCAATTATATTTCTTAATCTTTTTGTTTGATTCTTAGTAAACTCTATTATATAACCTTTCTTTAATCAGATTCATCCATCATATCAATCTCTTTTCCAATCTATTGTAAAATCCCTTATAATGATTGATTTTCTAATTGTAATTGTTTCGTTTTCAATTTTTCTAAATGTAATTGTTCATAAAGTGTTTCTTTATCAATGCTTATATTTTTTGGAATGATAACTTTTCTAATTCTACATGAATTAGAATCATTCATGGAATAAAGTGTCTTTATCCTTCTATTTGGCTCATTTTTTATGGGATGTTAAAAATATTGATTTGCTATATGTTAACTCATAAAATAAATAAATTAAAGATTAATGTAATAACTATTTTTTGCAAATTTAAAAAATTTATTTTCATTATTTAATTAAGCTTTTTAAAGAGGGCTTTTGGGTAATTAAACTTAAAAATAACAAAATTTACAACATTGGAGGGATATAATTTATTATGCAAAAAAATTATATATTAGTTATTGTTAAAATATAAAACACATTTTGTAATTATTTACAAGAGTTGAAAGATAATTTTAAGCTAATTTTTAGAATTTTAAGATTCGATTCTTTAATTTTATTTTTTATTTATTTCAAATTAAAAACAAATAAACTAAAAGAATTAGAAAAATAAATCTAAACTTGGTACAATCAAATTTATTAAATTAATTGACAATTGACATTAAAGAGTTCATACAAGATTATATAGTGTATGGTATAAATTTGGTAAAAGTATAAATTAATACATTTACACCAGAAATTAATTAACAAATACTTTTAAAATACAACTACCTTAGTGATTTAAAGTTTATTTAATTCAGTTACATAAGTTGGAGGAACTTGATTACATCCAAAACTAAAATTATTTAATTAAATATGAATTATAATATAAATAATGCGTTTTTATAAATAGAGAGAGGGAATATGATATTAAAAATTTCATCATGCTTTTCAAACAAAGCCATTTTATCTAAGCCATATTTCAATATAGAATATCAATATATATTGATGATTAAATAATTATTCGAATCATTTGGAAAAAATTAATAATTTACAGTATTTCGATTTTTGTTTAAATCCAGTATTTAGATTAAGGACTATATAAGATTATTTTTTTATTGGTTCCTGTTCTGCAAAACTTAGTTTGTAAAAAAGAAATTGATGATTCAGAAGATAATCCCAATAGATATTATTGGGTATTGATTAATTCTGATATTTTAAGTATCTAATAATAATTAATTATTAAAGAATAATGCAGAGATGAAGGATATTAAACTTTGAAGATAAAATAATATATTTTATTATTAATAAATAAAAAGACTTAAAGGAGGAGATATATAATAAATATTAGTATAACTAAGTTGATTAAATACTAAATTAATCAGTAATTTTAATAATTGATAACCCATAAGCTATAAGAAAAGTAGATTTAGTTGTTTAAAATATATGAAAGAGAAATTTTTAGAACTTTATTTAAAATAAATCTACATTTGAAAATCTTCTTTTAGATTTAAAATTTCTAATTAATAGTCTGCAAATATCACAAATAATGATAATTAAATCAAAATGGCTTACTAAAAAAAATGTTAGTATCAAGGCGCTTTTATATTAATATTTTGATACGATAAATCTAAAATAGTTCTTAAAAGTAGAAATAGGAATTAAACTAGCAATAATCCTAGTAATGGTAAAATTAAATAAAGGCACTATTTTTTAAAAAGGTTTCACAAGGATGCTTTAATTGAAAAAATGAAGAAATGATTTTTGTTAATAATTATAAATCATTTAAAGTTTTTTCTCTTATTGTAGTCTTCATCGTCTGTTTCTAATTCATACCTGCATACTGGACAACTATTATGTTGTTTTAGCCAAGGGATTAAGCATTCTGAATGAAAATGATGATTACAAGGCATTTATAAGGCTTATTATAATTGATATTCTTCTTAACAAACAGTACAGCATTCCGATTATAAATTAACTTTTTAGAGTGCATCAATTGCTTTTTAAGATGCGGGAGGAGATCTTAATATAATATAATTTATACCCATATCTATTGGGATCATTCCGACTAATAAATTCAATAAGCTATTCTATTGATTGAGGTTAAAATGGAGTATTTGGAAACATTAATTGTAAAAGATTATCAAATACATTTGTTCTTTATTAAAATCTAATGGGAATTTAATTTCTAGTAATATGAATAATAGTTTATGGTTGTTGTCTTTATTATGTTTATGATTATGTTTGTGATTAATTCTGTAAAGAATTTTCCCCAAAAGGAACGAAACCTCGAGGATCATTTGAAGGATCAATAATTTCACAAAATTCTTATTAGCAAAAGGCACATTTCATAAGATCTGTAGAAACTGATTATTCAAATTATTTTTTGCAAATATGACACCAACATAAATTAATTGATTATTACATAATTAATATATTGATATATTTAATATCAATTGGTAATTTTGCTTTAGACATCTCTCTTATATGATTAACTTTGTGATCCAACTTAACTTGAATAGATTCTGTAAACATCATCAAAAGTGTTTAATTCTTCTGTCAAAGTTTCACTTACTGATTTATAATGAGCTTCAGCAGTATTCAAATCCTAAAATTATAATAAATAAAGACTTCATTTGCTAAATCAATAGAGTTTTAAATTTTCTTTAATCTATCTTTGCATGCAGCTGTAGCTTATAATATAGTAATCAATTAATTTTGTAATTTTTCCTATTAATAAATCTAATAAATACAAGATTGATATCTTCAGCTACTAGATGACCTTTAAATGTATCATTTTCCCTAAAGATTAATCCTTTGAAATCACTATAACCCATAGCAGAATTAACTTGATTATCTTATTTTTTTGAAAAGGATCCTCTGACTTCTGATTCAAGAATATCAAGGAAATTAAGTAATTCTTATTAAGCAACAGTAAATTAACTATAATCCTTAGTAGATCCAGATTCAGCAGGTGCTTTTTATCCTTTTTCAATAATTTTATTGAAGGCAGCAGCTTCCTTAGCTAATTGTTCATTTGTAGCCTTTTCAGCTGCTTCATAAGGATGTTCAGGAACAGGGGCATCAGATTCTTCAGTTTAATCATGTAATTCAATTTCATGATCTTCTGCTTCTGCTGGTTCATCTACTGCATCATCAGTAGTCTCTTGATTTGTTTCCTCAACATCTTAAGTATCCTCTTAAGTGTCATCTTCAACTACTTCTGCATCTTCATAAACATGAGGAGGCTCATTTGTTTCAGAAGTCACTTCTGCTTCATCTTCATCATCAGCCAAATATGATTTTAGTTATATGAATTAGGCAGATTATAACAATGTTGGTAAGTCAGTCTTTAGATTTATTTAATCATTTACTTCTTTGGCATTTTTTATAGCCCTTCTAAGAAAAGCTATTAAATTCAAAGTTTTCTTGCTATTTTTGATATCGTTAATGAAGTTGGAATTTGATTCGCATCTATTGATATCTAACCTTTAAAGTCTTTCATTATTCTCTTTGATTCTTTTCTCTAACCAACTTATATAGCTGAGAGTAATTCTAATATCTCTCTCTTTGTTAGCCCATTCTTGGTCTCTTCGATTGCATTCTCCTCTTTAAGTAGAAGCAGATCTCATTAAATCATTCACTATGTCTTGTTTTGACTTAAACTTTCCATAATATTTATACATATCTAGTTGCACTCCAATCAGTCTCCAGTTGTTCTAGTTATTTTGTAGTTCCATTTTTCAAATCTGCTAACATTTTTAATACAACATCTATTTCATTTGATTAAGAGTAAGTTGTTATTAACAACAATGCTATAATTCCGAATACCTTCATGTTAATATTAATAATATATAAATAAAAACGGCATAAACTTATTCTGAAATAAAGTAAATAAGTGAGATCTAAGTAATTTCTTCATTGAATTGAAAAAATCTATAAATAAATTCTGTATTTAAGAATTAGTTTAGAAGTTGAATAGTGATGATCTCTCATATATGTAATAATATAAATTAATTTTATTATATTATTGTTAATGGGTGTATGTGGAGGAAAAGAATCTAAAAGCTAGAAAAATGCACAAAAAGCTTAAGATAAAAATAAATATGAAGGAAATCCAAAAAGTGTTGAAAATGATAAAAACAGAGATAAAAAAGTACTTACTACTCAAAAAACATAATTCAAAGTTAATCCTTCTATTTTTGTGACATTGAAGAAAGGGGATATATTAAACTACTATAGAATCGATTAAACTTTAGGAGAGGGTATAGCAGAGTTTAAAAATCTAATAAAGGTTCTTATGGAAAAGTCAGTCTGGTTACTTAAAAAGTAACTGGATTACCTAGAGCTATGAAATAAATTCGAAAAGACAAAATCGAATAAAAAGATAACATGATTCAAGAAGTTTCTATTTTAAAAGAACTAGATCATCCTAACATTGTTAGTGTTTATGAATTGTATGAAGATGAATAATTTGTTTACATAATTACAGAGTAATATTGAAATTGTATCAGGTACAAGATATCTAAGTGGAGGAGAATTATTTGAAAAAATAAATGAAATTGACCACTTTGATGAAACAATAGCAGCAGGATATATGACAAAAATCTTAGAAGCTGTTAATTATTGTCATAATAAAAATGTAGTTCATCGGTATTTTCTTAAAATCTATTATAGTGATTTGAAACCTGAGAATATAATATTTGAATCAAGAAAAACTAATTCAAGTTTGAAAATAATTGATTTTGGAACAGCAAAAGAATTATTAGATAGTTCAAAATTATCGTAGAGAATAGGAACAGTAATAAAAATATTTAAATTAGCCTTATTATATAGCTCCTGAAGTTATAAGTAAATAATATGATAAAAAATGTGATGTTTGGTCTTGTGGGGTTATATTATTTATTATGTTATGTGGGTATCCTCCATTTAATGGATAATCTTAATAAGAATTATATTAAAGAATTTAAGCAGGTGTTTATTCCTTTGATGGTAATTAAAATGTATTTATATTAATAATAGAACCTGAATGGAATGAAATATCAATGGATGCTAAAGATTTAATTAAAAAAATGTTAATAACTGATCCTGAAAAAAGAATATCAGCTCATGATGCATTAAAACATGAATGGATCAAAATGGCATAAAAAGAAAAAAAAATTAATCAAAAATCACTTGAAAACTTAGCTAAATTTCATGTAAGTTATATTAATAATAAAATTAGAGCTATAGTAAATTAAAAGTTGCTATTATGTAATTAATCACTACTTAAGTTATGACAAATTAAGAAAAAAAGAAATTATAAAAATAATTTAAGAAAATTGATGTTAATCATGATGGTACTTTAAGTAAAGAGGAATTACTTTAATGTTATAGGGAAATCTATAATGATGAACTTAAATGTCATTAAATAGTAGATCATCTATTTGAATAAGCAGATGTTAATGGTTCTAATTAAATTGATTATACAGAATTTGTAATTGCATTTGCAAAAAAAGAATAAATTCTGGCATAAAATAAATTAGAAAAAGCTTTTAAACTATTTGACAAAGATGGAAATGGTCAAATTAGTAAATAAGAACTCTAAGAAATTATGGGTGGAGTATAATTGAGTGATAATTAATGGAGTAATGTTTTTGGTGAACTTGATCTTAATGGAGATGGAGTTGTAACTTTATAAGAATTTACTGACATAATAATTAAGGGAGCTAATGAATAAGAATGATAAAATAGTTTATTTCCTTTTTTTAAATATTTTATAAGAGTTCTATTTCTAAATATTCAACTATTCTATTTATTTACATTGCATTCATATTGACCTTTTGAATTTCTTGTTGTACTAGGATAAACTCTATTTTCAAAGCATTTTTGTGATCCATTTTAATTAGTATCTACAGATAAACCTGGACGTAACTAATGTTTTTGAATGCTTACATAATTACCTTACTTATTAACACAAAATTTACATTCATTTTTTATTTAATTTTTGTCTTTTTACCCAACCTATGAGTAAATACTTTAAATTCTCGAGATTTTTTATGTTTATTCATATATATTCAATTTATCTTCATTATGTAGGCTATCTTTTTTATGATAGCTCATTTTTCTCTCTAATAATTATTAATAATCCATTTATTTTTTCTACTATTGTTAATTTTATAAATCCACATATTTTTTTCTAATTTTTGAGTATTCATCAAATTACTAGTTTTTATTATTTTGATGACTGTTTTTTTGATTATTATTATTTATAATAGTATTCCTAATTGATTATATATTAATTTCCTATTTGATTTGATTAGACTTTTCAGACCTTTCATTTTTTTGTACATTTTATTTAACATTTAATTCATCATCATATTGCAATAACTATTTTATAAATCCTTCATTTGGATAAACTTACCAACGTTTACGCTACAATTATTATATGGCTTCCATTGAATTAATTCTATGTTTTTTCATTAAATAAGCAGCTACAATTGTAGCACTTCTTGAGATTCCAGCCATACAATGAACAAGAACATTACCTATAGATCTTCCTTTCTCTATAAATTCAAAACAATTTTCAAAATGTCTAGAGATATTTGCATTTTCAGTATCTTCTAAAATTATATGCTAATAGTATTTCATTGACTAACTTATTTAAATTGGAATTTTAGATGTGCATATACTGATTATTGATTTTATTTTTAATTTTTTCAATGAATCAAAGTCACCTTTTTATAATGTGATTAATACATGCACTTTCAATATTACCTAAATACAATGATCCATAGTTTCCACAATCTAAAATGCAACTAATATCATCCATTTATTTGTTATATATTTCCATTAGTTTCTATTTCATTGGAGATGGTTAAAACATTAAATTTAAGTAACCAATCAAAAAATTTAAAATTAAATAATAATCAGCTAAAAAAATAACTATATAAGAGAATCATTTTTATATTCTAGTTAGTTTAATAGGTTTATAATAATTGAGAAATTAACATCTAAATGAATTGTATTTGCCTAATAAATATAAAACTAACTAGAGAACTAGTAAAATTGTAATTAGATAACAGAAATAAAATAAAATAAATAAGAGTAAGATGAAAATAAAGACGAAATTAATTGATTTTTTCTAAATAATTAAGTAATGGAATAATATTAAAATACATATTGAGTATTTTATTCAGATGAAAAATAATTGATTAATTAATTTATGCATTGAAGATCTTCATATTAGAGTTCAACATCATAGATTTAAATACTTTAATCAGAAAATACATTATTGATGATACCTATGACTAAAAGTATATATTTTAGGAATATACAGAAATAACTAAAGCTAACGTTATAGTAGTACGTTTAGAAAGCGATTTTCAAATTTAATATAGAGAATTGAGAATCTGAGAATTTCATCATCTCTAATTAGATTGATATTATAATTAACTCATAATAAAGAATAACTTAAATGAGCTATATCGTAATTAATAGAAACACATTAAGAAGCAATTAACAATTGTTTTATAATGGAATTTAAAAAGACTAAAAATTAAAATTGAATTATTATTAAAATGAAGAAATTAATCTCTTGGAAATATTAAACATGAAGATTATATGAAAAATGGTTAGAGTAGCTTGGATCTTAAAATTTATTTATGGATATTCTTTCCAAATCTAATTTTTATTTATAGCCAGATACATAGGTTTATTTCGTATTAAAAACAAATGATCCTGCTGCTTGTAATATGTAAGGATTAATTGAAATATTTGGAAAATCTTTAACTCATTGTTTATAGATTGGATTTTGATTATAATGAGGATCCAATTACATAAACATTATTGATAATGTAATAAATGAAAGGAAAATTATATTAAATAATAGAAAAAGAATTCTAAATTAATTAACTTGCCTAAAAACTAATTAATATCATCTATTTGTTGGGAATAATATAGGAAGTAGTTATATATTTTTCCTTTGAAATGGTTTATTGCATGCTATTCATTAGATCAAAAAGGGTATTGTAATGTAATTGATTTTCATTCAATATTGTCCGATCAAGAACTATCTTATCTATGAAAGCAAGGATGGTTACTTAAGTGTCTTTGAAATTGAAGAATAAGAAAAATAATAAAAGAAATAATCAATTTTTTTTACACAAAATAGTTAGTAGTACTTATTTCTTTCGACTCAAAAGAAGTATTCGTAGGCTTTGAAAATTATGTTGTAATTTTAGGATCAACTTATATGTCTTATATTTACTTGAAACTCATAATTAAGAAATCACTAAAATATAATTATTTGATTCTAAAGGAGTCTTCATTCGTAGTAATAAAGACAATGCAGTTAAATTTTGGTAATTTTAATACTTCCCACATATTCTATTAAATATTTCAATCCTTCTTTTTCAAAAAGAGCCAGTTGTAGAACATAAGGTTATCAGATAACAAGATGATGAACAAAACAAATATTGAATTTAGTAATAAAAATAAATGAAACTAGAATTAGAAGATTTAGATTATTGGCAATGATAACATTTATTTACATTCATTTACGTTAAGGAGATGACATCAAAGATCGACTTGATTATTTGTATTTACTATTTGTTAAAATTGGTCGTATTGCTATAGGTCTTTTCTTTTCTACTTTCTATTTATCTTTATCCTCTTCTTCTATTTCTGCAAGATCAAGCAAACTACGTCTTGCTATCATAGTGTTGTCAGTTTCTATTTTATTCAAAGATGGATGTTTTTAAATGATTAAGTCTACAATTCTACATACACACTTTTCCATACCTTTTAATTTCCCCTTCTATTTTGTGTCAATCTGTCTTTATTAATGCATCATATAAACTGTATAGAATAGTTTCCCTTATATTGTATCAAATTTATGCATCTGGATTAAATAATATCAATTAATATTTATATCTTTACTTTTACATTTTATCAATTAATCATTATTCATCCCCTTAATATTCTAATCTAAATCACTATTATAATATATATATATATTTAAAATCAATAATTATCAAATTCATTAATAATTATAAAAAACAAAATGTCAAACAGAAAAAAAAATTCATTTAGATGTTTTGCAATATTTCAAATAGGATTTGGTGGAAATGATGGCTAATTTATATTAACCCACAAAAGAGGTTGTAAAAAAACTTTCAATGCTTAAAAATAAAACTTATCTGATGAAATTAATAAACATTTTAATCGTCAAGAGTCTTAAAAAGGCTAAGAGAATAATGAGTTTTAATATTAAGATTGGATTGGAATAAAGGATCAAAAAAGTTTTCAAGAATGTAATTTAACTTATTATATCTAGTAAACTATTGGCTTTTTCTTTGCCATCCAAATGCAAAGAAAGAAAAGGCAACAGAATGTTTAAAGAGATTCTATGATATGAATAAAAAACTTATTCAGGGTATTGATCCTATCGAATTGGATGAGAAGATTAATCAATTAGAAGAAAAATATGCAGCAGAAAAAGATGGATTTGCAACTGAAGAAGATGATAGTGAAAAAGGTAGATAAATGGAAATAGAAGAGCGATAAAAATAATTCTAAAAATAATCAGACTTATAAGGATAATAATAATAATAATCATAATAATAATCATAATTATAATAATAATCATAATTATAATCATATTAATAATAATAATAAAGATATTAAACCCCTTAAAAATAGTCTTAACTTAGATAAACTTCAGCAGAAAAATCTGAGCAGGCAGTTAATAGAAGGTAAAATTGCAATTACTAATCGATAAATTCAATTATTAATTAATCATATGAGCTAAAACCTAATATTTAAGCATCTGGGATTACACATTTTCAGATAGATTTAATTAACTCAAAAAGAGAATCAAGTATTCTCAAAAGTCATCCACAATAAGGTTCCAAAGTAATTAACCCCCCCAAATAATCAGAAATATAGAAAATACCCAGAAAAAAAGAGTAATTCATGGCTGTCAAAGTAAAAGATTAAATGGAAGAATCTAATCAACTAAAATAAGCTGATGCTTTAATCAGAAATTCAATTTTAGGTGCTCTAGCTGGTAGTGCATTAGCTTTAATTATATGAAATTAATATAATTGTTAAAATTATATCAAAATATTAATTATTTAAAAGAAATGAAAAGAAGAGATTCAACTATTAGACAATTGAATTTTAGATAATATTGATTATTTTAAAAAATATGTAATATTAACTTCATATAATTGATATCTATGGATTTGAGAATAAATGGTATTACAAATTAAGAATTACAAATAATTACTATAGTTGTTATCGTGATTTGTGTGTAAGATTTTAGGATTTGAGTTAATTGAATAAAAATCTCTAAAATGTAAATTATTAATCATAGGTAAATGGGAGTTAATATTTTTGTTAATAGTTACCATAATTTCCTGAGAAATCATTATTTGTTTATTGGTTTTAGAGTAATGATAGTAGAGAAGAATTATTAGAAAATAGAGAGGCTGTCTAAAATTATTTATCAGGGATCAACAAGTACAAAAAATTGTTCTTAATATAAGGAATCCACCATTTAAAAATGAAGCAATCAATTATTTTGTGTAAAATACATATGATCCTTAGAGGAATCAATAATTAAGATTTTAAAACATAAATAAAGAGACATTTTATAATTTACGCTTAAAAAATTAAACAATAAAAAAGGGCAAATTCAATAAGGTATTTCTTATAAAGGGTGAGGAAGGAGACATAGTTGTACATTAATTTTTAATGCCTTCAAATGATGCAGCAAAAAAAGATTATGAAAATTACAAAAGAGCTTAATTGTTAATAACTGATTATACTTATTTAGTAAAATGTAGTGAAATAGGATAAATAATAAAGAAAAAGTCATTTTTTTAGAGGAAATAGAAAAAAACAATTTATAATGCATTGGAAATCGGTATAGACTCAACATATGACATAATTTATTCAATAGAAGAATATGTATAATAACCTATGAATAAATTAATTTAAAAGAGATAAGAAAATCAAGATTATTTTAAATTAGAAACAATAGTAGAGGCACTTATTACTTTGATAAATGTAGCATAATATTTCCAATTTTTATAAATCTTTTAGAAGTAATTTTCTGTAACCAATTTCTATTATGATGAAAAAATAGGATTTAAAGTTGGAGGTTTGACACCTGTATATGCATATAAAAAGAAATATAGATTGAAAAATGATACTGATCCAAATACATATAAGGCTTTAAATCCACCAGAATTGTGTGGATCTGCTGGTGGATACAGTATTAGGAATAATTTGAATTCTTATATAAAAACTGATGTTTGGTAGATTGGAATTGTGATTTTATCAATGGCATCACTTACTTTACCAATTAATTTAATATTGATTGAAGATATTGAAAATAAAATTAAATTAGTACAATAAAAATATGGGTATAAATTTTATAAAATTAGGGAAAAATTAGCATTTTTATTAAAAAATATGCTGCAGCGAAATTAAAATGATAGGTTTACTATTAATGATATAATTTTACCTGCTTAGTAATTAATGCCTATGAATCTAGTATAATTTAAATCTGGGAGATCAATTGAACGAATATAAGTATGAATTAATTTTAATTTATAAGATTTCATCCATATCCCAATAGTAATTAGAAGACTTGGATAAATAATTCAAGGAGAAATCTTCAGACAAAAAATATATTGTAAATTTGAATATTGATAGAAATATTGCACATTAAATGTTTCTATTTAATTTGGAAAGAATTAAAAGAGAATTTGTCATACAATTGCATATTAACGTATCTCCTTAAACTATACCAGATGATTTAATTGGCAAAATGATGTCAAGTTTAGTTGAATTCTAAAACTTATAATTATTAGTACTAAATCTTAAAAAATGTATCTTAACTGATTAAGCATAAAAGAATATAATTAATTCTGCTTAATAAATTATAAAACTTAAATAACTTACCTTGGATATTAGCGGTAATTTAACCATTGAAATTCCTTAATCAAAAATTAGAATGGTTGTTTATAACCAATGAAAATATAATGATATATATTACATAAGTTAAAGATTTTATATTTTTTAGGAGTTGTCTATAACTACAGAAATATATCGGAAATTTAAATATTTTATATGATCTAATTAATATATATTATAAAAAGCAAGTAATAAAAAAAAGAGTGTGATAATATTAAAAAACAATAATTGAAATGAAATATAATGTTTTTTTCTTGATTCTCATTAGTTTAAATTCAATCAACGATAATCAGAACAAAAGAAATTTTAAAAAATTAGTCATGAAGACAAAATTAACATATCTTATANATATAGATTGAAAAATGATACTGATCCAAATACATATAAGGCTTTAAATCCACCAGAATTGTGTGGATCTGCTGGTGGATACAGTATTAGGAATAATTTGAATTCTTATATAAAAACTGATGTTTGGTAGATTGGAATTGTGATTTTATCAATGGCATCACTTACTTTACCAATTAATTTAATATTGATTGAAGATATTGAAAATAAAATTAAATTAGTACAATAAAAATATGGGTATAAATTTTATAAAATTAGGGAAAAATTAGCATTTTTATTAAAAAATATGCTGCAGCGAAATTAAAATGATAGGTTTACTATTAATGATATAATTTTACCTGCTTAGTAATTAATGCCTATGAATCTAGTATAATTTAAATCTGGGAGATCAATTGAACGAATATAAGTATGAATTAATTTTAATTTATAAGATTTCATCCATATCCCAATAGTAATTAGAAGACTTGGATAAATAATTCAAGGAGAAATCTTCAGACAAAAAATATATTGTAAATTTGAATATTGATAGAAATATTGCACATTAAATGTTTCTATTTAATTTGGAAAGAATTAAAAGAGAATTTGTCATACAATTGCATATTAACGTATCTCCTTAAACTATACCAGATGATTTAATTGGCAAAATGATGTCAAGTTTAGTTGAATTCTAAAACTTATAATTATTAGTACTAAATCTTAAAAAATGTATCTTAACTGATTAAGCATAAAAGAATATAATTAATTCTGCTTAATAAATTATAAAACTTAAATAACTTACCTTGGATATTAGCGGTAATTTAACCATTGAAATTCCTTAATCAAAAATTAGAATGGTTGTTTATAACCAATGAAAATATAATGATATATATTACATAAGTTAAAGATTTTATATTTTTTAGGAGTTGTCTATAACTACAGAAATATATCGGAAATTTAAATATTTTATATGATCTAATTAATATATATTATAAAAAGCAAGTAATAAAAAAAAGAGTGTGATAATATTAAAAAACAATAATTGAAATGAAATATAATGTTTTTTTCTTGATTCTCATTAGTTTAAATTCAATCAACGATAATCAGAACAAAAGAAATTTTAAAAAATTAGTCATGAAGACAAAATTAACATATCTTATATGTACTTATACATGTATTATTGAAAGTTTGACAAAAGCTTATTAAGTTATTGTATATAAAATCTGAAGATCCAATATAAATTCCATACCTAATAAAAAAATTGAATTGTTACCTCTTTAATCAAATCAAAATATATATGGATTTGTAAAAAAGGGAATCTTCGAAAAAAGAATCAAAAGTAATAGTGTTAAAAATATTTTGATTAACTGTAGAAGTGGCAAACTGAAATGAATTAATTCATTTTTTTTTCCTAAGTATCTTAAATTAAAAGAGATTTGATAATATAGAATCAAAAATGCTACAGAGAATTCTTATTACACAGATATAATTGTATAAGAATATTCAAATTTAATTTTAATGACATAAGAATAACTTCGGATATAAGTAAAATTATGATTTAGTGATTCTGGTTGGATTGCTTAAGCATTATAAAGTGTAATTGGTTTAAAGAAACTATTAAAATTGCTCAATATAACAATTAAAGCCAACGCTTTATTTAATTGCCGAAAAAAAAAGTTATTAGAAATTTTGAATTGTTCAATAATAACTTCTTTTGGTGGATCCTAGGTTCTAAAATTTTCAGATTTAAATTCAAATGATTTAACAATTGAATCATTTCCTGAATAAAAGATTTTATAAAGTATAGAATATTTAGTTATTGCCTTAGAAGATGAAGGAGTAGATCTATATATTTATGACTAAAAGATCATTTAGATATTTATAAAAGGAGTATCTTAAATATATAGAAAAATTCTAAAGGGAATATTTTATAGTTAATTTATACAAAATTGGAGTGAAAATATTTGATAATACATAAGGATTATTTATTTTTAATTTCTCTAAATAGATTTTAAAGATTATCTTTATTTTAAGTATTTTTTATGATTTTGTATTTTGAGATATTTTAAATAAATTCAAATTATTTTTTTTAATAGGAGAAGAGACAAATAGAATGATAAAAAATTTAATTTTGAATAGATCTTTTAAATAAAAATAAAGAACTTTTATAATGATTTTTAATGAAAATTAATTATCATTCTTTTTTATTATGTAGTTTTAATGAGAGAAGAAATTCTTAAATTTTAAGGAGTATTATATTGTTTTAATTTAAATTGTATTATGCATAATATATATACATATGTATGTTTAAATAGGAATAGATTATTGGGAGAATTAGAAATAAAATAGGAAAAGAAATTTAGAATTATGGTCAATTATCAGAATACGATTAAAATCAAATATGATATTCTCTAAAATTGTTAATTTTAATTATGCGTGGATCCTTAATTTCTGCACCATTTCTTGGATATTTACTAAAATAATAAGCAAAAATAAGAGTAGCTAATGTTATCATGACAGAGCAACCTCTAACAAAAGAAGGCAATATAGAGATGTCTTAGAAGTTGTGTGAGTATATATCTATTTCTATTAAAAAAGTAACTAATCTGTAGTTAATTTATGTGACATTACAGCTCAATTAATACCAGCAGCTAGATTATTACCATAATAATAATTATTTGATCAATTTGTTAGAGAAAATAAATTTGATTAGTAAACTCCAATTATTTTCTTTGATGAATATATTCACTTTGCAGCAAGAGCTTGGTTTACATTTAGATATTTTGGATTCAAAAAAGTATTTGTTTTAGATGGTGGATATTCAAAATGGTTGAATCATTAATCAGAGGAATTTTAGGAACAGAAAATTTGTAAATAATATTTTCAAAAATATAGAGGATTAGCCAAGATTTTAAGGTAGAATAATGAGTACTACAGAAGTGATTAAAATTTCATAGTTAAAAAGCTTAAAAGATCCAAAAGGAGATGATTGGGCTATTATCGATACTCGAGATGCTATTCGTTTTAAAAAAGGATCTATACCTGGATCTATCAATATAGAATTTTCAGAATATTTGAATGAAGATAATACATTAAAATCTGATGAAGAATTAAAACAATTATATGAGAGAAATGGAGTTGATATAAATAAGACTAAAATAATAAATACTTGTTAAACTGGAAAATTAGCATGTATAGCCACGATTGCTCAAGAGATTTTAAAAACTAAATAGTAAATAAATGAATAAAATTTAGGTAAATTTTATATGATGGTTCATGGGAAGATTGGAAATTAGAGAATCGTAAGAAATGAAAAAATTATTATAAGAATTATAATGATTATTATTTAAAATAAAATTTAATGGATAAAAAACTACTTTCTACATCATCTGAAAAATTAGCAACTGATGCTGCTGATGAAGTGACTTGTTAAAATCATATGAATGCATATACTTCTTGTCTATAAAGGAATTCAATAACAAATAATTATAAGGAATGTGTTAAATTTATGGATTAATTTAGATTCTGTCTTTTAATGGCTGCAAAAGTATAAATGGAAGCTTAAAAAAAACCAGAGTGAAATAATTGAATCTTTAGAATATTTCTCATTAATAAATAAAAATTAATGTATTTAATTTAAATAGGCTTAATTGCCTCTTTTCTCATTGTAAATACCTTATAGACAAATCGAATTCGTAATCACCCAAATTACACATATTCTATTAATGAAGAACTATTAACATTTAAATTTGCAACATAAGAAGCTCATGTTAGATTGTTGAGGTATTATTAGGATTATATATAAATATAATAGCAATCCTACAATTTATGATGTTGATGTATTTAGAAGTGATAAAGATGGTCTACTTGAGTAAATAGAAACACCATTCCTTAGTTTAGATAATTAGTATCTTGATGAACAATAATTAGATAATGGTAGGATATGGACAGTTATTATTAGATTGTGTTGGATTACCAAAGCATCCGAAATTGAATGAAATACTAAGTGTCAATCTTTTGGATAATACATTAGATATATATTATACAGATATATTATCTTTACCTTAATTTGATAAGTAAATAATATTGCCTCTACTTAGGATATTTTTATTGACAGATGAATTAGAATTACGATAAGCAACATTATAATATAATTCTTCATCATAATCTTAATGGAAAGTAGAAGTTAAAAATATTTCCTATTCTCTAAAAAACTTATACCCATAAGAAATAAATTATACAAATGCTTATTTTGCATGTTTTAATGATTATCAAGATAAATGCCTAATTTTATCAAATTATGGAGGAATTTGGTTAGACAAAAACTCAGAAATAGAATAACCAATTCTTACATTTGAACCAGTCATATCACCAAATAAAGATTTAAATAAAGTAAATGTTTTTGATCAATATCTTGCTATAGCTAATGGAAATGCAGGAGTTGATTTATATCAATTTTAAAATAACTAACTCTCATATCTTTTAAAAATTACCTCTAAAGATTTGAATTAAACATCAATCAATATAATATCTTTAAAATTAATTAAAAATAGATTAAGTATTTTAGATGAACATACTGGATTATATATTTTTGATATTATTAACAATTAAGTATCCTTATCACTCACTCTTCCTTATTAAAGGTGTGTTGCATTTGATCATAGTGAAGATACTTATTTATTAGTTGCAGAAACTCCAAATAATATTGAATATATGATGGAAATATTTATTTTACCAATTTCAAAAGAATATTACATAAATAGAATATATGTTGATGATTTCTCTTTTAGAGAAATTTAAATTGATGATGATTATGCAATTATTATTGGAGAAGATGTACATTTGGTTGTTAGACATTCTATTTTTAATGGATTTATGAAGAACAATACTGATCTTGTTAAAACCTTTTTTGAAGATGAACTTATTCGTTTCGAATATTTAGAAATGAATCAAACATTTTTAACTCAATTTGTTGAAACATCTTATTATATTGGTTTATCTAAAGGTTCATTACATATCTGGAAATTTGATGATTATAATCCTGTTATTATTTGTAGATTTTAGTATGGAACTTCTTAAAATTATACTATTAGGGCCAATTCATCTAAATGTGAAAATCATACAAATAGAGATTTATTCGAATAATGTCAAATAACTCAATATCTTGTTATATAAGCTTCAGGACCATTATTAGAATCTGATTCAAATTATTTAATTATTGGAGTCTCTGTATCTGTTGCTGTAATTAATATATTTATTTATATAGATTGTTATTTTTATCATTATCGTGTTTTTATGTAGAAGAGGAAGAGCTTTAGCCAAAAAAATTTAAGAGTTAAAAAAATAAGCAGAAGAATTAAAAAAATATAAAGTCTTAGAGGCAGAATAGTAATCAGTAGGTCTTTGATCTATTATCAAAATATAATATTTTAAGCTATTTATATATACAAAATAATTATATCCTATTTTTTAATTAATTATTATGTAAACCAATATATTACTTTATAATATATAATTTAAAATTAAAACTAAAATAAGAACTAAAAATAATTTACAAAGATTATGTTTATGATGAAATTCAAATGAAGAATTATATATCACATCAATTATGCGAATGATTGCTTTGATAAAGAATAGTAAACTCTAGGAAGTTCGAAAAATTCTAATAGAAAGAAGAATTTCATAACCTTAATATAAAGTAGATCTAACCACTTTTAGTTTTTCTATATATAGAAAATTTTAATTTCCAATAATATTTTTTTTTAGTTAATAATTTTACTTTTATATTAAAATATATTAAAATAAAGCAAGATGAAATTTACTTAATAATTTTTATTGATAGATTTCTAATGATTCGAAAAAAAACTATTAAAAATAAAAATTCTGTAATAAAGAAAATCGCTTAAAAAAAGAGATTGATCAATCATTTATTAATATTCTAATTTGGTTTGAGACAAATATTAATACAGATTCTGTTAGTAATTTATATGTTTTGGTTTAATAATTTGGGGTACATTCTAACTACAATTAAATATATTTCTAGAGATCTATGATAACATTTCAGATATTTGATTGTTATATCATACAATTTATAAATTCTATTTTATACAATAAGCATCCACCAGTTTTTTAATTATGTTGATTTTTTATTTTAAAAAAACTTTCTCTCCACTCTAAGATTTAAAATTAAGATTTAGATATTCTGCTCCTGAATTTACATCTGCCATTCTACTAATAGTTTTAAATATATATTAAATTTTATAAAATTTAGCTTAAAATAATTTTATATATATTTAAAATTACAATCAATATTTTGTTTTTTAATTGGCTGAATTCCAAATCAAATAAAATATCAACATACTCCTTGTACTATATCTAAATATTTCAGCTCCAAATCCACAATATAAATTAGAAAACTTTTAGATATCCTAAGTAATGAAATCTAAATTAATACTTTTATTAACATCTCATAAGGTTATAATAATTTCATATTTTATAATTTTCTAATTGTATATCTCTTTTATAAGAAATTTAAAGGATGGAATACTATAGGTATTAATAAACTAGTTGCTAATGCTCCAAGTAAATGACTATTTTTATTTTAATTACTTTAAATGTTAAATGGTTTATTCATGAATTGATATCCTTATAAATATAACAATTATTAAAATATAGTTATTTCAGTAACAAATTAACAAAATGTTAATAAAGTTTTACTTTTAAATCCAGGTGTGAAGGCAATTAGAAATTTTTAATTATGATATTACATTATTTCATCTAAATGCTTCATATTATCCCAATATTTCTTAGGTGGTAATCCCAATTATTCACATTGTAATTTTAGATTAACAATATTGCTAGGTTAACAAAATATAGTTGAAATTGTTGCTGATCCTAATGCTATTAAATAAAATTTTGCATTTTCACAAAATTTCAAATATGGTTAATCTTTAACTTCAACTCTTGTTTTACCATAAAACTCCAAACCATATCTTAAAAAGAAATATTAGAAACAAAAATAAAATGAAAGATTCTATATTATTGATCTATCAAATGATGTACGAAATCCTTTATATAATCCTTTATATGATTCAGCTACCTTAATTTATTTTAATTATTCTGAAAATGATTAATTTTAAAATGGACATTTTGCAATCATTCTTGATATAACTCTATCTATTGGATATGTAAGAATCTAATATTGCTTCAAACTTCATTAAGTACCTCATGAATAGTAACTCCTAAACCTATTAGAAAAAGAGGTTTAACAAAATGAGTGTCTTGAGGATATTGGATTATATTTATCATAATTATAATTAAAAATATTGTTTATTATCAATCCTTAATAATATTAAGTTTAAACTAAAAGAAATGCAAAATTAAGAAAGTAAAAATTTAAAGAATATAGATTGTTACATAAAAGAATGAAAAATAAATTGTTTTTCCTTATGTTTTAATTTGAATTAAATAATATCATTAATTTTATTGTTTTAACTTTTTAAACACATCTTAAAATATTTTGTGACAATGTAAATTGAATCCAAAATTGTGTATTAATTCGAATGTTTTCGAAAAGGAAAGAATGGAAATAAAAATTATATCGGAGTAGTAAAACCTGATAGATTGGATTTGTATAAGGTAGAATATTTTAACTTATATTTACTTTTTAGGATATCTAACAAGCATCTAAATATTCTCTGCCGATACAATTATAAACTCATATTAAATGGGAAGTAGAAGAAGATAGTCTAAATGGGAAAAAGCATTATAAAATAGTGTCATTCAAATTTCAATAAGTGATTAAAGATTATATTTCTCTTATAGGTTAAATAAATTAAAGAAAATCATGTGGCTAAAATTACGACATTTTATAGTGATGAAAAGACTTTAACAATTCTTAAAGAGCATTTGAGAAATAAAATAATATTTCAAAGGATTTAAGATTTTTATACACCACTCTAAACTTTAGGAAAAGGTGCTTCATCTAGAGTTCTTCTTGTTAGACATAAAAACACAGAATTATATTATGCAGCTAAATGTGTAGACAAATCTTATGTAAATGAAACAGAAAATGGAATTGTACTTTATTTTTTAATGTAAGGAATCTATGTTTTAAGAAATTTCTATCAATAATACGTTAGATCATCCTTCTTTTATTAAATTACATGCTGTTTATGAAGGAGATAATACATTTTATATGGTTATGGATTTATTAGAAGGAAGAAGTTTACATGATGAATTAAACAATCATAAAAATGGATTTCCAGAAGATATTGTTAGAAATATTATGTGGGTATTAATAATATCCTATTTTAAAGCAAATTTTAACAGGAATAGAATATATGCATGAAAAATAAATTATGCATAGAGATTTAAAACCAGAAAATATTATGCTATTAAAAAAAGGAGATTTGAATTCTTTAAAAATTGTTGATTTTGGTTTAGCTACATATTGTAATGTTGATAAGTAATTATTATTATAAATTTAGATATTTATTTCCAAAATGTGGTACACCAGGTTATGTTGCTCCAGAAATAGCTAATTTGATAGATAAAACTGTTAAATATGATAAAGTTTGTGATGTTTTTAGTGCAGGAGTAATCTTCTTTAAATTGTATATTTTTAAACATATTTAAGATTGACAGGAAAAGATCTATTTCCAGGAGTTGGATTTAATTTAGTATTAAAATTGAATAAATAATGCAAAATTGATTTAACTCCTTTATAAATGAAAAAAGTAGATCATTCTATTTCTGTAATATATTATAATTAATTTTTATGTTAGGCTTTAATTCAGAAAATGTTAGAAAAAGATCCAAACTAAAGAATTAGTGCAGCATAATGTTTATAAGATTCCTTTTTTGCATCTTGTTTTTAAGCTACAGGAATATAGGGACCTACAAAATTAACTGCAAATTAAAAAAAATAAATGTTCTCTACTAGTGGCAAGGCTTTAACTACTGAATTTCCTAATGATAAAATAAAGAGTAGTCCTTAAGATAAACTTGAAAATAAAGGGTCTTTTGTAACATAAGATAATGCTTTTCGACCTGTCTAATCTAATTAATAAAAGATTATGCAAAAATTTAATACTACAGAATTCGATCATGTTGAAAATGCTTAAAGTCCATAAATGGAAAAAGTCATTAAATAATTTCAAAAAGGTGATGCAATTGAAGAAGAAGATGAAAAATGAATAAAATATCATTAAATATTTATAATTAGAATTATTATTATTTATTCAGTAATTTTTTTTATCACTAATTTTTTATTTCTCTATTATTCATTTCCAAAAGAGAGCGATTAAAAATTTAACAAATGTAAATTTTTTTTTAAGTTTCAAATGAGATCAGTAATTAAATGTTCGTTTTAAATAATATATTATATAAAAATATATAAACTCAAGAATTTTGATCTGTTGTCTTAGAATTAAGTGTTTACTATAGAGTTTATTAGAATTACTATTAAACTGAAATTGAATGTAGTCTTCTGGTTAAAATTGGATTCTTGAAAGGGTTTAAATTTTAGTTGTTTTCTTTCATCTCACTTATAATTTTTTATGATTTAGGATTCTTCTTAACCTTTTCACAAATATGAGATAATTCGCCTCTTATAGGTTTCTTGACATTACAGATTCCCATTTATTTCAATTTCAAATCTAAAATAAAATAATTTTTATTAAAAAAAAATAAGAAGATATTATGAATAAATAATTTATATATATATATTAATCATTTTTTTGACTAATTTTAAAGATCAAATTAAATGGTTTATTTATTTTTTTTCAGAGTTTCTGATGATGGTTCTTCAACCGATTTTAATTTTTCTTTAAATTATTGAATGCTATTTAATTTTGTTTAAATCAAACCATTTACTTCTTTCAAAAATTTAGTATTTTCATCATTATTAATCTAATTATCTAAATTTAATTTATATTCTATACCTTTTATAGTAACTTAATGAAGAGACATAACTTCCATAGATAAATTACTTATAGTTTTAAGAAGATTTCTGCTCAAATTATAAGAAAATTCTGCTTTAGCATTTTTCTTAATTTAAATTTATTCTTCAGTTTCTGCTATTTTAGCTTTCAAAATTTTAACAATATCAATAAATTCTAAATTAGATTAAAATAAAATACATGATTAAATGTTTTTAATTTCTTTTGCAGCCTAAGTAATAAGCATAGTTTAATATCCAGTTTTGTGACATGTACTTCTCCAATAATAAAAGACTTTTGTTTATAATCCTAATTAGTATTTTTAATAAGCCTCAAATTTAGATTATCTATTTTTTCTCTTACGTGTTGCATATTAATTTAATGACCTGAAATACTTTTTGTATAATTTTAATCTCTCATAATTAAGAACCATTCTGATAGCTAATTTATCAAATTATTCTCTCTAATTTTAATATATTTAATACCTTTTTTAAATTCTAATTAATTTTTTCTTTAATTATTTCCTACTATTCTAAAACTTATTGTTATAATTCTGAATAATTAGTTGAACAATTTGATAACTCTTATTAATATACATTAGTTTTATTATTAACTTTTAATTCATAAAATGCATGCAATTTCCTCAATGTGTCTTATTTAATTTCATTGAGTAAATCATTAAATTCTTTATTATCTTAAGGATTAAATTAAACTTCTGTCGATATTTAAGTTATTCTCTCCTAAGTGCTATCTTTTATTTCACTAACTGCTTTTCTTAATAAGTTTATATGTTATTTCATTTGAACTGTACTCATTATTATTCTTAACTGATTATTTAAAATGAAAATATATTTATAAAGTTTTTATAATCTAAATAAATTTGTCATACAAAATAGATAAACAAAAAATAATCTTCATTTACTCAATCTCTTTAATAGACTAAGATTTGTTTTGTCATTCAATAAATCTTCAGTTAATGTAACCAATCCTAAAATACAATTTTTATATCTTCTTTATGAGTAAATGATTTATAATATTGTAATTATTAAAAACATAAGCAAAAATGTTAATCCAAATGTATAAAAGTATATGAATAAATTATTTTTCTATTTTTTTATAAGATTTTATGATATATTATCAATCTTCTCATAAAATAATTCAAATCCATCTGAAATATTAAAATAATACTAAACTACAAGATTATTATACTCTTTATAATAATATATATCTTTTGAAATAATCTTTTAATAGATTCCTTATTAAATTTCTACCTCAAAATCATTTTTAATTAATGAATCTAAATTGCTTATGTATCCTATGATACCTTTTCTTAAAATTTCTGAATTGTTCTCATAAGGGTAAAACTAACCATAAATCATCTAGAATTGATTAGAAGTGATTGTAGTGTTACAAAAAGGTAAAACATCTTTTAAATAATCACAGAAATCTCCTTTATAGAGATTATATAATTCAGATTTATCTATTTCATCAATTTAATCACTTAATACTATTGAAGAAAATATTGATATTATTTTTTTTTAATAAGTTTAAGAGATATTTTAAAAATATTTTGGAACTTGATCATTTTCAAAATATAATTTAGAATCACCAATTTCAGGGTCATTAATTTTGGCTAATTATTCAACAAAAAAGTGTTAACCTTTTAAAGTAGTTGCAAATGATAGCAAAAAGCCCAACTGAACCTAAAATTTAACATAAGTTTTAATTAAGTTTTCTATTGGTATATATTATGTATCACTTGATTCTACTTAAGCATATCCAAAAGAAGCTAATGAAACTAAAGTGATATAACAAAATAAGGCAGAACCTAATTTCATTGTTATACTTATTGATTTATTTTATATTCTTTCATATAACAATTAAGTATCTCTTGATCGGAGATTTTGATAAGATTAATTTATAGTTGAATGTACTAATCTTAAAGGAGATTTACAAGTATAATATGATTAATTCATATTAATTTATTATTTTTCTATCTCTGAATATTATATAAACTACTATTTAATCTCTATTAATCGAGTTGCTTGATCTTCATTAATTCTAGACATTATTTATATTAAATATTTATGCCTTTTTTCAAAATAATACCAATTTCTTATATTTATTATAAAAGGTGCACAATATAATATTATTTATAAGATTAGAACAATTTACCAGAACATCATAAAGTTTTAAGAATACTCATTTAAAATCAAAGTAAATTTTTCAATCAAATAAATAGTTGTATTATATGCTTATATCATGTTTATCCTGAAAAATAATAATGATTTTAAATATTATATGTTATCTTTTTAATATGATAATAAAGAAATTACATTTTCTCTTAAAGCTATTGAAAAAGTTGAATAACAATCAAAAGTAATTTAATTCTTAAGTAATGTTAAATTATATTCAGGTGAATTTTATTCTTCATCAATATTTACTAATTTTAAATATAAAATTTAGAATTCTTATCTAAGATCTCTTAAATTTAATTCCTTCTCTTTGGAAAAAGAAATTTAAAAATACTCAGATTAATTTAAGTTTTCATAAACTAACTGGTTAAATCCATAATGGAAAGCCCTATTGTAAAATCTATTGAGTAACAAAGGAGCTCGTATATACTCTGTGTATTTTAATTTTGTATTAAAATCTATTCCTATCTAATTAATTTGTATTATCAAAAATGCTATTACCAAAATCATCAATATTGCTTTATAAAAATAAATTTAAATAAAAGGTTAGCTACTTGATTATTTGAGTAATATATCATGTAAAATAAATTAACCTTTTTATTCTGAACTCACTATGCTAACATCATTTAATGATTTGGCTTTAATATTTTCTATTTATAGAATATCATCATTAATATTTTCTAACTATTCATTTTCTACCTTTGTCTCAGATGGAATCAATTCTAATTAAAATTAAATTATTTGCCCTTTCAATTCAATTTTCGATAGCTTTACTTTAAATTTCAAAGTAATATCATTTTCTGTCTATAAAATAAATTTTATATATTACAATATTTAAATTAACAATCTAAGATATTTTTTCTTATAATTAAGGTTCCAAAAAATCAAATTAATACGTATCTTGATTTTAATAACAATTTTTCTAACTTAATAATTAATGTTTTTCTGATCTATCTGAACAAATCATATAATCAATATTTGAAGAATTCATTTGATTATTTTGTTTAATCAATTATTAAATGTAACCTTTATACTATTTATCAATTTTATATATATTCTACCTTTAAAAAAAATTAATTTCTTTTTCATTAAGAAACTCATTATTATTGATAATATAAAACAAATCCGTAGAAAAGTATTAAATATAATTGTATTACTTCATTTAGGAATAGAAGTCATTAAATTACTCTAAATAATCATTCATGCTAGTAATTTTCCCAGAACGATCAAATATTATATAACCTTTATCTTAATTTACTTTTTTCAAAAGCGATATTAATATAAAATCTGACTTATCATTGCTTACAGTAAAAGTAACTTCTAAACATTATATTTTACCGTTCTCTTATTATTAGAGAATTTCAAGAGAATTCTATAAATAATTAGTTTTCAATTAGTTTCTTTAAAGAAATCTTTCAATAAATTAATTATGTAATGGTTATATTGCTTCAGGCATTAATTACTCCAAAAATTCTAACTTAAAATCCATATTATATCCAAAAAATTATAGCATAGATTTTTTATTTTTATTTAAAATCAAGCCTTTCTATCTAATCATACTCACAGTAAGCACTATGGCTTTACTTTTCATAATTTATATGGCTTCTAATGTCTTATGATCATTTTCCAATATTTTCTTAATTAATTTCTTTAGTTTTAGAGCCTAAATATAATATTCAAAAAATACTTATACATAATTTTACATAACCACAGAATGAAAATTAATTAAAATTTTTAGATAGATAACATTTGTACGATTATCTAGGATATTATTTTTAATAAGCCAATTTTCAGTATTTTGAATAGATTTTGAAATTTATATTATTTTATTTTCTGTTTCTTCAAAACTTTTGCTTCCTTGAATTAAATTATTAAACAAATCTATTTATTTAGTTAGAATTTCAGAGAATCTTCTTTAGTATTCTATTTCAATCAAGAGATCTCGATTTAATTATTATATCATTAAAGCTGATTTGTTAATTTACATAATATCAAATTAAATTGAAGTCTTAAACAATTAACTATAGATCTTATAAAATAATGATAATTGATTTTATGAGCATTCAAATTTATTTAGGATAAATAAGGCTTAAAAGTAACTTTACTAATTTTTGGTTAAATAGTCAAATAATATTAAAACATTACTCTCATTTAAAAAATAATGATTGTGTTTTATTTCATTTTCGATTATTTATTTTATAAAATTCAGATAAATCATATTATCCTATTTATATTAAACAGAACATTTTAAAAATAGGGGATTAAAATTTAATTTAAATTTACTCTTTATAACATGAACAAGGTTATTTGATTTTAGAAATTAAAATAAATCAATTTGAGTAGATAAATAAAATATTAATGTAATTGAGTAAAGTAAAAGATTGAATATTAAAAATTCATTCATTTTAGTACCTAATCCTAATAATAGAAATACTGAAATGATTAAATTACAAAAAATCAGACCTTAATTAAATTTCTCTGGATCATTTTATTAAAAAGTATTATGATATTGAGCAATAATTTAAGTGATTAAAGATAATATATAAAATAAAACAAAACCTGTTTAGTTATTCATAATTACGAATATAAGAATTCTTATTAAATCTAATGCATAAATAGCAAATATATATGGTGTAAAAAATTGATTAAGAGGAAAATAAAGTTAACTAAAGTTAATTGCTATGTCTCTTTAAAAATAGGTTGATGCAATTAAAAAAATTAAAAATATAGCAAAAATAAAAAGAGTTATAGTAACTTCTAAAAAGTTAGATTGATGTTGATTGATAAATTCAATATAAATAACAATAAGTGGAATCCTAAAAATCTTTTAGAAAATATTTAAGGTTATGCTTATTAATTAAGAAATTTTTTGTTGTTTTGGGATATAAAAGTATAAGATTAGCATAATAAAATAGATTAATGAAAGCAAGATAATGAAAAGTTCTAATTAGTATTCAATGTGATTTCTATTTAAAAAAAGTGAATAATTAGTTAATTATTGAATGCTATTTAACATTTCATCTTCATATTTTAGTTACTGCCACCCATGTTTTGGAAAACACAATGCAACATTTTGAACAAACTCAATAATCATAAGCATTTTAATGACTCCCATTTTTGTTTTTGTTTAGATTGAAAGTACATGAACAAAATTTTAATATGTAAAATTCATTTTTTGTAATTTGATAAATATTTTCTCATTTCTTCTGATAACTTATTTATAATGTGACTTCTTCAAACTAGGTTCCATTCAATTCATTTAAACAATGGGTTGCTTAAAGTTCGTCTTCAAATTCTACAAAGGCAACACCTTTTGGTTTGATTCCTCTAAATTCTCTAAATCCATAAAAGTTTCTAAAATGTTGTTCTAAATTAATAAAATCAACTAAGTGTAATCCCTCTACAAATAAGACTTTATTAGGTTAATTAGGAATCGAAAAATTAAATATATAATAATACTTTAATTTTATTGCTGGCTCCAGTATAAACTTAATTAACTGTTAAAGGCATAGATATAGTTGGTGCTTCACGTTATTATTTCTAATTTATCATTTCTCTTTATCTTTTATCTTAAATTCTCTTTTTATGTTCTTTTATTTTATCACTCATAGGCAACTTCTCTTTTTCTTCATATTCTCCTTTTTAAATATAGTAAGATTTTTCTTTAGCAAAATTCACTTTCTAATCATCAAACTTAGTCTTACCATAACTTTATCATACAATTAAGTATTATGAAATGCTTTTTAAGCTTTAAATGCCGATTCTTCGTCTTCCATTAAGATAAAAGCCTGTCCTCTCATTAAAATATTTTTTTTAACAATTATATCAAGCACTTTCCCACTTTAAGAAAATAATGCATATAATGTTTATCTCATTTCTTCTGCGGTCACTTTTTCATTTAATCTATTGATATATAAAGTTTTATTAGGTGGATTTAAATCCATTTCTTTAAAATCAATAGTTTATTTAGTTGGCACTTCTTGCTCTACTTATGTTTATTATTGAACAGGTTTAAGTATCTCTTCTCTATTAATTGAAAACAGAGGTGGAACATTTAAACCTTGCAACATAAAATAAAATTTAATATATTTTCATAATTTTCAAAATTTCAATCCATCTCTTCTATTTCTTCAAAATAATCAAATTCTTCTAAAGCTGCTGAATCAACTGTCATATCAATTCCTTACGATTAAGATTATTACATATATTCATCAGATTCTTAAAACTAATCTTATTATAATTATGAATCTCTCAAATCCTAATTTTATATTATTTATATACTTCTCCTTCTATTTCTTCTTCAAAATCTTCATTATCATACTTTTCATCTTCAAAGTTTCTATTATCAATTTTTTTTGGCTAATTCTTTTTCTAAGCTGCCTCTAATCTTTCTTTTTCTTATTATTATTTTAATAATTCTTATTATTTTTACTATTCTTTTAATTTTTCTTATTCTTTCTTTTATTATTCTAACTTCTATTATTCTAAACGTTATTATTCTTATTTTTATTGTTCTTATTACTTTTTTAATTCCTCTTATTATTTTCTCTATTCTTCTTATTATTTTCGTTACTATTCTTTCTTTTATTCTTCCAATCTCTTCTATTCTTCTTATTATTATTTTTTTAATTCATCATTTTTTCTTTATTCTTCTAATTATTATAATTTTCTTTATTCTTCTTACCTTTTTAGTTCTTCTTGCTTTTTCAATTCATCTTATTTTTTTTGCTCTTATAATTTTTATTCTTGTTATTATTTTTATTATTATTATTATTATTACATTTAAACTTCCTTAGAAAATGGTTAAGCTATTTTTTAAGGAACTTTTTCTTCACTAAATTATCTTTATTTATATTATACGATTATTTCTCTGAATGACGATTTTTCAATAAGAAATATAACAAAGGTTTAGTAGCATCGTTAACTTCTATATTTAATTTTTTAGCTATTTATTCTCGATTTATTTCATCTCTTAAATTACTTTCACTTAGAAATATAAAGTTAAAAAATTACCTTGAAAATATTGAATTTGTATAATGCATCTCAAAAAATAAGAAAAACTCTTTAATCAACTCTAACATATCTCTACCACAAGCCAATTCATATATAGTTTAAGCCTTATTATTTTCCCAGAAAAATGGTGATGGCTTTTTGTTATTGGTTTCTTACTAATCAACCACATTAAAGACTGATGCTCTTATTTGTGCTCTAATCTTTGCCAATGAACCATTTGCTTCTAGAGATTGTATAACTAAATTCTTAAGTTCTGTTAACTCCTACATTATTAAAATTTGAAAATATATAATAAGAATTTTTGGTTGTTTAAATAAATATTCTAAATTATTCATTCCAAATCAAATTACTCTAATTCACCTAATTACATAAAATCAAATGTAGAATCTCTATGTTTCTAATAATATTCATAATGATCTGCTCTTATTTTTGCATTTATAAAATCTGTATCACGAAATCTATCAAGAGGATGACCATGAGCAATGCAAAATAATTAATACCAAAATAGTCTATAAAGACAATATACAAAAGGCATTTCTATTTATTAAGAACAACCTGGATCTCTGACAAATTATTCATCAAAGAAATATTTATTATAACATGTATTTAATGTTACTCCTGTTAGACCACTTATTATTGCTATAGTCCATTTATAAGAAATCAATTTTTATGTAGGATTGAATTTATAAACTTCTCTCATTATTGGATTCATTTAATCTTTGTATATCATGAAATATCTAAGAATATAAATGGGTTTCTTTAAAAACAGCTTCTCTTACATTTAGAAAAATTAAGTCCATTCATGAATTCTTCTCATTAATTAAAAAATTTAACTATTATAAAATTATATAAGCTCATCTTTTTGTTAAAGGACTAATAGCTCTAATTTAATTCATTATGTTTTATTTTAATGCATTAATATTATTACATGCATTACTATTTAACTTTGTTTATTCCATATCTGGTTTATCTGGTTTATCTGGTTTCAATTTTTAATTTTAAACTAATTTTTATAAATCTACATTAAATTGCACAGTTTTTTAAATACTGCTATTATTATTAGTTTATTGATTATTGGATGTATGTTGTTAGATTTTTGAAAATATAAAATTTTTAATATTTTGTGAATTTGCATTAGGATTTGAGTTTTCATTATTCTAATTGCCTTGTGTTGATAGATGCTATTAATTAATTTGGTTAAAACTTTCATTCTATTCTGTTTAAAGTCTATTATTTAAGAATGATTTTTTAAAAATAGTATTTTTACTTAATGGGATAGGAGAAACAGCTTATTATTTAATAAAAGGAGATTAAGTAGTACTTAAAGATTTAATTTATTAAGTAGATGGAGTTAATTTATTGATAGAACTTTTGAATTATAAATTAGGTGTTTAAAATGGTGAATTAGTAGATTTAGTATTAGCTCTTGAATTGGAAGGTTTAGAATATTCAAGTTCTTCTAAAGCTTTTTAGATTGGAGTTTTTTCTTAAAAATCTTGTTGTTTGTATGTATATCCAACAAAAGTCATTTCTTTTTTAGTATTTTAATATCCTTTATTAATCCATGGTTCTTCTTCTTCATATTTATCAAAATTGCTAGTATCTAATTCACTTCTAACAGTAGGAATATAAGGTGCTTTCATTTCTCTAATTTTAATAATTGATAATCCACCAAACCAAGGATGTCTAATAATTTATTCAAACTTTAATCTATTATTAGTATCACAAACTAATTTAGTAATTAAATCCTTAGCTAATTATGATATTTTTGGTTCTTCTGGAAATGTAAAACATTATTAAAATCTAATAATCTTTTAACAAGTAGTAGCAGGATCATCAGTATAAAATGGTGGATATCCAATAAGCATTTCATATAAAATAACTCCTACACTCCACCAATCTACAGTTTCATTATATCCTTATTATAAAAATACTTCAGGAGCTATATAATCAGGTGTACCAACTGTTGAAAATGCTTTCTAAAATAACAAATGAATTTAAATGATACTTCTCTTCTAGTTTATTTTTATTTAAATTTAGATGAAAATACTGGTTTATCGAAATGTAATTCAGCATCTTTACATAAACCAAAATCTGACAATTTTATATGTCCATTATTATCAAGTAAAATATTATCTGGTTTTAAATCTCTATGAATAAACCCTAGTTTATGTACTGATGAAACAGCTTAAACTAATTCAGCCATATAAAAACGAGCTTCTGCTTCTGATAAAATATCTTTCTTCATCAATAATGTCATTAAATCTCCTCCTGGTAAATATTCCATTACTAAATATAAATTCTTTTCATCTTAAAATGAACACTTCATTTCTACTATCCAATTATTACCTTTTGCTTCTTCTAATACTTTTCTTTCATTTGTAACATGACCTATCTAATTTTTATATATCATCTCATGCTTTTTCATCTTCTTTACAGCCACTATTTATTATGATGGTACATGTCTACATAATCTTACTTCACCAAATGCACCTCTTCCTATTATAGCCAAAGGTTAAAAATCTTCAATATTTAATCTCATCCTCCTATCAATTTTTGAATATTTATTACTTCTTTCTCATTTACTCAGCTTCTTTCTTTAATATATCTTTTTTTATAATTTCCTACTCTTTTGCATTCATATGAAGCGAATCCATTAATTTAGATAACTGTTACCACCCTTATAATTATTGTTATTCTTCTTCAATTTATTTTGCGTATTTACCTATTTAAATAATCATGTTTTCATACGCTCAATATATATTCTACATGCCTCTACTCTATCTCTTGTTGCATTGGAAATTTATATTTCTTTCTTTCCTATCATTAACGATTTTTATATTAATTTTATTTAAATTTTTTTAGACTCTTTTTTAAATTCTCTTCAAAATTATTCTTTTTATTAGAATTACTTCTTTAACACTATACTTTACATAAATAACTCTATCTTTATTATCTATCTTTCTTTATCAACAAATCTTATTTCACTTCAATATATTATTCTATTAATATTTTATTTCTTTTTTACAAATTATTAAACCATATAAATTTTGCATTTAAAAACTTTTATTGTCTTTCTTATAATTTTTAATCTTTTTATTTAAGTTCTCAAGTTCTATTAAAACTTACTTTAAAATATACAAGATATTCTCTAAATTCTTAAAAAATTCTTGTAATTATTTTTTTATTATTTATGTTTTATATATTCTTAATTTTAAATTCTTAATCATTTCCTTCTATTATTATTTTAAGTTTATCAATTATAATAGCTTTTATTTTCATTAAATAAATTACTTTTAAGATTTTTTAAATTAGTTTTGATGCCTAAAGTTCGTATTTAAAGTTTAGGAACTGTTATTTGTTGTATATAATTCAAATTAATGTATTTTTATATTGTTTTTAATAAAAAATGCAGAAAATTAAAAGTTATATAAGCAAACTTCTAAATGATGATCATGTATGCTTTGATCAATCATACTAATTCATATTATTTGTTCGGATGTTTTAATTTCTTCAATACTTGGCAATTACATTATAAGAAATTAATGATAATGAAAAATAGGTTGATGGGCATTTTTCAATATTCTTTTAAATTCTAAAATTATCAATTTTAGACATTAATTTTCTTCCAGATTATATTGGATTTATTACAACATTTTTCAATATTGCAGTGTTAGTACTATTCATATTATAAATTGTGTACTTTAAAAGAACATTAATAATTTTGATGAGAGGACTTATAGGTTATTTAGCATAATTACCTTAAATTATGTGCTTTTTATTTGTATCATCAAGTTTTCGATCTTTCATTTTAAAAGAAGACACAAACATTATAATTTACATATGGGCTATCTGTGATGTTACTTTGATATTTAGTTTATCTTTAATCTCATGCATTTTATTTAAAAACATTAGTTTTAATCAATCAACTTACACAAGAGACCAAAGTTTAATGAAAATAATTTCTTAGATTTTTTAATTTATTACATAAATATTATATTTTTATGACGATAGAGAAGAAATTTTAATACTTAAATAACTTTCAGCTTTATTGTGGATAGGATTGGAATAAATTGATATATATTTATATATGCCTTATAGTTTATATGATAGCAAATTAATTTTTACATTAAATTAAATAAAATTTGGATGCAATTTAATTAATTTAATCTTAAATAATTTGTCTGATATTATAGAAACAACCTTTTCATAATACATATATTATTTTATATTTTCATCCATGTGTTTTTACTTAGGAGAGACATTTTATTAAAGATTATTTTACGCAAAAGGATTAGATACATTTACTAAATCAAGTTAAAAAGATTAGCATTTATAAATAAAAGTGTTGAGATAATTTTAAATATAAGCCTAATTTACATTAAGTTAAACTGAAAAATTATTACAAATTGGAATGGTGAATTAACACATTATTCATTGCAATAGATAATGTAGAGTAATAAATTTATTTTATTTTAATTAGTCTCAAGATAGTTCTGATGTAATAACATGCATTATTAATTATTAAGTATCAAATAAAGAGGAGGAAAATCTATTTTTATTTAAGATCTAATACTTGGCTTTTCAAAATAAATAATATTCTTAAAGTTTAGCTAGGATTAAACATTATTAAATTAAATATAAGTAAGAACTATCATGGTATTTCAATTTAGTTTAAATTGAAATTTCTAATAAATTAAGATAAGAAATAACAAAATAGCAATTTTAAAAAATATTGGAATCAAATTCTACTTATGTTAATTTCACTTCTGATGATTTAGTTCATTTGGATGTTCAATCAGATATTTTAATTCCAATTATTAGAAAAACCTTATCAGCTAAACTAGATGTTTGGAAAAAATTACTTAAAGGATTCTCATCTGTTAAATAATTATAATTAGAATTAGTTAAATTAGCCTAAGAATTAGAATAATTACGAATAAAATTTAAACTAATTATAAACAGAGATGTATACGAAGTGAATATTTCTTAAGTTAACAATTTATATCATCTAAGAATGTTATCATTATATTATTCAATAATCATGAACGATTAATTACATTCATTTTTATGTGAAAAACAATACTATTTAATTTATAGTTATGAATAAACCTTACAATAAGATTAATTAAACTCAATAGCCTTAGTTTTAGATAAGGTTTCTATAGTTACAGTAAGTTTAGTTTAAAGTTTAGGATCAATATTAAACACTAACAAATAGTAATTAGGACATATGTTCAATTATAAAAAATCAGAAGAATTTTAAAATATAAACCATTTAAATTAATTAATGCCTGATTTTATGGCTTAATTTCATAATTAAATGTTGTCCAATTTTTTAATTAAAGGAGATTCTCCTTTTATGCATTAGTTTCGTTTGATTTTTGGAAAAGCAAAAGACAATTTCATTTTTCCATTATATTTGAAATTAGCTAATGATTTTAGTTATTAGGATGATTATGTGATAAAAGGTATATTCTTTTCTGGGGTGAAAAAATATGATTATCTCTTATTTGATAGCAATGGAAGAATTCTTGGAATTACAAGATAAATTTATTATGATCTTTTCGCAGATAATAATAATAATCATGAAAAAATAGAATTAAGTTTATTATATGATTAATGCTTTCTTTATTATTTTATGCCTGATTTATTTGATATTGTAAAAAGATTTTAATAAAGGCAAAAAGATAGCGCTGACAATATTATTTTTTCCGAAGATACTATCTTTGTATCTTATAATGAAATTTAAGAATTTCATGATATGTTTTAATAACAAATGAGATTTATTGTAAAGGATTTTAATAGTATGATGGGTTATAAGAAAAAATAATCATTATAAAGTAAAGAATTATTATAATATAAGTTCGATAAAGTACAATATAAAATTAAAAAGATCTTAATTCTTAAATACTTGAATTAAATTTATTAAATGATAATTATGCAAAGGCAGTTAAAGAGTTTATTAATCAAAATGTAAAATTAAAAGTTATTACTTAGGTTACATCATAAAAAACTTGTTTTGTACGATTTACATTATAATTCTAAAAGTATTAAAATGATGGATATTATATTATGTAAATATCTGACTATAGAAAACATAATTTTGGAGAATTAGCTACAGAATTGTATGCATTATAAGATGCTGATTCTACAATGAAAAAATCAACCTTAAGACACTTAAAGGGTAAATTTTAACCACAATATACTAGATTTAATAATTTCCAAAAGAAGGTATGGAGATTTACAAGCATACTAAAATATACATAAGAAACGTTAAATGTATTAGAGATAGCTAGTTTCCATAAATTAAACTGAGATATTGATGACTCATCAATTTTCTTCTGCATTTTAAACACCTAAGACTTGTTTTTTTAAACCAGAAATAGCATTAAATTCAGAAATGGAATCTGTTTAAGAAATTCGTAATTCTAGTTCAGAAGAATCCAAATTTTTAGATGAATTTTTATCTGATGATGAATCAAAGAAATAAGGATAAAAAATAGAGAAAAAAATTTAATCATTTAGCAAGACCAATAATTTTACTGAAAATGAATAAAATCCAAATTAATCATAAAATTCTAGTGCTATATCTAAAGCATCTAACAATTAATCTTACTTTTTTTAAATAGTTTTTAAATAAAAGGGATAATTGCCCAGAAATATTATTATCTTATGGATTATTGTATATTGTATAAATTTAATCAGTTTAGTAGGATTTGGCTTTTCAAATTATCATTTAATTTCTAATTACTAATAATAATAGTTGTAATCTGAATAATTTATGGGTCCTATTAAATTTAATAGATATTTTTGTAAAACTCTTGCCCTTAGTTGGACTTTCATTTTAACAAAATACAATATATTAAATAATAGCTAATTCTTAAATTAATAAAATTAATATTAATTTAAATTACTTGATTAATTTGTTTTTTCAAATTTATCGTAACTATATCCAGTATTTATATAAATGGAATAAGATGGGACTATCTCAAACATGACTTTAAAATATTCGATTAACAATTCTGAAATGGTTGAATTTACAAGATTATTAAATTTCTTAGAAGAAGTAATTCATTATTTAGTATAAATTGGTTATTTTGAGAGTGACAATTTTGTAAATTTTATTAACCAAGAGTATATAGAAAAAGCCTTCATTATTAAATACAACTTACCAGAGATAATAAATATCAACTATAATTTAATGAACTAACTTAATGAAAATTCCATTAAAGCTTAAGAATTTGAAAGTACTATTTTTATAACAGAACATTTGGTTCATACTGTAATGATCTTCTTTATAATGATGATACAATTGTTTTAATGGAATAACATTGAATAGTAAAATAGAAATTTAGCCTTATTAGTTGGTAGGATTAAGGAATATGAAGTGGAAAATGAAATCTGTAAAAATAATATCTATTATTTAAAGAAAGGGCTTATAATATATATATTGCACTCAATATTCAAGCTGGAGAGGATTCCTGGAAGCGTTACAATTATTATAATTATGGATTTTAATAAGATACATCTATTTATTAGCCTAAATAGAAATTGAGTATCAGTTAAAAATTACAATTTGGTTCACAAATGTAAAAAAGTGTAAGAAATTTTAATACTAAAATAAATTTGTTTTCTCATTTAATGAAAATATTAGTATTTGTATTGATATATTAAGCATATCTTTGGGGAGGCTACTAATTATAAAACAGCTAAAATAATAGGCTTTAACCTTTAAATAATTTATTGGTAGAGTTTGCATTATTTAGCACTAAATTAGATAATTTAGCAAGCTGTGCTATAATTATAAAAACTTAATTTTTAATTGAAGAGAAATTAATAAAGGAAGGATTGTATAAATAAAAACAACTTGAAGATAGATAAGAAATAATCCAATTATTTAGCAATATCTATGATGAAATAGCTGTATCTTTTGCCTAACTATATGAATAAATAATTAAAGATTTATAATTAGATAATTAAATGGAAGAAGCTTAAGGCTTATTACATTCAGATATATGTTTATATTTGAGTTCTCTATTACCATTTTGTGATTTGAAATAGAAATAAAATTATCAAGAATTTATTAAGAAGTATGGTTAATATTATGCACAAGATGACAATTCTGAATATTTTGCTCAAGGAATTCTATCTTTGGTAACATAAATGCAGTAATTCTATAAATAAAATTATGTTATTTAAATTTAATTAGAATAATAAGAATTAAATTCAACTGAACTTTTAGACTTTCTGAATAGTTAGGAGTTTAATGTTATAATATTAAGTCATTTTAGAGATACTTATTAATGTTTTGTTAGATTTTTAGAATTATTAGAAGATAATATATTTTTAATGAGGAGAAAAAATTTATCAAGCATACTAATTTATTATAATACTATTATAATAATATATTTGATTGTTTTTTTGCTTTATTATTCTCATTGGATAGGAAACAATACAAAGGTGATGAGAAATATAAAATTGGCATTAATTGCAATTCCACATTTTCAGTTGACAAGTGATCCTATTATTAATATTTTGAAAAGATATTAATGATCTTATTTGATTTTTGATAATGGAGAGATCATAAATTATTTACAAAATTTTTAGTTTTGAAACCCAATAATAATCGTTAATAATTTTATATACAATAAATGTAGTGTCGCAAAGTCGAACCGAATGTGATAATGAATTCGGCAAGATTAGTTCAACGTCCTACGGAGACTAATAAACTAGAAGAAGATATAGTTCATGTTATAAAGAGTCCAGAAAAAAAGAGTCCCAATAATGGAAAATCACTAAAACGTACATCATCTGGTCCAATTATAAATTTGCAACAGTAGATAATAATTCATTAGAGTGCTCCTACTAAAGACTCCTAAGTTTTATTAAAATTCAAGAATTAAATGAAGAAAAAGAAAAAGAAGAAGAAGCTTTAAAAGAAAAAGAAAATATTAACAATAGATAAGTAAGAATCAGAATTTAGAGTAGAACAGCTACTAAAATAAAACTTAAGAAAACATTAAAGTATTTAATCTAATTCATACATAGTGGAAAAATAAGAATAATTAATTAAAGAAGAAATATAAAAATAAAGAGTAGTTAGTTTTAATGAGATGAGAAAAATTATGGATTAACAAATAAGATAAATAAATTAACAAAGATTTATAAGAGTAAATTTTAAATTGTATTTGTATAAAGTCAAAATCTCCACCATCATCTATGTTACCTTGGGGAGTAGATTAGAATAAACTAAAATAATATTGGACAAAAATGTTGGAAATCCATGATAAATTAGAAAAACCATAATAAGTAAATTAAACAGCAACAGAACAAGCAATAAAAGAAAAAATTAGAAGACATAAATTAGGATTAGATTTCCTCAATTCAAAGCCTGAAAAAGATATTTAAAAAATGATATAGAGTAAAATCTATTTAAAATTATTAGAATAAAAATCAAAATAAGTGTTAGAGACTATTTAATCACCTTAAAAACATAAGAATAATTGTGAGAATAAAGAAGCCATTCAAGATGTTAAACTTTATATGATGTACAAGAGAGAATTATGGAGACAATAAAAAATAGAAGAGTATCTTATTTATATATTATTTAGAAAATAATTATAAAAATTAAAAAAGGAAAAATTGCAATAAAATTTATAAATATTAGATTAAGAAGCAAAACTTTTTGCTAAATCAAGAAATGCTTCAGTAAAATCAAATTTAACTGCATAAGCAGCATCCTATCATGCATAATAATCATCTCAACACTTTAGAACTTCTGACCCTCCGAATTTTAATAAATTAGAAAAAGAATATAAAGAACTTATGAGATCTCTCAGATAATCAAGTTATAGTAGTACACAATCTCATACTAGAAAAACCAGTTAAATGAAGTTTTTAGATTGGTTATAACAACTACCTGAATCTTATCTCTAAGAATAATTGTCTTAAATGTAAGCTATAAATGAATAAATGAATAATAAAGGATTTTAATATAAATTGAGTGAACAAGAAATGTATTAATTTTTAGAATAATTTCTTAAAGAAAAGTTTGAATAACAAACTAAATCTACGATTAAAGATAGATTTAATGAATTATAAGAAAGATTCCAATAAGTTTCTTAATAATAATTATCTAATAGTTAACAATTATCTTAACAATAAAACATAACTCATTAGAGTAATTAAAGCAATAAGAGTCATACATAAAAAGAAAAAGTGTCTACATCCCCAAAAGAATATACCATTAATGAAATGAGTGATGAGGAATTAGAGTAAATTTAAAATGTCGCTGCTACTATGATATAGAAGGTATGGAGAGGTTATAAGACAAGGTAAGTAGTTTTTGCGTATCTATAATATCTTATTTAAGAGTAGGAATTAGAAGAATAAAATAATGAGGGCAATAAATTATAGTAATAATTTGAAGGTCTGTCACAAGAAGAAGAAATTAAGTCTGTTAATTAAATTACAGATTCAGAAAGAAGATTAAATCCTCTTGAATTACATTTTAATGATTCTCCATTCCATAAATTTTAAGGAAATGCTCCACCTCCCTCAGAGTCTTTATAATAATCTTCTCAGTAATAATCCAGCCCTAGAGGTAATTCAAGTATTCCTCCTCTAAATTTGGATTCATTCTCATAATAACAGTCCTCTCCATAAAAATCTTTTTAGTATTAACAATAATAATAATCGTAATAATAGTAATAATAATCTTAGTAATAATAATAAAAATAGTAATAATTATTATAACAATAATTATTATAATAACAACAATAATAATAATAGTAATAACAATTACAATAACAACAATAATAGCAATAATAATAGCAATAATAATAATAATAACAATAATAACAATAATAATAACAATAACAATTATAGCAATAATAATAATAACAATAACAATATTAGCAATAATAATAATAGCAATAATAATAATAACAATAATAATAATAATTATTATTATTATCAGAATCTTAAATTTAAGAGTAAGAAATTAATTAGAATTAAACACCTTAAAAAAGCCTTCATTTATATCATGGATTAAATTCAGATCCTGAATATTTTATGTAAGTTATAAAATTAAGAGAAGAAGCTTTATAATAGAAGTATGATTAATAACTAGCATTGTTAGAAAAAATGTTAGAAAAAAAAAAAGTTTCCAATGATCTATTTTCAGAAAATAAAGAAAAATTAGATAAAAGATATAAAAGAGAAAGTGATAAATTATAATAATCTAAAAATGAAGTTGAAAGATTACATTAAATGTTTAAAGATACTATAAAATCGACATAAAAAGATTAATAATTTATGGAAAGAATGAAAATCTAAACAGAAGAAGAGAATTTATCGATCAGGTAAATCTTTTCAATTCGTTCAGAAACAGAATAATCTGATGGAGAATTAGAAAAAAGATCTATACCCCATTATGGATTATTATAACAAATAAGTATAAATTAATTAATAATTTAGAGAATGATTAATTTAAGAAATATTCTAAAAATAGAAAGTAAGTGCGAAGTTTTGATTAATAAGTAAGTCTAGATGATATTTCAATGAAAAATGAAGAAATTTAAACTAGCACAATATTTAATGTTCACACAGAATCAATAAATCATTCCTTACATAAATCCTAATAATTGCCCTCCACTCTCTAATAATCAGTGCCTTCACAAGAAACGGTATAGATAGATACTATAGAAATTCCTGAGAATAAAGTTATTGAACCAAAAGAGTAGTTTAAAAATTCAATAATTCCATTTGATGATAGAAAGATTGATAATCTGACTGAAAATATAGTTTCAAATATCATATCCGAATTTGCGGAAGAATTGAATAATTTTCCATTATAATCCCTAGGTGTTTTGATGGAATGGGATGAAGAGTCTCAAATAGATTAATAATTTCCTCCTGGTTTTCCAACTACCCTTAATTTTATTAAGGACTACCTTGTTTCATTTAGTGAATTTATTTAAAGTAAGTATTTAAAATATATTTAGAACATTATCTTGAAATTTTTATACAATAGGTAAATACTCCTTTAGGAATAACACCTTAAGATTTATTAAAGACAATTTCACTTAGTGATATGTAATAAAACACCCTTGATGATTCAACATCAGGGCCCTTGTATCCACTAATAAAACATATCCATTAAATGGAACCCTTAATTGATGAAGAAATTTGGTCGAAATTCAATCAATCATATGCTCTAAAATTAAAATACTTTAATGATATCAACATAAGTGATTAATTTAAAGAACTAGAAATTTATCATCTAAGAATGATTTATGAAGCTTTTAATGAAGCTATAAATTATGTAAGACCATTTGGAATTAGAGGGTAACCATATCCATGGAAATCGAATCCTTTAAAAGTCTATTAAAATTAAACTACACAAGATTCTATAGATAGAGCTATGGGTTTTGCAATAGCTAAAATGTTGAAATGGGGATCATTTTTATGTGGGTTCATTCCTGAAAAAATTGAGACGCCTTAAGGGGAAATAATAGTAATAGAAGATGATTACCTCAATTAAATTAAAGAGGATCGATTATAACAAATGTTAGAATATGAAGTAATATTTTTATTCATTTGTAGATTCAAGAATCAGAAGAAAAATGGTTAAATTATGATGAAGAATAAGCTGAAGTAGCAGTTGAGTTAGCTGATGTTGTTTTTGAAAATATGTTGGATGAGGCAGCTGAAGAAATATTCAGAATTTCATAAGGAGGGAATTACTAGATTAAAGGATTTCAATAATGATATTTATTATATTATAAAGCTCTATTTTTGGATAAATAAATCTATAAATAATAAACACATAATTTAAATATTTTATTTGTAATTAAAAAAATTACATTATTTATAACAAATAATTTTAACATAATTTTATTAATTAAATCAAATTTAAAATTGAAAATAATTATGTCACAAGAAGAACTTTAGAATGAGAATATCAATAAGATTATAACCATCATTAATAAAGCAATAAAAAGTATGTTAATTCTTTCTATAAAAGAATGTCCTTTGTATGAACAATAGTAAAATTATTTACTTGAATCAAGAAAAATTGTATTGTTTAATGAGGCCCTAAAAGACTAAATCTCTAAGTGTTAAGATGAAATAAGGTTACTTTAAAAGGAATTAGCTTAACCTTCTAAAAAGTTAAGAAGAAAAGCTATTGAGATTTCAAAAAAGTATAAATGTTCAAACTGTGAAAAAAACTATGGTTCAGAAGCATCACTAAATTTACATTGTAAAATAAAGCATACTTTTTCAGAAACAGATTCAAAAACTTAAATTGATCACAGTTTTTAAATTTGATTTTCCTTTTTAATTCGCTGTTTTTTTTTAATAATTAAAATTTATAACATAATGATAATTTCAAATATTTTTAAAATTAGGAGGTCTCTTTTAAATAAAGGCTTAAACTCCTTCCTTAGCAGCTTATGTGTTGAGTAAACTATTAAATAATTGTCTTTCAACTTTGTTAGCTTAACTAACTGGTAATTCTTCTGCATTCTTAATAGCTGTTTTAGCAACGATCAAAGTATATAAAGATTTTTCACTTATCCTTTTAGCAATTTTTATACATTCATCTCGTAAATGTTCTTTTTTGACAACATTTGTTACAATTCCTCTATTTAAGGCCTCCTAGGATGTGATTAAATCTGAAGTTAAGATATATTTCATAGCAGTTGTTTTACCTACAAGTTGTGTTAATCTTTAAGTTCCACCAATTCCTGGAATAACTCCTAATTTTAATTCAGGTAACCCAAATTTTGCATCTTCAGAAGCAATTATAATATCCCCATTTAAGGCCAATTCAAAACCTCCTCCTAAAGCTGCTCCATTAACACCAATTATTAAGGGTTTTCTTAATGAATCAAAAACTGTATATATCTAATGAAAGATGTCTGAAACTTGTTAAGATTAATATGAGCAATCACTAAGTTCTTTAATATTTGCTCCAGCACAGAATATTTTATTTAATTTAGACAGAATGATTAAAACCTAGATATGATCACAAAATAAAATACTTTAATTTTATCATCTTAGTCTAATTCAATTATTGCAGCACATAGTTCTTACTTCATTTGATTTGATAAGGAATTTAAATCGGTTTGAGAGTTTAGATAGATTATTCCAATTTAATCTTCCTCTAATCTTTCAATCTCAACTTTTTAATTTGAGCAGAAGTTGGTGTGTATTAATTATAATCTTTACATAAATATAAAAATAATTTAATTCTTAAATACTGCATTGATCTATTAATTATTAAAATAATGACTGAAAAGCTTTATTCAATGTTTTGATCACTTTTACTATTGAAATAATCATTAAGATAAACTCTGTATAAATTTTTTCCATTTATTTATTTAATTTGTAAATTTAATTTGTATGTCACATTTAAAGAAGAATAAGTAATAGTTGAAAAGTATCTAAGAATTGCCTAATAGGAAATCAATTAAGATTAAAAACAAAAATAATAATTTTAAGTAGAAGGATTAAATCATGTAGTACTGCAATAATATATTGAAAATAAATTTACAGATAGCAAATAGTTTAAATTTCTTAATGGAAATGCTTTAAATCAGTCTATATATGAATTTTAGATTTCTTATTAAAATTAGAAATGGAGGTGTAAATATATTAATTATACAGAATAAGAAAAACCTGTCATATGTTTAATTTGATCAATAATGTAATAGTCTAGGATGACTTCTTGTATTTGATTAATTATTTAAAAGAGATATTAGATCATTCTGCATTTAATTAAAAATTAAAACTCTTTCTATAGTTTTCGGATGTTCAAGTGAACAAAAAGTATTTGAGTTGTTATGTTGATAAAAGATCAGGAGGGAGACACAAGGTATGATATAAGATTTATAAAGAGAGCTAATTGTCGAGAAAGATTAACTTGTTGTCATTAATAATTTTAGAAGAGATTTTTAACATTAACTTGTGAAGGGATATGTTTGAGTTATGAATAATTTGGTGAGCTATCAAGAATAAGAGATATGATACTTTTTGATTAAAGTTTTATGATTCATTATGGAAAGAAATAAACTGGTTAGAAATATGGAATAGTATTTAAGAATAACACAAGAAATTTATTGATCAGATGTTATAATGAATTTGAATTTATAGATCTAGTAGTTTAAACTTAGATAGTTTTTAATTAGAGTTAGTCAATAAAGAAGAATGCTTTTGATTCTTTTTCACCTATAAGAAATAGAAACTATGCAAAATATTTTATAGATGGCCATAGTTATTTTGATTAATTAAGATAGGATATTGAAGCTGCTAAAGAAGAAATTTTTATAACTGATTGGTGGCTATCTCCAGAGCTATATCTAAAGAGACCCTCACATGAAAACGAATAATTTAGATTAGATAAATTGTTACAGTAAAAGGCGATAGAAGGTGTAAAAATATATTCAATTGTTTATAATGAGCCTAAGTTAGCATTAACAATCAATTCATAATATACTTAGACTAAACTGAATAGTTTGCATTCAAATATCTCTGTATTAAGACATCCTAATAGTGTAATTCCAATGTTATGGTCTCATCACGAAAAAATTGTAGTAATAGATTAATAAATTGCTTATTTGGGTGGATTAGATCTATGTTATGGAAGGTATGATACTTAGTCTCATCCTTTATTTGAAGAATATAAAGGTCAATTTCCAGGATGTGATTATTCAAATAGTCGTATTGCTGATTTTAGAGATGTAACAAACTTTAAGTAATCTGATATAAACAGAGATGAAGTTCCAAGAATGCCTTGGCATGATGTTTAAATTAAAATTGTTGGAGGGTCTGTTAGGGATGTAGCTAAGCATTTTGTATAGTACTGGAATTTTGTTTTAGTTGACCTTACAAAAAAAAATTAATATGATGTACTCTAATTATCTGATAATTTGGAATCACTCAATAGATGGGATAGATATAAATTGAAATTGTCTTAGATATCTTCTAGATTAGAAAATTTCTTATTATCTAAATTACATCTATCTCATGAGAATAATTAATATCAATAGTAATAAACTCCTGAATCAAGTCTAGCATCACCAAATCAAATTAATTAAAATGTACAAGTTTAATTAGTTCAATCTTAAATCTAAATTAAATCTAATTAAAATGATGAAAAATTAAGCTATATTAAAGAAGAAAAGCAAAGAACTAAAAGTGCTTCATTCTATATGGTTAAAGAAGGCTTCTAAATTGAAGAGGATATTTTAAATGCAATGAATAAATAATCATAAATTGAAGATTCTAATTATTTATTTAAAGCCAAAAAAAGAACTCCATCTTTTTAGTAAGCAGATAAACCATAAATTAATAATGAGAAAATTAAATTAGATATAAGAAAGACATCTAAAACTGGAACTTGCTCTATCTAAATTTTAAGATCTGCTAACAAATGGTCACTTGGATTATCCAAAAATCATACAGAAAATTCTATCTAAAAAGCCATGATACATTTAATTTAACATTCGTAATACTACATTTACATTGAAAATTAATTCTTTATGACTTCATTAGCTGGAGAACCTTTGCTTAATCCAGTTGGTCTAGCTATTGTATAAAGAATTAAGCAGGCTTATTATAATTAATAGCAATTTCATATTATGTTAGTATTACCTTTGTTACCAGGTTTCGAAGGAGAAATTGATGACAATAATGCTAACCTTATGAAATTATAACTTCATTATGAATACTTAAGCCTTTGCAGAGGAGGATAATCATTAATTGAATAATTAAAAGACATTCCTAATATTAATTCCTATTTAACTATTACAGGATTAAGAAATCATGGAATAAATTCTAAAGGACAACCTAAAACAGAAATTGTATACGTTCATACAAAATTAATGATTATTGATGATTCTGTAGTATTATGTGGTTCAGCTAATATTAATGATCGAAGCTTAAAAGGCTCAAGAGATTCAGAAATTGCAGTTTTAATTGAAGATTAGATTCAAATTGGTGAAGGAAGAAGATTTGCATATGATTTAAGGAGAGATTTATATATTGAACACTTTGGGATAACTGATTATCGATAACCCAACCATCCTGACTTAATTTAATAGATATAATTGTAAATTAGAGTAATAATTACTTTTTATTATCAATAGAATAACACATTATTATATAGAAAAATATTCGCTTGCTATCCTGATGATACCGTTATAACTTTTAAATAATTTAAATAATTTAAGTCCTCTGCTAATTTATAAAGCTACTTCGCTTTATAACAAGAAATTATAGGATATGGTGTTGAATGGCCACTTGAATTTTTAAAAGAAGAATCTCTAAAGCTTCCAGTATTTGCTAAAGAAGTTTTAGTTCCAGATATCAATTTCACATGATTTATTGTTATACTTTTATCTAAGTGATCTCTTCTAAAAATTTCTCTACTTTAATTAACTATTTTTTAAATTCTAATATCTTTGGTAGTTTATAGAATAAGTCTTTAACTCTATTTATATAGTTTTAGATTTTATTTACTAAAAAAATGATTATTCGAATTAAGTATTTTTAAGATAAAACTTCTCTTAAAAACAATAATACAATAAGTGAAAAAATAATAAAAATACATATTTATGTTAAATAAATATTTTACATTTAATAAAGTTAGAAGAGAAAAGACAAAGGTTTTATAATTACATAAAAAGTTTTATAGGATAAAATATCAAAATTTTTGCCTCATATAACTTTAAAATATATTGGATTAT